ACGCTTTGTTAAATTACGAGTTAATACTACAGAAATTTGTCGTATAAACCGACCTAAATGCTGAAAAATACTAACGAAACCTTTCATCTGATCGGTTAGAAACAAAATATGAAAGCTGTGAGAGGTAAATGTTGTAAAATATAAGAAAACTGTGACTCACCTCGGCTTCCTCGAATACCTGCCGCACAGAAGCTCGCGTTTATCTGAGTAAAACCACGCCATGCGCCAATGTTCGTTTGTCATCGTGGATCATCGGTACGTCATCGTTCACACGAAGTATTCACACGAAGTATACGCGAAGAGACCACAAGAGCTGTATTTCTTTGTGCTGATTGGCTCCGAAGTATATTCTATTGTTACTTACTTACATTCGGAAACCTACATGATGGCAATAGTGACTACGCGCATGCGCAGTAGTCACAAAAACTAAAATTTGAAAAAAGTTGCTTAAAAATGTCAACTGATCAGCAGCAAACTAGTTGGCAATTTAAAAAAATGAGCCTCAAGTTGACCTCTTAACAAGCGGGAAAATAATCTCATTGATCAGAGAAGGTTCACCATCCAGCCTGCCCATTCATCAGAAAGTGATGAATGCCACTTCGCGACAACCTGAGATTGACCAACACTGATAACTTCCTTGTAGTCAAAATACCTTGTCAAGGGGAACATCACTGGATATTACAAGGCAGAAAAATGTAGATGATGCTGATCTTAAAAGGACAATTAAAACTAAAACAAAAAAATCAACTGTCCATTTATATTGAAGATATGCCACAGATTGTCTTTACTGTCTCAATTTTGGGGTCCACTGGGATGATTGAGATGATCCAGAAAATAATTTTATCATTTAACACTGTACATGATGACCCGCAAGCCTTGGATACGTGTACGACGGTCATCTGAATTGACCGATTGCGCAATATAAAACATAGGAAGTGTTGACAACATAGTGCAGGACCGAAGGTCGGAAACCATGAGAAACCCCTGGAACTTATTACTCGCACGTCATCTTGCTAATTCATATGACATTTCATTCCGACAGGAGCAATTAACATAATCAAAATATGCTTTTGTCCCCAAACGATAACCAGAACCTCCGTGAATACATCTTTGATTCTATTTTAAAAATTTTCAAAGAGAGCAACTTCAAAGCACTCAGCCACTTTACTTAAATTTATTTGCCGTACATTGTGCGGGCCGCGCCGAAACGTTTCTTTGTAACTACCACGTAAAACCAAAGTTTCCAGGTGATTAAAAGCAAAAGGACGCGCGCGAGGAGAACGCAAGACCACAAAAATATTGTTTTCGAAATGTAACCGCATTAGCAGAGATTCTCCGCGAACGGATCGCAACAGTATTGTTGTAAATAAATATCAGAAAGAAGAAGAAAAGCCTTCTTCCGAATAAACGATTACGTACTGTGCTTTCCAGTTTCTAGGACGTACTAAAAGTGCCGGAAATGGGAATTTTGCCACGCGTGTTTTATTTCTAACGAGAAAACAAATCTTTTAATAATAAATGCCGAAAAATATAACTGGCGGAGGGTCTCCTACAAGAAAATCTCCTATTAAAAAACACTCTAAGACACACATATAGCTTTTGTAGCTTGTAAACCCCTTAACTTTCCCGTTATTGCGCAAGTGATTTCATAATACCTTGGTGTCTAACTCACAGAATCACGGGCGCGCCACCTGGTGTTTCTGTTGCTTTAAAAATCGCACTTAGGAGTTTAGAACACCATGGCATTACAATAAAACTCGCTTACTCAAGCTAAAACATATTAACCTTTAAAATTCCACTTGGTACGCGAGTGACTTCATAATGCCGAGGTGTCTAAACTCACAGAATCACGGGCGCGCCACCTAGTGTTTCTGTTGCTTTAAAAATCGCACTTAGGAGTTTAGAACACCATGGCATTACAATAAAACTCGCTTACTCAAGCTAAAACATATTAACCTTTAAAATTCCACTTGGTACGCGAGTGATTTCGTAATGCCGAGGTGTCTAAACTCACAGAATCAAGGGCGTGCCACCTAGTGTTTCTGTTGCTTTAAAAATTGCACTTAGGAGTTTAGAACACCATGGCATTACAATAAAACTCGCTTACTCAAGCTAAAACATATTAACCTTTAAATTTCCACTTGGAGCGCAAGTGATTTCATAATGTCGTGGTGTCTAAACTCACAGAATCACGGGCGGGCCACCTAGTGTTTCTGTTGCTTTAAAAATCGCACTTAGGAGTTTAGAACACCATGGCATTACAATAAAACTCGCTTATTCAAGCTAAATCTTATTAACCTTTAAATTTCCACTTGGTACGCAAGTGATTTCATAATACCGTGGTGTCTAACTCACAGAATCACGGGCGCGCCACCTAGTGTTTCTGTTGCATGATAAAACTCGCACTTAGGAGTTTAGAACACCATGGCATTACAATAAAACTCGCTTACTAAAGCTTAAACATATTAAACTTTAAATTTCCACTTTGTGCACAAGTGATTTCATAATGCCGTGGTGTCTAAACTCACAGAATCACGGGCGTGCCACCTAGTGTTTCTGTTGCTTTAAAAATTGCACTTAGGAGTTAAGAACACCGTTGCATTACAATAAAACTCGCCGCACGCCTAGTCTTTTTTTAAAAAAATAGTCACCCTTGAAACATGTTAACAATGATTTCCACTCCCATACCTAATTTTCTAAAATCCTGCAATACATAGCTTTTTCTTGAATGAATAAAGAGTTAAATAGCGGAAGAGGCGAGATTTGGTAATTTTTGGCGGGCTTTGGACACGTTTTGGCGGAATGACGATTTCACTATTCGACCGAATCCATTTGATCGCTTGGTCTCTGTGTTTTCTGCCTCTACTATGACATCTTCATCTACTAACAATAGTATTCCGCAACCCGTTGTCATTAAATAACAGAAATTTTTTATATAGCCCGTTTGCACACGCTTTACATCATTAGCAGCAGATCATGCATAATAGTCACCAAACAAATGCAGTCGGATTAGAAGATCTAACGTTTTCAACATCAAAATGCCTACCAGACTGCCGATGAATATTACCACTTACACTTTTGTCGTAATATCGTTAGGCTCAGAAACATTTTGAAGGCAAAGGAAGACCGTCTTCTTCTCGTAATGTCATAAATCGAAAGACGCACACACCGTCCTTTACGTTCATCTCAAGAATGCAATGCCAGCTTTACATGTATTCGATCAGAGGTCAAATCATAATGTCACACTACTTCCATATAAAGAAAAAGTCCATTATTATTTCCATTGTTTTGGTTAAATTTTTAACTATAGTGCGTTGAATGTACAAGATTCCATCAGAGAGGTGCCAGAAAAATACGAACACAACACACTAGCGCGTGCGTGACACGCGATTCTCTGCGGAAACTGCAGTTTAGCAAGCTCACGCCAAAGAAATTCGTTGAATCTTCACACACAAAGCCTCGGAGATCAATGATTGCAATCTGCTTTGGCATCCATCTTTCCTTTACGATGAGTAGTATGCTGCGTTTTCAAGGAGTGTGGGTTTTACATAATAAAGATTTTGAATCAACGCCTTTATCTAGCAACATTCGCCCGAGTTCTATTTGAGTTCTGCGACCTTCAATACGTACATTCAATACAATATGGAACTACGCTACATTTTACTGAATACTGGAAAAGACCACAAAGACAACGCTTGAGTCGTAGGCCACGCGCGATTATCCTGGATAACTCGTGAGCTAAGAACGCAAATCTCTGGCTTATGTTAAATTGTAATCTCTTCTCAATTACTCTATCGCCAGATGCCGCCTTAATCTTGTTAAAAAAAGTGACGCTTTATCGAATAATACCACTGATGATTGGACCAAACGGTAAAGAAACTAATTGCTTTTCGCGGTAGGAAGTTTATTGCTTGTCACTCAAACCCTAGCGTCCTTAACAACCCCAGCGTCCTGTGGTGTACAAAAAAAAGTCGTATGCGGGTCCTCATGATGCATAAAGAAAACACCTGTATGCATAGTCTCCTCCATTCTATCCAGGCAATCAGGAATGCCCTAATCATCTTAAATTGCGTCAGATGTTTTCATATGATCATCTTTATTACCTGAACACATTAAGATGTCTAAGATGGCTCAGGGCGATCAAGATGATCTAGTTTAGTCACATGGAAACCAGATTGAAGGAGTATAGTTTGAAATTTGTTGATCAACAAATTGGTTGCAGCTGCTGTTTAGCAACTCAGTGTTTAACTGACCATGAGCCATGATTATGTTGTGTTCAGTGGAATTCACCAAGTTGAAGTTAAAAGAAAAAAGAACATACAGGCTATCTAAAATGTTGTTCAACAATTATTGCAAGTTTTACCTTGTTGAACAAAGGAAAACAATAATATTAAACTTAGTTTGACATTTGTTGACCAGTAATGTAAAGTTAGAATGATTAACAGACAATGTTTTTAGGCATTTGAAACAGGGCGATTGAAACAGTTAAAACTGTCTGACAATGAAGTGAAGTAAGCGATGCATACTTTCTGACGACATTCTTTGATTTTGTGGGGGGTAGCTGTACATGTCATGGGCTTTAATCTTTACTCTTGCGTAAAAAACTTACTTTACCTGTTTAGCTAGAGCAGCTGAAATGGTAACCTACCTAATTTTAAGAAATCGTAAGTCATACGTAAAATTCAAAGTTACCTCTGAATCTCGATTATTACGATAACCGAAACAAAAATATCAGTAAAGATAGTAAACATTCTGTATTATCATGTATTTACAACGTAACCTATAATTTAGCTGCTTACTCTATTTACTTTTGAAATATCACAAGCCTTCTGCAAATTTCTTAAGTTTAAGTGTCAGAGTAGGGTTCCGTGAGCTCCATCAAAGCAAAAAATGTTTTACAGTAATGGTCAAAACAAGCTGACAGGCAAACATGAACACCTGAAGAGGAAATTATGGAGCCGATGTAATAATGCTGAATAATGACTTTGTAGTACCTGACTTCGCGATAAAAATGTTGATCTTAAAAATGAATGTACTGCTTACCACGACAAGACATCGTTCTACACGTTTCTTTGCTTCATCTTTGCCGACTTTCCTTTGCTTAAATAACGGCATCGCACTGCGCTGAGATGAAGATGGAATTGAAGAATTGAGCCCATCTATTTTCAGATATATTTAGGCGCGCGAGACTGGTACGAAATATTGGATTGGAACCGAGGCTTAGTAACCTGAGATCAGGCCCAATTTTAGCTTAGCGTCGCGCTCAAAACTGCGAAAACAGTTGTGAAATTTAGGGAAATTAAGAAAGAATGGAAGAAATATTCTTATCTACAAAGCAAAAACAAACAAAAAACTGTTTTATTTGAATTTAATTGCATGGGAAGCTATGAGATTAAATTTGACTGATTTTACACAAAAATTCGACGATTGCTCGACTTTATATTAGTGCAGTTTACGCAACAGGGCAGCAGGAAGATGAGGACGGCAAATCGCTTGTGCGTGACGAACGTGAAAAGGCTATTACTTTCGTGTTTTGTCGTGATCTTTACTAACATCAATGTTTTTTGGTCTTTTACAAAAAAATCTGTTTCAAAGAAAGTGAAGTTTGGCGAAAAGTTATTTCAATTTTTCTCACGCTGGTCACACAAGGTTTGCCGTCTTCTTTCCTCTCCCGTAATTCAAACTAGGCCTACGACAGGGTGATGCTTGAGTTAACGAGTCAATATATGGTCTATATGCACTATGTTGCAGTTAATTATATTATTGTGTTGGGGCTAGGAATCATTGTTGTGTTCTTTGTGACGTCACTCGAGACTTGCTTTACACTTTCTATACAGTAAAACGCCGCGAAGAAGAACCTAGATTTTTTGAAGTTTGGCAAAATAGATTCTTATAGTCTGGAGTACTTACTGGAAGTTTAGGCTAAATGGGTTCTTAATTAGGTTCCTAATTTTTATGGAGAAGGATACTGTTGTTAATTACAAGAAATTACTATAAATGGTATTTGTCCTTCACAATAGGCATTTACCTCTTTACCAAAAATCTAACAAAACTAGGTGAACAGCTTGAAGATATGCAGTTTTCAACAATGGTTGTATATATTATACATTAATTATACAATGTAATATAAAGTTCCTATATTAAAGCCAGAGTTTTGGTCAAAATGTCTATGAAAATGTAGTCTAACCCCCGGCATACAAGAACCTGTTGATTTTTTTTTTTGGCTAAACTGGATCTTATATTTTGGGGTATTAAAATGGCAAATTTCTGCCAACAGGTTCTTAAATTCTAGGTTCTTCTTAGCAGCGTTTTACTGTATCGTCCATTAGCCCTACGACGTGCGTGAGTGCCTTATTTCACGTTTTATGGAGGAAGTAAACAACCTTTAGCGACGGCGAAATGTTCTCCTTTTGAACTTGGATTGTTTCTAGAAATTCAGCATTTGACAAAGTGAGTGAGTTGGAATAATGGCGATGAACGCGAATTCGACTACAACCCCGAAAGGATCCCCAATCCAGGTATGGGGATCATTTCGGGGTTGGGGATCATTTCGGAGGCTGTACAGATTTTTCCTAGGAGGTGGTCAACCACTAAGGAATGACGTAACTGACAGGTGACGTAAACAAATTTTCATACAGAATTCCAGTTGTATTAGAGAGCTGCAGGTCATCTCGGTGCGGGGGGACGCCCCCCTGCACCCCCCCCCTAGATCTGCCTTGCTGACCATGGACTTACTGTCAAAATATGCATGCAAGAATTCATTATGATTTTATGCAAGTGCTAAATGCCGTCTACTTCCGACCTCTCTTCAAAAAATAACAATAAATTAATTGATAAAAATAAAAACCTCTCTTTATCTGTGAAAAGTACGCTGTTATTGAGAGGCACAACTTAAGTCGTCTTAGGGTACCCCCTATATCATTGAGTGAATCAATAACTCTAGTCTAAATACAGAATTTACAAATGCAAATACAAATATACAGTCAGTCGATTTGTGACATTCCTTTCGCTTTCAATTGGCCAAGCATTTAACTTAGCTTGCCTAGTAAGCGTTTCCGTGAGGTTTCGGAGCAAAGAACGAGGAACGAGTTTCATTTCTCGCGCGGCCAAAACTGAAAAGCCCGTTCCTCTTTCTTTCCTTGCCCTGAAACCAAACAGAAACCCTTGCTACGCAGGCCACATTTAACTGTTTTCCACTCAACTCAAAAAATCCTTTTAAAAAAAGAATCGTGACGTCTTGCTGTGGAAATCCCAAATTTAGAAACCTGATGAGGTAGTTGCACTGGGGAGAGCCCCAGTGACGTCACTAAGAAAAGCAGGTTTGAAAGTGAAAGTAGATTGAAAGAGAACATCCTCTTTCGGAGCCTATAAACAGAACTTTAGACCACACAGAAAGATCACTTTGTCAAGATATAGATATTCTTCCAATCTTTAAGCTTGGCTAAAACGGTTCTTGACTGAATTATCATTATCTTTCAAGGTAAGCAACTCGGCAATTGTTTTAAAATTACTTATAAACTCAGCTGAATGGTACTGACTTCAATTCAAGTGCTAGAGGAGGTTTGTTAGTTTGACCCAGTACATGCATGGTGATACTAATAGTCGTCGATGGCTAGTTTAAGAATATAAGAGAGGCAAATTAGTTCGCGATTACGAGTTCAGTATAGAAGGTCTTCTTTCTTCCTCCGGCTGTCAAGGGTCGATCATTTTAGTCAGAAGTGTCTTGAACCAATTCACTTTACGAGTATTGAATTTTTGCAAATGTTTAGTCTTGAGGTTTTTATGTCAGGGGCACGATTTCCATCATCAAGGCCGCCATATACAGAGGTTGTGTTCCTGTAAAAAGTTGCAAAGAGTCGATATATCGATGTGAAAATTTACTGAACCCTTCAAACATTAAGGCGGAACGAGGCCCGGAAGCTGACCGCCTCGATGTTTGACTCATTCATTCAACCGTGCTGTCTTTCTCTTTAAAGAATATTAAACAAGGCAGCTGACAAGGATCTAATAACAACTGGCGCACATTTCGCCCATGTTACACGTATAATTCAGTATAAAAAGTCTTTATTTTTCGTTTCTTCCTCTGCCTGTCAAAACTTTCAAGAAGCAAAAAGGTCCTTTCAGAAGTGTCTTGAACCAGTTCACTTTACGAGTATTAAAGTTGTGCCAAGAGCCATAATCCTATTATGGCTCTTGATTTGTGCGAATGTCTTCTCTTAAGGTTTTTATGTCGTAGTGGGGTTTCTGTGGCTGTAAAAAGTTGCAAAGAGTCGAAGTGAAAATTTACCAACCGAACTGCATACTGAATGATACTCAACAACTAAGGCGGAAGCCAGAAGCCCGGAAGCTGACCGGCTCGATGTTTGACTCATTCAACCGTGCTGTCTTTCTCTTTAAAGAATATTAAACGAGGCAGCTGACAAGGATCTAAACAACTGGCGCCGATTTGGACATGTTACAAGGCAGAGGTTCACACATAGCTTTCTATGAGCTGCGTTTGTTTATATCGTGCTTAATTACTCATTCATGTAGTGTACCTACTTTGTTATTTCGCCTCATGCAAGAGCATTTGATTTTGAACAATCTTGAGCCGGGTCATTTAGCCCTATAATACCCATAATATGTGAAAACCATTTTGTGGTAGATATAACTGGGTTACATCTCCTTACAGACAATAAAATTTGGTCGAAACAACCAAGTTGATAATTATGGTGAACTAGGCCAAAGTAGATTTTTGGAGATTAATTATTAGACCCTTCAAGTTTCTCTTGAGCCACTGAAACTGAAAAAAATTTCCTTTCAAAATTCCTTTCTGGGAGGAACATCTGTTACTGGCCATTTTCCCGTTAGCATACGCCCAGGAACCGGTAAAAATAAACTAAAGTACAATGAATCAAAATCGTAAGCACCAAAAGCTCCGTATGAAAGCGACGAGAATGCTCGTCGCTTCGCTCAGCGGTACAAATTGCCGATTTGGGGTTTCCAGGACAGAAAGCCATACAGATGATATCGTTTAGAGTAGTGGGTAAAGAAATCCAGACGTAGTTAAACGAGAAACTGATAATCGATAGTAATCGGTATCAGTCATCGATGAAAATCGATTTCCGATATCTATCGATACAAATCGATAAAGATAAAAAGTTGTGACTTCGTTTGATATCGATGAATTTCTGATAGAAATCGATGATTAATTTTTATCGATTGTTATCGATTTTGTTAATCGAAAATAATCGATTAATTATTTTTCCTGTGACTTCGATTTCTATCGATTTCCGATATAAATCGATTTTAATCGGCGGATTAAATCGATTAATATCGCTTGATTTCCGATACCGATTTTTATCCATTAATTATTTCTGGAGAAATATAGGCCAGCAACTAAGGGCCTGTTTACATGGAGTGGGGGACCCCGGTCTAGTAGGGTTGGTTTCTTTTGTTTTCACGCTCTAGGGGACACAAAACAAAAGAAACCTACCCCACTAGACCGGGGTCCCCCACTCCATGTAAACAGGGTCTAAGAGATCCAAATGCTGTTATACTGTGTGTTGGAGGTCGGGTATTCAATTCGAACATTTTTCATGCTATTTACCTCACCTCAGCTTTTACCTTGCTCACGGAATTGTTTACCTGTGTCAGTGTACTCGCCTTTAGAAGTCAAATAAAGCCTGTCACGCCCAGACTGGTCTGTTTTGGGTTTAATGCAAATGTTTTCGAGGAGCATTCCCATACGCAGTACACATCTAATAATGCGAGAGTCATCTCCAAACCCCTCCCCGCAGGACTTTGCCTAACGCTCAAGCATTGAATCTTCAAATAAGTCTTTTTTATTATTCATTTCAGCATGGCAGTGATTGTCTCTCCTTTGGATGCGCCAGTGGAAACGAAAATAGGTGAAGATGAAGAAACAACCTACTTCTTTAATAAGAACGAGCATGCGAAACGTCTGCTAGAGAACCTTGCAGAGATGCAAGTAAATGGGCTTCTCACTGATGTAGTCGTGCGCACTGGATCAAAGGACTACGAAACTAACTTCCATTGCATGTTACTCGCAGCATGCAGCCAGGTTGTGAAAAAAAGACTTGTTGAGAATGAAGAAAGAAGTATCGTACTCCAAGAAATGAGCCAGAAAAAGCTTGAATTCTTCAAGGGTTTCATCTACAGATCCAATGTCATACTAGACGAAGGCATTATAGATGACCTTCACAATTTTGCCGTCAAGTATGGCATCGACGACCTGCAAGCCATTTGTGAGAAATACAGACATATTCGAGACGGACCGAGCCACCAGCTGGAAATTGCTTTCGATGATCAGGAAGAGGTACTACTGGAGCTGTTTAACATGTTTCTGGAAAAGAATTTCACAACAACAGTTTTGGAGGACGAAAAGGGACAAACCCAAATTGAGGTGCATGGGCAACTCATTGCGGCAGCCTCTTCGATGTTGGAGGAACGTCTTGAAGATTCTTCAGCAAGAGATAACGATAAACTTCGTCTAAACATCTCGTCAGACGCCCTTGCAGAATTTGTTGACTACATCTACTGTGCAAAAGTGACTTTGCGACGTCAGAATGTCCCAGATCTACTACAAGTTGCATGTAATTACGAGCTGCCAGCACTTGCAAAAGCATGTTGTGAATGGGTAGCTGCAAGACTCGACACTTTTGATGTGGTCCGCACCTTGTGGTGGGCTAAAGAATTGGATTCTGTCTACACGGAAGATTTGGAAAATCCTGCAAAAAGCTACATAGTTGCCAATTTCAGCGAATTAACGACAGGCCAAGAATTCAATTTGCTGGTTTATGAAGATCTAAGGGAAATTATACAAGATGACAAGCTAAGCATCGAGAGGGAAGAAGACGTGTATGCTGTTGTAATGAAGTGGATAGAATATGACAAAGATTCCCGTTTACCGTTCCTGTGTGATCTGTTAACCTGTGTTCGCCTGGAGGTCACAAGCAGAGAGTTTTTGGCTGAATTAGAGGATAACCAGCACATAAGACGGTGCTCCGAGTGCTTTCAATTACTTGGTGAGGCTCGACAGAAGCTAGCTGCTGACGAGGATGAAGGAAGGCCTGCCTTGGGTGAAACCAAAGATGACTATGAGAAAGAAATTGAACAAGACTCACTCTCAGATGACGCTTCTTTGTCTCAGTTCTCAGATGGTGAAACCCTCAAGGATTATGAAAGCTTATCTGAAGAATATTTGCCTCAAGATAGCCTGCCCCAAGGCCGCGAGCCAAGAGAAATGCGTCTGCGTAAGGATGGTCGACCGGATATGCGTTTGAAAGAAAATCGGCTAGTGTACTTAGCAAAAGGAACGAATAAAAACGGCAGCCCAGATAGAAGGATTGGTGAAAACAGAGAAACAGTGCTGATGAGTAGTCGCAGCGGCAAGGAAATGTGGCCCGACCGAAACGAATCGGTCATTGATGATGCATCTTCCGTTTCGTCATCAGAGGAAAAGATTTCACATTTTTCCGATGACATGTCTTCCGTTTCATCACCATTTTACCGAGGACCATTTCCTCAAGATTTTCTGCGCGACAGCGAGGCGACAAGAATGCATCGACTTCGGAAAGATGGTCAGCCAGATATGCGATGCAAAGAAAACCGAAATATGTACCTGGAAGACGGGATAAACAAAAATGGAAAACCGGACAGAAGGCTCAGAGAGAACAGTATAGAAGTTCCTGGCCCACTGAAGAAGGACGGCACCCCTGACATGCGTTATAAAGTGAACCAAGATTTCTTTGGTCGTAAAGAGCGAAAACCAGAGTCGCCTCACACACCCAGTAATTTTCAGAGAGCTACTGGACAATTGAGGAAGAACGGCGCTCCAGACAAAGGGAACAGAGGAGCCTTGGAAAGTTCTTGTGCGAGAGCAATCTCCTTCCAGCTGCCTTCCACCCCTAACTGTTTTGCTGGGCCTGTAAAGAAAGATGGCACTCCAGACATGCGCTACAATGTCAACAAACAACTATACAGCGCATGCTCCGCCACCAGAAGTATCCAAAAGAGTTCTCCATGTGGACCTCTGAAGAAGAATGGTACACCAGACATGAGGTATGCTGCAAACAAGCAAGCGCACAGTCGTTCGCCGTTGTCGTCCGGGGCCTGCGGTCCCCTTAAGAAAGATGGCACCCCTGATATGAGGTTCAAGGCCAATCGACGTTGAAAGGTGTTTATTGGAAAATAGGAAGACAGGCTTTCAAAAGCGACACATACTGACATACTTGCGTTGAAGATGGAACTCTCTAATAAACGCCACGCTTCACAGCGCAGAGGAGTACAAGACCTTCTTCGTTGGTTTTTTAAAACAACAGAAGCACTGTGATCTTTGAAGGAGATCACAACAGAAAATACGTTCGCGGGTCACTCAAAAAATCTTACTTTCATCGAGACTAGTTTACTTTTGGTTCTCATGAAATAATATTCATAGCCTCAGTGTAAGTCAAGACTTTTCCTGCAAATAGATAAGTTGTTCAGCATTCAGTGCAATGTTCGTGTTTAGAAACGTTTATTTGAAGACTTTCAAACTAATGTTGTAAAACGAAACCCCCTTACTGATCAAAATAAACCACGAGGTTGATAACTTACTAGAATCTTGACCACGATAAAAGTAAGAATTACGAACTGCTTCAGGCAAGCCCCAGAATCAAATAAAATGAGAAAAAAAGTGTGGTGCCGGAGGGAAGGGAGGGAGGGGGAATAATGACCTTACCAACTTTAAGAAAAGAAGAAGATCAGTGCAGGAGCATTTTACATGGCTTGACGAAAACATTGCTTTGGATCTTTCCAAATTATGCTTTTGTATTAAAGCATTCTGTAGTCGCTTGACTAAATACAACAATTGTCAGTTCGTGAAACCATAATAGCAACGCGTTTGTTTTGACATCACGTTTTTATTGATTAAAGTTTAAGTCACTCTTCTTTTACCCCAGTCATCAATTAATCGGTAACCATTCGTCTGACGACACGATCTACAGTAAGAACAAAACACCTCAACGGGATTAAAAATCACTGAAAAGTACCGAAACAGAGTGCTACTAAAAACATCAAAATGAACCCCTGCAAAAGGAAACTCGGTTTTTCCTATGATATTTAAACATGCAGTGGGCCAGATTTTTTCGATACGTTAAGATATATTTGTTAATATGATAGAGCTTTTCATCCACAAGGCTGAGACTTCTTGTGATAACAAATAATCATTCGACAACCTAACATACGGATATGTTAAACTAAGTGTATTATCTTCCTTTCAGAAGGGCGCAGGTTTGGTTGAAGCTACCTGTGAGCGTTTACACTTAACTATGCTGGCATTTTTATCCGTAAAATTATCCCGTGAGGTGTCAAGTCTTCTGAAACAAAACAGCCTTAAAGTATTACCATGCAAGACTAATCTAGCTAGAGGAGAACAGTTCCTCGCAGAAGGTTTTATAGTCGTAGGCTCCCGGAATCTCTCGGCCCTTGTCATCAACATATGGGTTCATCCGATCAATACAGTAGTCGGCCTGCTCCTTGGTGAGGGACTGGAACGAGAAGGAATTCAACAATTAGTTTATGAGGGTAGGAAAGCTTCAGCTTCAGCCACGGCAATTGGCTTACTGTCATAACAAGTCAACAGCAACGGACTGTGACATAAGCCAGCGATCTAAATGACCAAGGCAACAAGTCCAGCCTCCCACGCAGGCGTATTTAGGGGATCGTGGGAAGGGATGAAAAACGGGCTCCCCTAAAAACGCCTGCGTGGGAGGCTACAACTAGTCAGAAGGGGTGGTAGTAAATTTAGACGAGATTTTCACTGTTATAAAAGAGTCGCCCTTTTTAAGACATACTGGAAGAGACAACACATGCTGAATAAGACTTCTCTTAAGCGGGGAGACGAAATGACTGAAATGAATGGTCGATGAGTAAAACATTTCTTTAGACAGTCCAAATACAAGGTTTACTAAGGATTTTTTTCTAAAACTTTTGTTACATAAAGTAAAACACATAAAAATGTGGACTGAATTGAGAATGAGACGTTTTTCTCTGCGATTTCATTGCACTCTAATCCGTACCTACAGTAGACTAGCAAAGTTGTACAAATTACCTGGTAAAGCTCTGCCTCGGTAACGTACCGACGTTTTCCACCCTCAGTGAGTGCTTTGAAGGCGTTGATGACCTCTTGACTGGAGCCAACATTTTCTGTCTCACGGCTGATCATGAAAGACATGTACTCTCCCATTGATACAACACCATCACTACACACAAAAGGAAACAGTTAGTAGTCAAGAGCGGTGTTATACGTCATCAACCGTCTAGCCGGTTCTCACTGCTGGAATCAGCAAAGTCGAATGCATGGTGATATTAATGAAGAAATATGGTAATTCATAGCTCGACAATAAAACAAGACAGTTTTAATACTTTCGGGACCAGCGTAGGGCAGTCAAGACGAACTACACTGTAACGTAACTATTGTATATGTGCATGTATGCCAGATCATTATCGTGTTTCATATTCTCACCCGTTGGGATCCACCGTTCTAAGAATGGCTTCAAACTCCGGATCTTCCTCGCCCTCCTCCACAATAGACAGATCATAACCAAGCGACCGCAGGCACGACTTGAACTCTTGATGATCCAGATAGCCAGTTTTGTCCTTGTCAAAGTGTCTGGTAAAGAGATATAAATTGAGCCAAATATGAACACTTCACGTAAAGAGCATAACAGTTTCCAAAGTAAGTACAATGTAAAATTTTCCCTTCACCTCTAACCAGCCAAAAAAAGGCTGAAACATCTGGTTTACGTGTACTTTATGAATTTTAGTTACAATATTATGCATCTTACTGATAGAAGGTGGAAGAAATTTAACATCTGTTTTTGAAAAGAACGTTTCCTCTTTAGTTACGGAACTTTACGTGAGTGGGATGGGGAGCATTTTGCAATTTTTGAGCAAGAAAACGAGTCAAGTCAAACGTAACTCACGATGAAGTTTGCCCAGTTGAGTGAGTGTGAGGAGACGTTATTTATCATGTAGTGTTTAGAATTTAAAAATTCTGCCACTGACATTTAAAGCTGATTTAAAAGTTTTAAACAAACGAAGACACAGCCATCTTACTTGAACATGATGGTGAATTCTTTGAGGGTTTCTTCGGACACACCAGTTGTATTGCGGGCCTGGATTTGTTGTTCCAGATTGTGTTTCATACGCATGGCAAGTTGATCCAGCTGATCCCACTGTTGAGCAAGGTCCACTGTGCTATGCTCCGTGTATCTAGACAACAAATCAAGTGCACATCAGAAAAACATCACATGTTAATCACGCGAAAACAAAAGGCATGCTAGACTGTACCACACCTTTTCAAGAAAAGACAACGCAGACGGCAGAAAATTTTCTCTAGTCTTAACGGGTACGGTCAAGGATTATAACTCACTTGTTATCCAAGATGAGAGCCTCTTCCATCTGAGCCCCAAGATCCTCAATGATCCTAAGGTCCTCTTTCCTATCAGCGATCTCAGCACTCTTTTTCTTCACCTCTGCCAACTGATCTTCAAGGTCCCCTTGCCCATCAACCATTGCAACCCTGAAACAAAGAGAAGCGTCAACAAAATACTGCCAAGATAGGATTTTAGATACTAGTATTCGACGAGGAAGTTCTAGCCTGCGTCGTAGAAAATTTTACGAGTAGGAAAAATATAAATAGGTTATTTGCTGGTCCGGGAGGATTCAGATGAAGGAACATCCTGGATAAGTTTACTAACGGCATTTTCCTTTCGACAGACTAAACAAACTACTGTAGGTCACGGTAAACGGCTTTTGTCCCTCAAAATTTCCCCACTATGCCGTACACAAATTGGATTTGATTGCGCGAGTCAAGACATCTCTGTCTCTCTCCGTTCTCTCCCCATTCTCCCACTCGCTTTCTAAAACAGGACAGTGATGCCTCGGAGAGGGCTAACACTGGTCCATGGACAAATTTAACCAGAGGTTTAGTTTCGTCTGTGGCGCAGGTTAAGAAGCTCCGACGTGTCCAATTTTGTATTTGCTACCGATTTTTCTTACCTAGTGTCAGTCAGCCAAGCATGGAAGGCGTTGGCTGCCTGAGCGAACTCCTGCCTCAGATTGTCATTGTACTCTTGACGCTGAGCTTCCTTGCGCAGATCATCCTCACGCTCCTAAACAAAAAAATAAAGATAACAATACTTTGGTCCAGTAGCGGTTTAAAATAGAGTGCTGAAAGTTAGTTCGTGTTTGCAGTCCTTTATGAGATCGACTAATTTGCTGCTTGATTAGAATAGTAAGTATCGCTCGACTTTTCGATGTGTTTCATGTCATTACCAAGCGTAAACAAGTCAGTATAAAATGTCAAAAGTTGTTCAACGAGTTGAGTTTGAATAATTAAGCGGTATTTCTGTGTGCGTGCTGGTATGTGGATGATTATTTGCATTTGCTGTTCTTTACGATTGCCTAAAAAAATTCCTGCCAAATCCTCTTAACCAATAATAACTTCACTGTGCGCGTTCTTCCCGCGCTAAGCGTAAGCGACTCGAATTTGCTTTTATTTCTGAAATGCTCACTGGCGATGGTTATGTTAAAACTCTGACGGAAAGCAGAGCAGAACTGTTTTGCCATTTGCTGTTAAGGGTCTTTCACTTCTTTATAAAATTAACTTGATGATGTAATTGTTGCCAGAACTGCAGAAATGCCAATAGGAGACTCGCTGCTATTTGCACAAAATTTCCCTGAATAAAAAAAGACAAATCTCAGGTTTTTAATTACAAACCTCGATTATTTTCTGTAGATTTTCCCAGGTATCCTCTAAGGCCTCCATTGTGAACCAGGTGTACCTAAACACATAAAAAACGTCAAATATTAGCGTTTTCATGTTGTTAGAAACTCATGTCTTAAACAGAGAGACAACAGCGTCTAACTCTCCTCTAAGTGTTTAATCACTTACGGGTTTATGGAGACATTGTAGCTCTTGATCTGCCGATCCAGCTTACGTAACATCATGATATCATCCTCAGCTTGGTCCAGAGACGCTCGGAACTGAGTGTGTCCATCTTGCAAAGCCTTGTGGGACAAGAAAAGCGTTAATTGACCACTCAAGAAGTTACCATAACATACCATAATGCTCTTTGTTTGTCGCCCCAAAATTTTGCATAAGCATTGTCTTCAGTTTCTCTTGGGAGTTAAAATGGCCCCAAGAGAAACTGAAAACAGTGCTTATGCAAAATTTTGGGGTGACAAACAAAGAGCATTATGGCATTTGTGGAGTGGTCAATTTTAATTTTGGACCTGCTGTAGCACCTTCTGGCAATATAGCCTGTCCCAGCAGGAGTTCAGATAGTGGAAAATGGCGCGAAATCGAGAGCGGAAAAAGAAAACCCTCGTTGTTTTTCTTGCTCACTTTTTCTTTCCGCCTTCCCCACCATTTAAAAGCCCGCTGAGTTCGTTATCGTAAATGCACGTGACACTTCGATACGAACCCTGGGGAAAATCGTTAGCCGAAACGAATAGTTCGAACACTTCAATTGAACAGTTCGTTCGATTAAAGGTATCTTCTTTTTTTCCTCATAAAAACCCTTAACACATCCTGATAGTAGTGGCATTGCAACGTCAGAGTACCAACAACCCCAATGATATAGAAACGTATTAGGTACTTACACGTATTTCTTCCACAGAGTTGCATCGCACTGGATCAGTTAGGTCTTCCTCTGCATTTTCAAACCAACTGTTGAAAGCAGACGCCTTCTTAGCGAACAACAGGAACAAGTCCTCAACCTAAACAGATAGATACACGATGATTACCTGTACTGCAATGGCACCACGATAACACTCAAGATATCACGTTTTACGAGGTTGCGAAGTATGATCACACTCACGAGATGACTTCACGAGGTCAGCTTTTTAGCTTCAAAGTTATTTCGCACAGCTGTAACTGACACAATTCCAGTTCGATTTAATCTACACGTAAATAATTATCAATAAACAAAGACGAGGCTAAAATATTGATTTTTCGCTTCTTTCACTTAGAGATCGAGAAATAAACACTTGTCAACAGTTTCACGACTTTGCAGGGAAATAACTGCGCAGCTTATATTTACCTTCTTGTACTGATCCTGTGCATGTTGAAGCCTTTCCTTACGAGTCCTGGAGTCTTCCAAAAGCTGTTCCCACCTAGAAATATAACAACAGAAATGTGTTGACGTGGCTTATTAAACAAAACACGGCCCTTTGTCTCTCTTGTCCCATGAGGGGGGCGGGGAACAGGGAACAGGGGATGGGGGACAGGGGTAAGCCTTCGCGTTACTTAGACTGTTAACAGTCCCCTATTTTTCGATCGTCGAGATCGAGCGCTTTGTGTTACGGGCGGCCATCTTGGTTTCAAATGTTCCAAGTTTAGCCTAGGGATGAGTGTCAAGTCTACTTAGGTGGCGAGTCATTGGGTATGTTAAAACGACGTTTCCAAATAAGGCTATAATGCTGCTGTAAGCTCATCAGCCATTGGTTAGAGGAGTTTCTTACCTCCTAATAAGGTCATCATGACGTTTAATGATGGCAGGTGACTGTTCGTGTTGTGATTGGACCAGCTCATCCTTCAGCACTGTCACACGTGCGATTCCTTCGTTTTCAAACGCTTGAAGACCAGAGTCAAAAGTTTCCTAAAATAAAAAAACAAAGTTATAAAATATGAAGGCATACACGATAAAACGCACATGTACAAATGGGTCATGTCACAAACCTGTTTGGTGAAAAGAGTCTGCACAGACGATAAATCTCGTCCCAGATCATCTGACCGAGCAATTCCTTCCTTGTCACCTGCAAAATATAATGAATCTGTTGAGCGCTTTTGACAGACACTGTGAACAAAGGCACCTTAGTCTAGTACCATATATGACAGTTACAAAGTTCTTGGAAGACAGCGTCACGACAGTCGAGACCACCTCGCTTGGTATTGTCACTCGCCATGGAAATCAACGTTAGGGAAGAAATTATTTGTAAATGGCAAAATCACAACTTGCTAACAAACAAATACGTCCGCCAAGAATTATGTATAAAGTAAAACAAAACAGCGATAAACTTTGAAAAACTATTTGGCCGAAGAATTTTCAAAAACCCCGATTGCGATTTGTTTTAATCTTCTTCAATTTTCTCCATCAGTGCCTTTTTTGTATTTTCTTTGTTATTTAAGCTTTCCTTGAATGTTCTAAGCGGTTATTTTCATCTTCACTAAATAAGGTGGTCAGTTCCCACCGTATGAATTCGGCGAAATTGCGTTAATAGCTTCGTTAATTCATTGGCACTTTGAGTATCCATCCTTATAACATTTAACTTTTAGTCCCGCTTTAGACAAAGCAGTATAGGACACATCCGAACAACACAGAGTTTGAGAAATGGGAAAATGAATGAAATATAACTCAAAAACGTTTTAGAAGAACGAATTAAACAAATGCAGCTCTCACCAATCCATGATTCTACAACATCTGCCTTCCAGTTGAACTGCAGGAAAGCTGAGTTGTCATTCAGTTTGGATTTTCGATAGGATGCCATCCTCTCCAATTCTTGCAGCTTGCTCTATACGCAAAAATAAACGAAACAGTAAATAAAGACAATTGAAATAAATAAAGACGAAACTCGTTTGTTGCCAAAAAGAGCAGTCAAAAGAGGTTTGTTGTAGGATAAGTGGAAATGATGACTACAGAAAGCTAAACAAACGTTATTACCTTAATGGATGAAATCCTGTGTTCAATCAGTTCAGATTGATGATTTCCCTGAAAAGACGAAAAAATATATTTAATTACATTAGCATCCGATGGAGGCTACATTTATACTCATGAGTACTCACAAAGTTTACTATGAAAACATGAATTCCGACCTAACTTCAATCCGTCCACCGTATTGCTACTTAACAAAACCTCATCTGCCGTAAACTAAACTAGTGGTAATGTCTGCATTGGATGATTTTACGGAGTGGAAACATTTTTTTTCTTAATAAATATTGGGCTTCCTTGGAGGTGAAACTATCACAAAGCATTATTGAAGTGACCTTCCTAACTAACCTTTTCAATCAGCTTATTTCCGGAATCTTCAATGTCCTGCACCCTCTCCCTATGAACCTCCAGATCAGTCTCAAATGCTTCATGTTTCTTGAGAAGACCCTGGTTGAAATCAACAAAAAGTTACGTTTGTTTCCATCAGAGGATCCTACTGTATTTAAAACGGTTTAGAAAACTGAAAATGATAAGCGTTTAATATACCTAATTCAATAAAGGTTACTTTGGCAATGGGACATTGGTAACTGGGGATTTGGGGATATGGAACTGGTTACCCACTGCAATAATCTGCGTGAGTGACCGCCAAACAATAGTTTCCCAAAGCGCAATGGCAGTTGCCCAACGCCCAAAACGACCTTTATTGAATCAAGTAAATTCATACCGATATATACGGTCTATTCTGTGTTTGGTACCGTATTTATTCCATTAGACGCCGCGTTTATTAAATTTTGAGTGTTTCCGTTTTTGTCTTAGATCACTGCCAACAATTACGATAAATCATTTGCACATATTATTTAAATAAGAAAGATGTTAAAAGTTTCAACGTCTCGCTCTTTTTGTTGAGATATATAGAATCGTGATTACCTGAATGGTGTATAAAACAAAGTTGTACCGTTTTTTTAATTATAATCCTCGAATATAAGCCGCATTCTTTTGATTGGGAGCGGCGTTTATTCAAGGGATTCGTTTATTGGTAATTTTACTTCCACAGACGGCGATTCTTCGAGGGCAGCGTTAAATCGAGTGAATACGGTATGTGAATTTAATTCTTACCTGAACAGCAGCCAGCGTGTCACCATAGTCGTCACTACCAACAAGAGTATTCTTTTCATTGATCCAGGATTCCTCTTCACCCACATTTGCACTGAACTGTTGGTAGGCAAGAGACTCGTCCAGTTTGTGCTGCCTAAAGAAATAAAACCAACACACATCTAAGACAGTTCCATCAAAGCAACCGAATCACTTAGAACACTGAGCTGCTGGTTTACAAGTCAATCTTTAACGCAGAACCCACAATAGAGAACATTTAACTGTTGGGCAACCATACAATCAGGTCTAGTTGGTAGAGCTGATTGAGCTCTAAGTTAGTGTACATGATTCAAGTCAGGGTTAATTAAAGACTGATATTTCAGTACATAAACAGGAAGGTTGGCTGTAGAATAAACAATAAATTCCAGTACTGCACGAGGTGCAGCCGACACAGCACTGTACTGACAAAGCATTGCAAAAGCAGAATCTGTTTAGGAAGGAAACACTTTGTGACGTTATCTTAGACTACCCTGGTACAGTACCTTTGTTCAGCAAGATTCTTGAGCTCATCCCAGTTTTCCTGAAGCTGATCACAACGGGCCTTGATCTCATCAGAGCTGCTGTGACCTTCATCAATAAATTTATGTCCGCATGCCAGGACAGCCTATAAGGAAACAAATGTGATTAAGAATCTAAATTCTCCATTCTTGATTCACTGCATTTACAGTAACAGTTAAATGAAAAATGAGATTTTCACCTGAATCCTTGCTTCATGATTGTTAAGTTCAGCTTCAAGTCGTTGGTGTTTCTTACGCAGGTTCTGCACTCCAGTCAAGTCCTTGCCATAATCTTCAGAGCTTGTTAACAACTTCTTTTCCCTGATGAAAAAAAAACGTCACATTTTGTGTTATGTTTACAACATGAGCGCCAAGTTGGCCTTAAAATGTAAGTCCAAAGGAAAAAAGATCGTAGGAGCCAAAATAACACAATGCTCACGTTGGAAAAGGCTTCAAAAACTTTCCTGTAGATCTGACCAATTTTTAGAGCTAAACTCAGCCACATTTTGCTACATTTACAGACCTTCATCACACATAAAATGTCCTTTATATTTTGCTCACGAATTAATTATAAAGTTTTAAGCACTTCACAGCGTTTGGAGGAATAACTTACTTGATCCAGGACTCCTCATCATCCAAATCCCGGTAGAACTGGTGCAGAGCATTGGACTCATCCAGTTTCTTGTGGCGATCTTCAGCCATGTCCTTCACCCTACAAAAAATTATCACGTCTAATACCACTGCCTTTGACTGTTTGGTTGTGTGTGTGTGAGTGTGGTGGGGGGGTTGGAGGGTGTAGGGAGGGAAAAAGGTGAAATAGGGCTGAAAGGTAGTGAGAAATTAGCCAGAGAGTAGCAAGCGACTGCTATCCGCAGCAGAAAGTTCGAGTTATTCCTGGCTGTCTTGTAGTGATGAACAGAATGTTTCACAAGCATTGTAACTTGTAAGTATGACAGGTTAACTTACTTGTCATAGCGTTCGGCAATGCCACGAGATTTATCCTGTAGGGAATCGGCATCAAAATGACCAACTTCCGCAAAATGCTGAGTTTGAGCCTGCAGATCTGTTATACGATCCTGAAAAATAAAAGATTTTTTTGTAAGTCGGCAAAGTAAAAATGCAACATTTTTGGCAGAAATTTAAACAGCAACATTCTAGCTTATCATCCACTTTATACTTACCTCATGGGCAGCAATATCTGCCTCAACAAGCTGATGTTTCTTCATCAGATTCTGCACGCTTGCTAAGTCACGACCATAGTCATCTTGAGAAAGGGATGCTTCTACCTAAAATAACAAGATAACAGGTTCATAAGTAACTTGGTCATCCAGCTAATTTGTATACAAAATGTAAAGGGAGCTTTGATCATTATACAACAACGACTAGGAACTACCACTGTTTTTTTTCCTAATCCGCCTTCTCCACCATGAAAGACATTGTCTCATTTGCATTCTGTCTTGATGTCCATGGGTACAAACTAAGGGAACTTTCCATTTGTCAGAACTGGCCAGCCAGACCAATCCTGTCATTATGAGAGTTTCACTTTTAATCAAATTTGTCCAGCGAAATTGGTCATTTGCTGAATAATATGCATGGGGTTGATGGTTTTTTTTTTTAGCAAAAACTCTTTAAGATGGCCTACTTCATTTTTGAAATGACCGGTCTAGCCGGCTAGTTCTGACTGGTGCCCTAAGGGTCCCTGTGCTGTTTTGTCCAGTAATGAACAATCCAAGCTTTGAGCACACAAAACTAGCCTCTCCAGACAGTTGGTGTCTTGAGTATGACATTGAAGACTTCATTGTCCCTTGCATAAACCTTCAAGTTATTTCTGAGTGGTCTCATCTGCCAACACAACTCCACAGGTCAGGGAATTTTATCTTTCTTACCTCTCCAAGCCAGAAATCCAACTCTTTGACATTATTGTTGAACTGTTGTTGCTGATTAGATTCCTTTAGGTGCTGACTTTTCTCGCTGGATTTCTGTACCAAGTATTCCCACTGCTGTTGAAGTTTAGTGATTCTTTCCTTAACAATCTCCTCGCTTCCTGCACACTTCCGTTGTTCAATAAGACCTGCATAGAAAAGAGGAAAAAGTCAGCAAAAACCCCACCTGTTTTCGTGTAACCACCTCCACTTCGTCAGGAAACAGAAAAAACACTGAGATGTGACCATCGTAAAATTTGCTGGAATTCTACTTTCAAATAGTCCTTAAGATGAGAAAGCACTTAATCTTCTCCTGAAACACAAAATTTAAATTTGTTTCATTCTTATAAGATTTTAATTAGCCGGTCAGAGCAAAGAATTTCACCAAATGAAATAAAAGTTACAGCCTCAACATATCTCCATATCTGGCTCAGGAGTAAGAGTTCGCGTTTGAAGAATATCATTTTTACCTTCTGCCAAGTTGATTGTCTCTAAAACCCGCTCTTGATTGGCTGACACTTCAGCTTCAAATGCCTGGTGCTTCTGGAACTTGGACTGAAAAAACAAAAACATAACAGTTTTCTAAAAGCCTGAATTAAAAAAACTCCACCTCATCTAAAAGGTAACAGTTCAAAATAATTGCCAGAGAATTGTCTTGTGTATTGTTCACAATATTCTCCAGAGATTGCAATAAGAAGAACAATTTGCCAGAAAACTACACCCATCATGGCTGATCATTTCATTTATTATCTGTCTGCTGCCCTGCATAAAGCTATTGTAGCAATAATATGATGCTGAACATGACTGAGCTCAAGTTAAACATAACTGAATCGCACCTGTAGGTTGGTTGGATCTTTGTAAGATTCATCCAGAACAGTCTGCAGCTTTTCACTGACCCAAGCCTCAATGTCTTCAGCATCACGGCTGAACTGCTGAATGGTTTTAGATTCACCCAGCTTGGAACGACGCTCAACAAGTGCTGCCTTTAGTGTAGCCCACCTGCAGAGCAAAATAAGTAGAGAGAACATTAGACAAGCAGTTACAACTAGAGTTGCAATGATACCTTTGTACATGTTACGATAAAGGTAGCGTTACAAGGGTTATGATACAGTACACATTTTCTATCTTACACATTGTTGAAAGGGACTACAGTCAGCTCCCTTTAAGACAGAAACCATTGGGGCCAGCAAAAAGTGTCCATCTCAGAGGTGCACAAGAGAGTAAAGAAAGGCAGGGACAAACTCTGACCACTCTAAGTTTTCTGTATCAGCAAGGTGTCTGTCTTATAGAGAGGTCTGTTCACAAGAGAGTTATAGTTAACGTGTATTAAATACACATTAACTACAACTCTCTTGTGAACAGAATAGGACCAGAAGTGGGTGGGGAGCGGGGATGGTTTTCTTGTTTAAATATCTGTATTTGAACCTGGGGAAGAAATTTGGTGGTCCACCAATGCATAAGTTCATTGCTCCGGCCGTTTTATGACATTATACAAGAAGGTGATCAGATTCCTAAAGTGTTCTGAAAAAAGTTGTTAGTGGAGTAAAATTTTATATCATGAATAGGAATGGGACCTGCAAATCAATTTTTTAAAAAAGCTGTCGTTGCAATGGTGAGAGAAAAGAAAAACTGTTTTATTACCTAGCCAAAACAGTAGCAATCCTCTCTGCAATTGCAGGAGAATCATAGTGATCAGCTTCAATCAGCTTATCTGCATTGTCCTTCAGAGCATTGATCTTCACATCCTGAACAGCCAGAGTCTTGGTGAAGTCTTCGTGCTTCTTAATAAGAGCTTCTGCACCTTCAGCTGCTTCTCCAACATCTTCACTCTGAATGATTGCCTCACGGGTGGCCATCCACTGCTCCAGTTGCTCAGCATCACGGTTGAACAGCTGTTGGATTTAACCAGATAGGTTGTGTTAGTAAGACAGTTAGCCTTGAGACAATCTACAACTGGGAAGAGGAAAAAGGGCCAGCCAAAAACCACCTGGCGGAGAATAGTGATGAAAGACCTGGAAGAATTGGGGCCAAAGCTCAGGACAAGGTTGAATGGCGACGTTTGATTGCAGCCGTATGTTCCAGCTGGGATGAAGAGGATGAGTGAGTGAGTGAGTGAGTAAGACGGCTAAGTTATCAAAGAGTATAGGTAAAGAAGAAATCATACACAGTACACGCTAGAGTAATTCTACTGACCTGCAGTTCAAAGCATTCATCAAGCCTCTGCTTGCGAGCAGCCCAAGCCCTGTAATTAACGCATTCAAATGCATAAGGAAAACAGACATTCAGACACAGTAGACCTGTCTTTATAGAACTTAAAACTAATGAAACATTGCTTCCGGCTCATTTCAAAACATCCAAAATGCTGGCAGACATAATTATGCCTGTTTATTGAGAAGCTGTGAGACTCATTATCTCATTGGCACAAATGAAAATCTTGAGTCGTCTACAGACAACAAACCCCTACCAAATCAAAAACAGGGCAGATGCTTCATCCCAAGAGCTATTAAGAGAAATGTATTTAGCAAGTCTAATGATTCTCAGGCCTTGTACATAGAGATCCTTTTTGCTCCCCAAACGGCAAGTACATTACAAGCCAAAAGCAATATTTTCAAGAAGGCCAGGTTTTGCACACAGTGTAATGGGGAAACTTACTTTTCAAGTTCTTCGCGCTCCTTAGCCATTGTGTCCAATTTTTCACGGATATCAGGACTGGCATAATGTTCTTTGTCCAGTAACTCTTTGCCAAAATCTTCGAAAGCTTGGAAAGTACTATCACGTGCATCAATTTCTGCTCGGTGTTCCTGTATTATAACCCCAAGAGATGTCAGCATTTAAAGAAAACCACTCTTATTCATGAAGAAAATCCCTCTATGAAAATATTAAACTGTTGCTACCTTTTAGACAAAGACAAAACTAAGAGCAATAGGGATAGAACTGGTATATTTTGACCAAATAACTTAGTCTTCATCAGTCCGGAGAAGAAGTTAAGTGACGGTACAGTATCATGATCACAGGTAATTATTGGTAGTATCTTGTCTACAAGTCATGTACATGTACCGGTACTTCATTGTCAGTGCTCCAATGGCTCTTTAAGTCCAGTCAGTATTTCAGGGTTTATGACATTTCATGCTCTTTAAATTCCACGACTTTCAATGACTTTTTCACGACCCTATAAAGTTTTCTAGGACCTTAGGTTTAGTTATTACTGAAACTTTTTAATACTATCCTTGTTAATAGGGTATTTTGTTACCTAACACAGTTCAACAGACAAAAACTCATATGTATACTTGAATGTGTGCCATTTGCTCTGTTCTTATAAGACGAGGGTGGTCTCCGGAACATCACACTATACTTGTGGTATGTTATTACCTGGTGTCTGTCCAAGAGTGCTTCAGCACTGGCCACATCTTTAGCAAGTTCATCTGATGTAACAAGAGCCATGATACCATTGATCCAGGACATGAGATCTCTAAAAATGGCAAATAACACTAATTCACAAGTCTGAAATAAGCTGTAAGGGGCCACTGTACTGAGATCTGCTAGGGCATGGCCTGGAGACCGGAAAAGGTGGAAATCAAACTTACCTAAACTCATTGAGGAAGTTGAAGTAATCATATGAATCTCTTAACTTGCCCTTCCTAGCAGCAGCCTAATAAAAAGAAGAAAAGAAAAGAAATATTCCAACTGAAAACAATAACTATTTAGTTTTCACTGTGAAACAAAGGAGTAAGCAACAGACCTGTTCTCGTAAGCTTGCCCAAGCCTCTTCTAATTCATGTCTCTTCCATTCAATGTCCTGTGCAGCATTTGGGTGGCTGGAGGTCAGTTTAGCTGCTTCCACATTCAATTCTCGAACCTGATGGGAAAAAATCCAGCATACAGAGCATTGTCGAAATTATATTGCCTTTGGAAGTGGCATGCCTCTGCAATGCTAAAACCAACAACACTTTAACAACTGTTTATCAAACCTTCTCTTCCAAAGCTGCCAAATCTCGCTCTAACACTTCATGCTTTCTCTGCAAGGCCTGGACACTAGCCAAATCACGGCCATAATCTGATGTAGACAGTGCTGTGTCTTTTTCTGAGATCCAAGCTTTAGTGTCATCAGCATCCCTAAAAACACCAGACAATCATTTAGTATAAAGACACAAAACAAAATTTGCTTTTCTCAAACAAGAAAATGTTACAAAATCAAGTCAAAACCAATCTTACTTTAGAAGATGATTACTATTAACCAAGACAATGTTTTGTAGCAATAGATTTCATTTTGTGAGGATCTTAAAAAATGGCCAGACATCCTAATGAGTTCTTAGTTTCTTATACTTTTGCCAGGATTTCCTCAAAAGTGTGTTTTCACCCCAGTTAGCAATCTAGAGATCTTAGATGTCTTTGTACCACAAACGAGTCAGAATTGAGAAGCAGAGGATAGTATCTTTTGGCTAGATTCAAGGGACAAACCCAGTATGGCCAAGAAAAGCAAAGTGTAAATTTAATATGTAGTAGAAACCTTTGGTGTCCATTACCTGTGAAATCTTTGAATCTCCTGGGCATTGTCAAGGTTTTCTTTCCTTTGTTCAGACATGACCACTAGGTTCTTCCACTTCTGATTTAATCGCTGTTAAAGGAAAGCCAATACCTCATCAAATACAGTTATTTTACTTGCTTTGATGCAAATATAATCATTTTATATGACTTGTTAGGCCATTTTATTGACCAGTCATCAAACAATTAACCAACTGATAGACCGAACTGGTAAGTCAAGATGTTAGATGAAGATGATTGGGACTGCTCAATTAATTATAGTGAAATGCCACAGTTTGCAGTTAAAATAAATGACATGATGAAGTCAATAAAAAAATTATTATAATTGTCCTTTTTATAGTCAGTGAGCAAGCATTCTACTGGTCAGACACTCAGTTCACAGTTAGTCATTCAGTGGGTTATTATGTCAGTGAGATAGTAAAATGGTGAGCCAAAAATAAAATTTACGGTCCAGGAAAAAAAAATATTTGTTCTGAACATTCAGTCAGTCAGTCAGTTATTTTTTCAATCAGCTGGCCTTACCTCAATCATTTCACGGATCATTTCATATTCAGAATAGTGTTCAACCTTCAGCTTCTCAGCAAGTATAGTCAGCTCTCTGATTCGAACCTCTTTGGATATCATGTCCTACGTAAAAAGCACATTATTTCATGTTAGTTGCCAAAAAAGACCCTGCTAAGTAAGTACAATCATTATCACATACCTTCTCAAAGTCATCAAACTTCTTTTGTTGTGCTTCAACATGCTCAAAATCCTTTCCGACCTCTTCAGAAGTTACAATGGCTTCCTGAAAGGGAATATACCCACCAAATGTCAGCACTCCAATAACTAGCGACATAAAAAAACTTATTTTTTTCGATATCAAAATGTTGAGCATGTAAGCATGATTACTACAGTCCTTTTTAATTCCAAGCCTTGTTTGTACGGCTGTTACAACAAATTTGAAGCATTCATGCTTCACTTATTTAGCGGGAGTTTTAGTGTAATAAATATTAATATTAGTAACAACACTAATAAATACTATTAATAGCACAAGACATATTGTCTAAAAGGGATGCTGGTGTCTCAGCAGAAAATATTGTAAATGTTTAAGACTTCGTACAGTTAAGTCTCTGTAGCCTAGCTTTTTATATGTTAAAGAATAGTTGTTTGTGAGCGATGCTTCATTTCTATTAAAGGATTGAATAACGTCTGTTACAGCGGGACTACTATAACCAGGACCAATCAGATTACCAGGAACATTTAATCAAAATAAACAACATAGATCGATATCAACAAATTACAACCTACAGACCTGACCTTTTTAACCCACTGAAAAAAAGCCTGTGTTTCCTGAGAGGTCTGTTAGAGTGAATGACGCAGGCAACCGTAAACGTTAGTTTAATTTTTGACTTTAGGTCATGATGTTATTGCAATGTGGAGCAATGGTAGCAATGGTTGCTGGTAGATGACGAAACAACAGCTTCTATTAGACAAATATGTCTCCTGGGAGTTATATGTAAAGTCTCGAACAGAAAAACAAAGTTTGAATAACGTTTGCTGGTAACTTGTTGTTTTATTACGAGTTCCTGATTGGCCCACAACCAACTTTCTTGGAATGTATTGTTATTTTCCTGTAATCTGATTGGCCACCTTTGTCTAAGTGGCCCCAGTTACAATAGTCGCACTGTAAATCAATCAGTTTAGACCTTATCATTAATCCAGGACTCTAGCTCGTGAGCATCTCTCAGGAGAGAGTAGCGCTGAATGGAGTCCTCCAGTTTCTTTTTACGATCCTCTCCTTTGTCCATTAAGTCTTGATACCTGTCACACAAATAAGATACAGAAAACTAATGAGTAAAAATGTCGCAACTGGTTTTCCTTTAACACCTGATGCAGGATTGAGTTTACAAAAGTAACGCTACGAAATGGGTGTTTACTCATCAATAATTTTTAATCCCTGTTGTTTGATCAAGTTTTGAGGATACTTAGGACCAGTTCAGACGCTGTAGTTTACATAAGCCAAATCAAATTCCATTTTAGGCTGACTCAAATTAATTTAGGACAGCTGAATTAATTCAGAGGCTGATCTTTAATTCTTTGGGAAGTAAATAGGGAAAAAAATGGGCGAATTTTGGTAACCTGCTTTGTAAAAATTTATGCATTTGTTTCAGCTCAAGAAGTTTGATGTCTGAATCAATGTCATTCCAGAGCCACTACTCCCAGCTGAGCAAGGCATGAGCAATCCGCATTCAATTAGCCGTGTTGAATTGATTCAGATGCCGTAATTCAGATGCTGTACTTCTCATGAACTTAATTCACTGTGTTTGATGTGGCTCAGATCATGAGAAGTATGGCTTCTGAACTGGGCCTTAATCACAAAAAGGCTACATCCTAGTGCAAACTGGACAATAAAATTAACAATTAGTTCATGCGTCAGCGTGCGTATGTTGAGATATTGAGCACGCGGGAAGTTTGGAGAGCACGAAAGAGGCGTAAGAGTTGCACGAGGTGCAGCCGAGTGCAACTCTAGCCTCTTGAGTGCTCTCCAAACTTCCCAAGTGCTCAATATCTCGACATACGCACAGCTGCAGCATGAACTAATTGTTTTATAACATTATCAAAGCGATCAATGCAGCAGTTAACTGAAAATTTTATTATTGAAGGGCGCTCAAAGCAGTACGCGTCAATGTTTACGTGAATATATCTTTTTTTCTTCACAGTTAATCTTATGTTTTTATCCTGAAACTGAGAGAAAGTGTACTCTAAAATGATTGTAAAATCCATATTTAGGTGCCGGCAAACTATTAATTTACCGAAAAATTGTTATTGAGAGAAAACAACTTTGCAAAGAATGATCTCACGCCATAGCCCGCACAGCTCGTGGAGATGACAACAACAACAACAACACTCACCTCTTTTCCCTACTATCGGTTAACAAACTCAAACGTTTCCTCTTAAATTTCCTTGTAAAACAGATGGTAAACGCTTCATTGTCTATTGCTGAGTTATGGATGCACTCAAGAGACTCAGGATTGCTAAGCTCACAACAACTCGAGGAATTACGAATAGTTTATTGACGTCATCAGCGTGCTCAATAGGAATATGAAGCACGCTCGCGCTATTGAATTTGATTAGGCGAATTTTCTAGCTATGTTATAAAGTAATATGGTATATGGTAGCAGAAATGTATTAATCAGCACACACTCACTTGTCATCTAAAGCCTGCTGTCTCTGTGTAACAGAATCAACTTCAGGAGCTTGTGCAAGGATCTCTTGGGAAGCTCTGTGTGAGTCAATCCTCTTGACATATGCTGCAGGAACAAAACCCTGTCTGTCATTTGTCTCCACTTTCCACCAATCCTGTGAAATATATGGGTAAAAGCAAGGATTCAGAAAAATGTTGGTCCTTGTCCATTCCAGTACAGCAAGATAATGCACTGCTATATCATTACTCTTGCCAAGCAATCAACTGACATACAAGATGACTAAACTGTGTATGTATGACAAATGCGATACTCACTATTTTGAATTTAAACAGAAAGTACAATGAATTGAATGTTTACTGACCACAGTTCAACATGGTGAATAGTTAAGACCTCTCAAGATTGCTGTGTTTATTTAATAATTTATTATTTATTAGAACGACCATCAAATTTCCCAGATTTAGAATGTTATACTTAACCACTTGTAGTCTTTTGTAACATGATCAATGAAAGAAATTGCAATGAATGTAAAATATGTCATTGTAGCAGCAACCATTTTTCATGTAGATAATGTCTGACCTTGTTACTGGAGTTCAGCAGCGTTAAGACATCTCCCTTCTGCATAGATACCTCCCTTGCAGTCTTTTCTTGGTAATCATACAGTGCAACTACACATTCTTTATCAGACAGGTCACTGATATGCGCTGACTCCTGAGAAAAGAAATTATAATAGCAAAAAACTTCAAACTTTTAAAATATAACTGGATTTTTCATGGGGGGAGAGGGAGGGTTGGAAATTAGAGCAGAAAATGTGGTCTGTCCCTTAAAGAGCTTCAATTTAGAACAATGTCCATCAATGACAGCCAGCCTTCACATCTGCTCTGGTTATTTTGAACTCCATGCTGGGGCCAAACCACCCCTCAAATCAGTCATACAGACTAAATTTACATATCTTTCACATTTATCTTCATTTCTTGGCCAAACTTTCCAGATAGACTTCAATTGTTGACCAGGTGATTTTAAGTTTTCGTTTGATGCCAAATGTCAAATTATGATGACACAAGGGCTGACATCACCAAAATAGGTTAAATGAATTTTTTGATTTCACAGTCAACCTTATATCCGAAAGAGAATAAGAGGAGAAGTAAAATGCTGAAAAACGTTTTTTGCTACGACATATAGAAGCCGAGTTATGGGACTTTAACAATATTTTTGTGCACCCCCGGAAACCATACTTTTCCTTAAAAAATAAACCCTTTAATTTATTTTTTACATTTTTTTGCAAAATAAGCTTGGGTTATATCCAGGAAATTATAAGAGGTATATCCACCTCAGCTGTCAAACTAGCTGTTATAAAACTAAGACATTAAAAGAAAAACAACTTTTTTCCATCTGAAAAATATAATGGGCATCCTTAAGACACTTGAAAAGGGCAAGTCTGTGTCTCAAGAAGCTGAGTTGAACTTGCAATCCAACAGAAAATCTGACCAAAGTACTGACCTTGCAGTTTTGACTTTGTTCTCGTAGTCCATCGATTTCAGTTCCATAAGCTCTCAAGTCTGACATGATGGCAACATGTTTGGTCAACAATGCCTGAAAGAAGAAAACAAAATATAACTGTTAGCAAAACTACAAATAAAAAGAACCAACACATCATGCATCTAGGTGTATTTCATACCTGTGCACTGTCCTCATCTTTGCCATAGTCATCACTGGTGACAATTGGCTCTTTTTCCTTCAGCCATGACTCAGCTTCAGCAACATCAGCAAGGTATTGATGAGCTTGGAGAGAATCATCAAGGTCACTCTTCCTTGCAGCTGCCTTGTCCTAAAACAGCACAATATATTTTTAATATTTTGTCTGCCTCTATGTTCCCCTCCTTCCCCAAATTTTCTTACATGTACACCTAACATCACTTTAAGTGTAGGTGCAGTCAAATTTCTCCCTATAGATGGGGATGCCTCCCAAAAGGAAAATGCTTTCTCTGTCCCAAAGAAGCCTAACTTCCGACAATCTCTGAACACACCTCTGTGATAAAAGACTTTTCCCTAGTATTGGTATCAATATTAAGACGATTTGACTGTGTTTTCCAAAATGAAGTTCTTTGTCACCAAAGGGAAGTCAGCTTTTTCATCACCTGAAAGAGCTATAAAAGTTGCAATGAAGAGAAAAAGGACCACACCTTAAAGTCAACCCATTTTTGATCAAGATCATCAATCTTCTCTTTAATTTCATCAGAAGCAAAATGTCCTAAAGCAAAACAGAAGGCTGACATTAGCAATTATGGCACAAAGTAACTCAGAGTTTCATCCATAACATCACCGAACAGATAGGAGAACACAACAGTAACACAGCACTTAAAGATTACTCAGGCCAAAGGTAAAGGTTTAGAGACTGATGACAAATTGGCTGTAGAAAGAACATGCTGTTTGTAGAACTTTCTTTATTCACAGTGAGCGCTCTGAATTACAAAGGAAATGATTCCTTATCAAACAATGATGGAAGCAGTAGCAAGAATTTTTGAAAATTTCTTTATGTCCAAAGAGCAATGTAAACAAATTCAAAGGAATGATAATTTATACAATAATATTAAAAGTTACTGTGCTTTTCACAAATATGCGAACTCTAAAGTTCAAAAGCCGCCTTCACAATTGCATTTTTTGCTGCCATTAATCATGATTACTATCACAAGCAACAAACCTTCATACACAGAAACACACAAAACGGATCGAAATCCACCAATCAAAAATCAAAAACCATGACCTTTAAACCAGTTAAAGCTTTGTTTCCTAAGAGGTCCGTTAAGATGATTGACAGCAGCAAAAAATACAATCGTCAGTTAGCTTTTGAACTTCAGAATTCTCATGTTTGTGAAAAGTACAGTAATGCCAAGATAACATTTCTCTCTTAAGTTCCCGCACTATACTCAGTTAATAAAGACACTCAAATCGGGCCAGTGAACAACCAGAATGTTGAACAGAGCATGAAGTTTGAATATTAATCATTCTGAACATGCATTTTCCCGGTGAAAATATTCATTTTCTTAATACCTACCATTGTCAATCATCTGAACACCATTATCGCATACTGCCCTGATACGAGGCTCATGTCCTGCAATTTCAGTCTGCAAAAGAGAATTGATACAGGTCGAATTAAACACAGCACCACAAGGAAAATGCAATGAGACAGCTAAAATCTTTTTTGAGACAAACATCTGTCATTTTTGCCCAGATGCCTTTGAAGACTTTTTCCTCTGCAATAAGCTTAGCAGTTTTTCAAAAAAAAGTATCTGTATGTTTGACATACATGTTTCCTTTATTCTTACCATTAATGCCTGATGTTTCTTGGACAAATTCTGAGCTCCTGTCAAATCTCGCCCTAAAAAGTGTGAAAACAAAAAAACAAAATATAACTACATTTTAATTTCAACCTTTACTCACCTCTTTACAACGATGGGAACACACTACGTAATAACCCTTTCCATGTACCTGTGTTTTTGGATGAAGCAATAGGTTCTTTTTCCCTGATCCAGGCTTCTTCATCTTCAACGTCATGAAGGAATCGTTTTAGTCTTTCAGCATCTGCAAGTCTGGCTTTACGGGCCAGGAGTGGAGCCTGTATTTTTTTTTCAAAAATGTAATCATTAATTACATTACAATCCATAACTATAAACAATACCTACAGGCAGCAAAAAGCATGTTTCCCACTGCTTTGGTCAACTACAGTAGTCCCAAGATCTCACTAGGTAGTCTTTATAAAATATAAATGACCAATTTGAAGGGAAATGTCATTCTAGCTTGGCTTTCAAGATATTTTTGGTGATTCATCCTATTTTTGTGTTAACTATAAATTTTAATCCAATCTACTATTCCAAGTAGTCTCCTCCAAATTTGCCCATCCATGCTTCCTTTTTGGCTTTTCTGTACATTTGTGTCCTCTACAGTTTAAAGTAAATGGAGTTATTTGGGATTTCATTTCCTTGTGTGACTGTTGGGTAATGTGAAATTGCCTAAAATAACATGACCTGACCCTAGCCAAAATGAGCTCTTCTTGTGCCCTTGGAATACATACTCCTTTAAACAAAACAGTATTTCACAAACACTGCTTATGTACTGTCCTACTTGCAACCTAATGGCTCATTAAACAGGCTGTAAAGTGTAGACTATAGGAAAGCAACCAGCTGAATTAGAACAACAAATAGAAAAAAAAACTCACCTGAAGCTGCTGGTATCTGGCATTCAAAACTTCTTTCTTCTCTGCAATAGCTGGAGCATCAAAGTGATCAGCCTCGGCAAAGAGGTCAGCTTGGGCATTAACAACTTCAATTTTCTCCTAACAAACATGACGAAAATAATAGAAATCAAAAGTTAAGCTTTCCAAATTAATGTTATTATAATACGACATGTTTCCTTTTGGCTTCAATCAAAAGTTCCTAAAATGAACAGTTGCTCGTGAAATGAAGGGAAACTTTGACATGAAACTTAGACCAGTACACTCCTTTTTTAGACTGTTAATGTAAATGAAAATTTTCTTTTTGCTTTACCAGAAAAGACAAGGTAATTTATAAGGAGAATTCAGCAGTATATTAGAAGTTGCTGAGAGTTTTTACAGGCACCCTATTCATTACTCACCGCACGGGCCACAATATCAGCCTCAATCATTCCATGCTTCTTTTGAAGATTCTGGACACTTGTCAGATCCTAGAAACATAAAAATAGTGGTAACATTATCAATGACGAGCAAGGGAGTAAATTACTTTCTTTTATACAGATAGTATATACTAAGGCTTGATGCCGAAGGGTAAGACAAGACTAGTTTAGGAGGAATAAACTTCCAAAAACACCACAGTCTCTTTGAAATGTCAGTTTGAAAACAACTTTTTTGTCTAGGCTAAAAAACTGCTTAAACATGAGTGGGTTCAAGTGACAGTCTGTAACAAACCTTTCCAAGGTCTTCAACAGCAAGAAGATTTTCAACTTCTGAAAACCAAAGCTCAACATCTTCAGCAGCCCTGAGAAAAAAACAAGGATGTCAGTTGATTTAGTTGTCGAGAAATGAAAAAAAAAACACAAAAAATCACTTGTTAAAGTTCGAAGAAGAATGGGTTTCAAATCATTCCACTCTTGGTTCTGTAAATGAGCAAGTGATGTAGAGTAATAAAGATAGAACAAAGGAAATGAAAATGTAACGTCAGAAAACTGCTGACATTTCATGGTGCCACCACTGGTTTCCCCATGAAATGATGTCTGAGAAATGAGTGCAGTCATTCCATACTGATGATGCACTGTGATGTGACACTTACCAGATCTGGGTAGTGACATTTTGGGGGGAAACCGGCAGTGACATCGCGAAATGTCAGCAGTTTTCTCAAGCTTATGGTCATTTGCTATTAACAATTCCAGACCAACCAGAAACCAGAGATTCTTAGAAAACATGGTATAAATGTTAAGTACTGACCGGTTAAATTGTTGCTGCTGTGCGGCTTCCTTTAACTTATTGCCTGAATAGAAAATAATAGTAAAATAAGGAGAGTCATCATGAAATAAATACTATCATTTAATTTAGTCTTGCAGGTTGATGCACTGGTGCTCACAGAAGTGTTGCTGACACGACACTGTTGATTTGGTCACCTGATTAACTATACACCAAAGACTAATACTCTTCCTTACTTTGCATTTTTGTACTCTACTTGAATGTAGTAAAACATTTGCCACAAATTCGCCACACTTTTTGTCTTACCAGCCATAAGTGCTACCTTATTGAACAATCTTTGTCCACAATTTGCTGATATAGTTATGCAGGAAAACATTTTACAGCAAAAGTAAAATAATGTGAACACACTGAACACACTTTCCAATGTGTGGATGACCGAATGCTTTGTAGGCTACTGCTGTTTTTCTGTACAGCAAATCATTTAAAGAGGAAATTTTTCCCAAACGTTGACTTTGGTTACTCTAAGGAGTTATTTACAGGTCACTGGTAATCTAACCTTTATCATTTGATCTCTCAAACAGATAGGCCCATAACTTATGCAGTTCATCAAGTCTCTCCTGGATTTGATCAGAAGCATAATGTTCATCTGCAATCAGCTGTTCCCCGCTCTTATCAACTGCATCAAGTCTACTTTGATTAACATTCAGTTCAGCTTCAAATGCTTGATGCTTTTGCAGTTTTCCTTGCAGATTTGTTGGATCCTGAAAGACATGATTGTAGTGAATAAAAGGTACCTTCCAGAAATCATCTGCAACTTGAATAAATTTTTTTTTACACCGTGCTTTTTAATTATTTATTGATATAAGTTATTTTTAATGGACTCCACTCTGCAGTTCACATCAAAGGCCAGCATTTGGTCAATTTTTGGTATACTTGTGTAGGTGTAGCAGTATGCAGCAACTACATATAGTGAGTTTGGTCTTGAGACATGCCCACATCATATATGTACTTTGCTTTAATTAAGCAAACAGTTTATGCAAAATATTATTTGCAGTTTAAGTATAGTTCAGAGGCAGTAGATGCAAGGATAATTTAGTCCAAAATTACCTTATAAGATTCATCACAAGCAGTCTTCAGTTTTTCATTAATCCAGCTTTTCACCTCATCAGCATCCCTCTCAAACTGCTGAAGCTTACGAGACTCCTCAAGTTTGGCCCTACGAGCCTTTGACAACTCCTCTATATTCTGACGCCTCTCCAGAATACCATCACGCTTCTCACGCACCTCATCTGATGCATAATGGTTACTATCAATAAGGCGGTTTGCATACTCATCAATGCTCTGAAAAATTCAAAACAACAGGACCACATCATTTTGTTGCTAGACTACAGTGAACCCAGATGTCATGAAACCTTGGTGACGTGTAATGAATGACATTTTTACAACCTAACTTCACTTGAACCTCGATATAACGAACCTCTAAATAACAAAGTCCTCAGCCAAACGAACTATTTTCTTTACCCCAGTAATAGTAAAATTATGAAAAAGAACCTCAATGAAACCTCGTCATAGGGAACAAATTTTTCTCAGTCCCTTTACCCCTCGTTATATTGAGGTTCCACTCGAGAGTAAGAAAGCATGGAAAAGGACCTTACCAATGATTTCTTCTCTAAAGCATAACACACGATGAACCCACATTGAAACTTTTTCAGGACAATTTACCACAACAACAGACTCGTAAGCTCTATTCACAGTTAACCCAGGATTATAGCTTACTTAACAATCATGGTTGCATTGTAAGTAAAAAAATTAAAATTATTTCTGTTCACAGAAATGCTTATACACTGTTTAATCAGGCCAAGGGAAACTGAGACTTATTTGAATGATTGTACTTACATTGACTTTCTCAGCTTGGGCAGCAAATGATTTGTCAAAGTCTTCATGCTTCCTGATCAAAGCTTCCACTCCATCAAGGGAATCCCCCAAGTTGTCATCAGCTAGGAAAGCCTTAGAAGAGAAACAATTCAATGATCGCTATTACTCAATTCACTTCCATTCCATACATTACCTCTTTTGCTAATAAATTCTTAAATGTAAACTTCTTACCTGGAATACACCTCTTATATGAATTGAGTGTGCTGTGTTAGGATAGTATTATAATGGTGTGTGCAACTACTTTTGTAAACATTTGACATGTTCCTACCTCTTGTTTAGTCATGGTGGCATTAGCATGTTCACAGTCACGGTTGAAAAGCTGCAGCTCCATACACTGTTCAAACTGTACACGTCGTTTTTCCCACAGCTCCAGCAATTCTAACTTCTCTGATTCAAGGCTTGCAAGCTAAAAAAAATAAACAAATAAAATAGAATTGACTCTTTTATCAACCTTCACTAAAGCACTTTGCCAGGACATAAAGACTCAAAAGCTCCAAACAGAGTGTACATGTACATAGAGCTTTCTAAGTACAAGTTCCTTTATCCACTGAAACAAAACGCCTCTTCTGTGGTTTAATAATAATAATAACAATAATAATTAATTAATTATTTCTATGGCGCTATTTACACATACTTAAGCAATAGAAAACGTTTTCCATGTTTGCATAGCCTCATATAAACACAAGGGGGGTTGGGAGAATTCGAGACAGTTATGCAAACCTGAGACGAAGTTGAGGGTTTGCATAACTGTCAAGAATTCTCCCAACGCCTCGAGTGTTTATATCAGGCTATGCAAACACAGGAAAAAAGTTTTCTGTTGATTTTATAAAATAACTTTCCCGAGAAAAAAACGCAAAACTCTTTGTATGGGACTGATTAAAAGAGAAATTCTAACCAGTCGAAAAATCTTGTCCACGAAGTCTTGCACACGTAATCAGTTCTTGTTTTGCAAAAAGATGCTTTGAAAAATACGGATTTTTCTCGCTTAAAATGTCAGCTTAAGCGTAGAAAAATTGACTCACCTTCTTTGTAACGATTTTCCATGTTTCAGCCGATGAAGGAGTGGGTAAATAAAGTAAACGTGTCGAGTTTTGAACTCGAAAACTTTTCAAATTCGTGCTTGCGCGATTAGCGCGCGAAAAGCCAAACAACTTGATGCCACAACCATGTTTACGTACTCTCATGCAAACACTCCTCTCAGCCAATCAGAGCGCGTACTATCTTAGTTATTTTATAAAGATCAGTAGCATTTTATATCATTGTTCAAGTATCCATGAAATACTAAAATAGTTAAGTGTAAAACTGATTAAAAAAAAACCAAACGCCTAATAATATAATAACTCATAAGTATCTATACTAGTATCAAAATAGAAATTCACTTCTAAAATATTGTCTAAAAAGGAATGTCTTAATTGCATTCTTAAAATTTCTACTGATTGTACTATGGGCAGTTGTAAAGGAGGGTCATTCGATAAATGTGGCACTGCTGCCCTAAATGCACATACGGTTTCTTGACATTTGAAGCAGAAATCTTTCTAAGACACTGATTGCAATGCAAAAATAACTTGAATCTGTAGTATTTTCACATACATGCACAGAATAACAGGGAATAAGTACTTAATTCTGATTCTTTTACCTTGTCTTTAATCTCATCACTGGCATAATGATTGGAATTGAGGAGTTCTTCTCCATCATCTGCAAACTTCTTGAATCCATCTTCCTGAGCATCAATGTAACCCTAATGGCAGAGGATGGAGAAGCAGTGAATTCAGGATACCACTGGCTTACCAGAAAGAAGGCACTTTTAGCAGTCAAGCAGAGATGGTATGCAATGCATAAGCAACATTTAACTACACAACTATTTGCAGAGAAATTTGTCATCATGATAGTAATAACACGGACATGTGGTTACAAGAACTTGACAGGAAGATGGTCCCTAAAAGTTTTGTTCTTAACTTCACTGATTATTTCGAACACAGTAGATTTCTGACTGCCTCTATAAGGAAGAACTGGATGTAATATCACACAACAATAGGGAGATTAAGCAAAGATGTGATGCTTGTCAACAGGAAGTGGACTTTTTACATTCTTGGGCAGTGGTATTGCCCAATTTTTCGGGCAATTAATAGTCTCAATAAGAATTAGGACACCTCGCAATACAAATCTGGTAACATAAAGGCATATTAAAAAGGAAAAAGCACCACTTTCGGAGCACCACTTTCGGTTGACATGCGTTGCTCAAAAACATCATTGCTTAAGCTCCCTAATATATCCCTTATCACACCATGGAGGAATTGAGTTTTAGGGAAAATTCACCTTGTGTTCTTGATGTCTCTCCAAAAGACTTTCTGCACTTGCAACATCTTTGGCCAGCTCATCACTTTGGATCAAAACTTTCATTTCATTTATAAATGAGATATGGTCCCTGATATGATAAACAGAGAATAACTTAATTGTAGCGACAATGAATGATTGCTGTTGTGTCAAAGTGGCTAACAAAGACTGCACCAATTTGAAAAACATGTATAAACATACACTGTATTGGATAAAACATGGTGTTTTGTGTTTGATACTTGCAAGATATAACCCTGCAACTGCAATTCTGTGAAACAACAAGAAGGGATTTTGCCACTTTACCTGTAGTCACCAATGAATCTTTGAAGCCGGTAAGAGTCTTCAAGCCTTGTCTTTCTTACTGCAGACTTAAAGAAAAAAAAGGTTTTTAGTTGTTTAGATTACCAATCACAAAATGTTTTGAACATCCTTTCCAGATGGATCAAAACTTCTCCAATAAGATACCTTGTCCTTGAGATTTCCCCAGGCAGTCACAATCTCATCTTGTTTGGCCGCAATGTCATCGGCACTATCAGGGTAGGCTTCCTGTAACTGAGCTGATTCTTGACCAAGAGCTGTCACCTAAAATGAACAGAAATAATTTTTTTATTGTTATTTTACTTTTAGCATGCAAGGTGAAGGATGAACATAATAGAAGCTTTAAAACCTCTTCTCTCCAAAACCATAGTGTGGAAGATTGACACTCTAACTTTTAAATCTGTAAACAAAATCCTGATGTGTTACCATTCAAATAAAATGGCACTGGAAGACCCTTTGCAAAGTAAATGTACTATTCATTTCTTAGGATTTTTTTTTTTTTTTAAATTTGGTTTTGAATTTTTTTTATTGGAACACTAGAGCAAACAGTGCACTTTGCAAAAGTGACAAATTTCCTAGCAAACACTATTTTTAACATCTTCTCTTCAATATATTACCTTGTCTTCCACTGCAGCTAAATCTCTTTCCAAAGCCTCGTGTTTTCGTAGCAAAGCATTAACACTGGCAAGATCTTTTCCATAGTCATCAGATGACAGCACTTTATCTTTCTCATTGATCCAGTTCTTGGTTTCATCAGCATCCCTGATGAAAATTCATTTTTCTTTAATGTTAGAAATCAAATCCCCAAACAACCAAGAAAAAACGGGATTAACATTGTTGATTATTATTTGTATTGTCATTATTGATCTTCCAATGACAGTCCACACTTTCCTACAATCACAAACTCACCACACTCACCATTAATTGAGAACAAAAACATGTATATATACACAGTGTAGATGAATTTGTTTGGGAAACTGATAGCAAAACACCAAGTTACTAAAAGTTGATTTCAATAACTGGACAAGGATTTACAAGTAAACTAATGTATTATTCTTGCAAATTTAAACCAACAACAAGGACAACAGGATGTCCAAGTGATTAGAGAATCTGTCTTGGGCAAAGACCACTAAATGGACCAATTTCTCAATCATGCTCAGCGTCCACTTCTCAGCCATGCTTATAAACACATGGCTACAACCTTCCACTTCCAGTCTTTAATCAAGCTATGTTCCGTTTTGACAATTTGTTTGAAATTACTTGGGTGAAATGCCTGTATATTAGCTAGAGCTAACTTGACGATCCTGTGCATAATGTCATTACCGATAGAAGCTGTGAATCTGCTGAGCTCCTGCCAGCCTTTTCTGACGTTTCAATGCCAGCATCTTCAACCTCTCCCATGCTTCATTCACTTCCTGTAAAATAAAGTTTGTAAAAATAAAAGTTTAATACTGTCAAACTAATAACAGGAAATAATCAAAGATTAGGAAGTGCTGACAAGAAGGTCAAACATCCTATTGCAAACACAGTAGCTCTCACAATATTTTGGTCAAACATTCTATAATGTGCCAAAAACTACAATGCAAGAACTGTAGCAGATCATTTTTAAAATTAGCATCCTATGCAGCACAAAGCTTAAAGGTGTGATAAGAAGCCCCGAGGGGCACAACCACAAAATAATAATTCCTTACTGTTTGCTTGGTGCTTATAAGTTCAATGTCAGGATGACCCTCATCACCAAGTTGATGTGCAAGATCATTGATGTATGTCACTCGGGATTCATTAGCTTGGATGTCCTTCATAAAGTCTTCAAACTTCTTCTGTAAGACTTCAACATGCTCCAAGTCTCGTCCTAATTCTTCTGAAGTGGCAATTGCTTCCTACGATGGAAAAAAAAACAGAGAATTTTGGTCAAACAGCCCAAAAAATTAATGGTTAAACCTCGTGAAATCTAAAGCATGGTGTGTGTACTTGTAAGCAAACACCCACTTCCCTTTCTTACTCAATTTGACTAATGCAACTAAGAATTGAGTGCTCTTTATTTTTGCTTCATTTCACAAAAAAGAAAATACAGTCCAAAGCAAAGGAAACACACACAAAATAGTGCATGCTTCTCTACTGAAGTTTACACTGACAAACCTCTAATGAACTTAAACATTAGATAGCACTATCCACCGGATAAAGCACGATCCAATTTGAAAAGTGTTAGGGGAACCAACTAAATTAACGCAATTGATACTTGCATGTATTTCTCAACTGGACAGCACTATCCACATTTTGAACCAGGTAGTAAGTGGTTCCACTTAGGAAAGAGCAAAGAACACTCAACACTCTGCCATCATGTTTGTATTGGTAAGATCAAACTTGACAACCAATTTTGACCTGTTGTACATGGATTTACATCTTAAAGCCAACGTTTTCTTTGTTTGCAGGAACTTGCAGTTTCAGACATTCATTTGTTTTCCTTAACGATTATTGTCTTACCTTTTCCAGAATCCATGACATGACTTCTTCTGTTTCATTGAGGAAGTGAACTCTCTTTTGTGTAAACAGAAGCATACGACCCTTCTCTGCTGATTTAGAAAGTAACAGTTCCCAAAGCTTAAGAAGGGAGTCAAGCCTCTCCTGTGGATAAATTCAATATTAAGGATTGCATTAGCAAGCTAATAGGTTCATCAGTACCATCACCATCCTTTCATATTGCTTGTATATACTGGATCACCATTGGTCAGACCATATGGCAGAACATTAAGCAGTAACATGCTGAAAGGAAAAAGTAACCTGTGCCATGTACACTGTACATTGTAACCATGAAAACACTTTGTTGCAGGGACAAAATCCATGATATGCATGTACACTGTAAACCATAAAACTTGTCAGGTTTGAATTTGTGCATCAAGAATTGGGGCAAAAATGAACAAGATTTTCAAAGTAGCAACAGTGCCCCATGGTGTGTCCCAGTTTTAAGAATGTGTTTACTTAAGTATAGTTACATGAAAATTGTCTTGTCTAGCTATAAAAAAAAGGTTTGCTTTATTGCTCACGAAAAAAGCTGCACAAGTGTCATTTTACTGATAGCCAAATTTGTGTGTAACCTGTATGATTCAACCAGGACAGTCAAATTTGACTTAAATGTAGTCATTTGAAACTACAGTGCTACTCACCCTAATAAGTTCAGAGGCATAATGAGACTCATTGATCATTCCTTCTCCATTTTCCTGTAGCTCTACAATGGCATTGCTATGAGCTGAAATCTCAGCTTCAAATGCCTGATGCTTTTGAAGTTTACCCTGAAATAAAAAATATTTCTATGTTAGATGTAGAACTGTTGATACAAAAGAGGCACTGTGAATTCATAAGGTATGATCTAATATCCCTGAAAAAAGTTTGGCAACAATAGAAAAGTAATGGACACAACTCTAAATGACTGTAGTGATCACATTGATCACTAAGATATTATTTTCATTTTTAGGCAGGTTACCACATATGGACTGAGGGGAATAGATAGTCAACTTAAGCACACAAATTTTTGCCATAAGTCATTACATTTCCCCTACGTTGCATTTGTTATTGGACAGGTTAAGTATCACTTTTACATCAAATGGTAAACACGAATTTGTACCACGTGACCAAGCTTCCCTTTACTTATCATTTATTGTTCATTATTTCTATGCATAAATTAGTTACTTCACTCAATTTTTTATCTTCAAGCTTTATAGATCTGCACATTTTCTATTAATGAGAAATTCTCAACTTGAATCTGACGTTTGCCATATATGTGAAGCTTAAATTGATGGAAGCACCTGAGGATGAATAATTACAACTCAGCCTCTTGTCCATAGCATCAAGCAGTGAGAAGTTAGTTACAGAAAATTATTCATTCAAGCTATCCTCTAATATGGATATTGTCAGTGACACAGTTTTTATGACTGCGTTCTTGGTTTGGGTGGCCATGTTAGGGGTCAAAACAATAGAATTTTAAGTTACATGAAAATAAGAGTTTAGTACCCAAAGAAAAGAAATGCTTTTGTTCTTGTCCACCAACATCGCCGCCGTCAGACGTCACGTGCAAACCAGCATTTTATAAAGTTTGCATATGAAAAGACCCCCCTACCCCCCGGGAAATTAAAAATGGGCTTGTGGACGCCTTGTAAAGTCTTGTAATGTGACCACCAAATTATGAGATCAACATCATGCTCCTTTCCTGTATTCATAACTTTTCAACTTAACTGAGAAATGAACAGAAAAACGTGGAAATTTAAGAAAACCCTTTTTATGCTAAAGAAGAATACTCTCGACTCCGGTGAAGCGATTAATCAAGCAGCTAAGCTGGTTGATTTCTTTCCGCCGAATGCTGAACCAAATCACGCGTGCAAAAAAATTCTTGAGATATATTTGGGATGACTAGTTTAAGCATTTTCATGTCAACCAGTTAGCTAAAGTATAAACTAACGCAAACCATTAGTTTATACAAAAAAGATTCCAAAACATGCATTGCCCGCAAAACTCCCGAGACGGACGCGGGCCAGCTCTTTCCATGATAAACGCGCAATACTTATTTGATCAGAAATCTGTTCTTATTAATAATCGACCCTTTTTTAAAGGAAAGCGTTTATCAGAGATAAAAGTTGCATAAAACGAAATTGCCCGAAATACAGGTTTGATGCATTCGATAATACTAGAGCTAGAGCTATGCAGATGCCAGATCAAAGTCGGGGCGTTGTCGAAGGCGAAGCAAGCTCCATTCAGCCACAAATTTACCCGCAATTCGCATGCGAGAGGTTTGTTTTTAATGGCGGAAAGTTACCTGCAGGTTTGTGGGATCTTTATAGTTCTCATCGCAGGCAATTTGAAGCTTCTCGTTGATCCATGCTTCCACTTCATCGGCATCTCGCTTGAACTGATGATAGCGCTTGGCGTCCTCCAAGCGTTGGCGCCTAAGACGGGTTGCTTCCTTGAACTCGGCATAACGCCGCAAAACCTGCTCACGACGATTTTGAATATCTTCAACGGTTTCTAGAATGGCTATCTGACGAGCCTCTACCTCTGCCATTTTGGAAAATTCAACCTTTCAAAGACAAAACTCACAAACGAAGGATTGTCTGAAAGAAATCGCTCTGCATTATTATGAAGTGCATCGGTCACGTGGTCCTTGCGCGACAAAAAAGTCTCTTGGGACGTGGGCTCCTGATAATCTAAATAAATTACGGATCATTGCAAACTCAAGTTACTGTAAATGTTATTTCACTTTTAATGCTGAGGACCTTCTTTGAATTATCAAATTCGAATAGAAATTCTAAGGACCTACTGCGCTTGTATTCAGAAATTATTCAGGATTGAAAAGCATTCCACTCCCTCCCCCCTCTTTAGCAATAGGGAGCTTAAGCAACAGCGTTTTTGAGCGACGGACGTCAACCGGAAGTGGACTTTTTGCAGCGTTGGGCTGTGGTTTGGTTGAAACCCTCACGTAAATCGTCTTTATGGGAGAAAAGAAACTCAGCAATACAAATTTGGTAGTGTCCAGGCGTATAAAAAGGGAAAAGGCCTCGTTGACGTGGTCCCAAAAACGTCTTTGCGATTTAGCCAGACACCGAAAAAAAAAATGTTCGCGTGCGCCCGTGCCCCTCGAATTTAAGAAAATGGCCGCCGCCACTCAATTTAAGAATTTCCTGTATGCTTTCTGTGGAAAGCGGAAAACTAGACCTATTTACACGGAAAGATCCTCTGCTTCAGGCTTTAGCTTCCAGGTAAAACGGAGTATATTCAACAAAACCTAATAACACGTAAAAAAAAGTGAAAAGTTTTCACAAATTTTAGCTTTTAAATGCAGCTCAAGCCTTTATATTTACTTTAAACAAGAGTAGATTATTCGCTCTTGCTTCAAATCAATTGTGATTATGAAGCTCTCGAACGTTTTCTTAGGTGCAGATAGAAGGCTTTGATTATGTGGGTCTTGGAAGTGCCAACAACAAGAAAGATGCTGAAACTAATGCAGCCAAAGATTTCTGTGGATTTTTGATTGGTGCTGGAATCATTCCTCCAGACTCTTTTCCTGATGATCTATTTGTAAGTAGATAAAGGCTGTGTCCACAGGGCCAATTAATCAAACAAACTTCTCCGTTTAGAGTTTTTCTGTACATGAAAACCATATTTTCAAAGACTTAAAAGGCTCGTCAAGGGATTTTTGATGATGATTTACAATCACATCATTTACGTACAGACAAAGGCCATAAAAATGCACAAGTTGTGTGTTTTTACAAACTTACAGACTCTTGTGGATACACAGATGTACACAGATGTAGCTTAAAAGCAGGCAAATGTTTATTTATCATGAAAATTGCAGAATTCACATGATCAGCTGGATTATATAGTTGAATGACTCTGCAAACAACAGCCCTTCCTTGAGGAACCATTCTTACAATATGAAAGGAATTTTATTTTCGCGTTTGAGGATGTCCGCTTTAAATGTTGAACAGTCAACAGTATGGCCCTCAACCAAATATCTTCTTGTATGTATAAGCTAATCACCTATTCAAGTGAAGTTATGTGTTGTTGGAAAATGCTTAATCGTGTCATTTTCACTTCAAAATTATTTCAACAGGGAGAAGGTCCAACTGTACCAGCCACAGGTCAACCAGCTCAACAATCTCAAAAGCAACAGCTTCCTTCATCAGTTGCACCAGCACCTCATTCTCATCAGTTCACGCCAAACCAACAGTCTTCACAACCACCGCCATCACTGATGGGCATGCAACAAGGTATGCAGACATTGCACATTTGCTGCCTGGTTAATTAGCTCAATCAGTTGGGTACCAGACGTTCTGGGTTTTGATTCCTGGCCAGAACAACAGTAAGGGTCTGCAAATGGTTACACATTGTAGCCTTAGATAAGGTTGAAAAACCACAAGTCTTGTATCACGGCACACCCACTGAACTGAATCTTGATGATAGGAAGAGACTTTTACAGGTTGCAGGGCTGTCCATCACTAAGATTTTAGTTTCTGGGTATATGTAATAAGTAGGCAGGAATTTGAAAAACTAGTAATCTTTTTTGGTTCAATTTGCCCTTTTGTTTCTTGTGTGATTTTGTGTGAGTAGTCACATGTCTTGTCAGGGCCTCAAATTAACTTTTTGATAAAGGCATCCTTAAAAAGATACAAAAATACTGAGTCATGTTAACCTGCAACTCTCACAGAAATTGCAGTTGCCCAATCGGGCAACTAGGATCCTAAACTTAGTTGCATGGATGAAATGTTTAGTTGCCCCAGCAAGCAGCCAGCCATTAACGTCGAGCCCTGTCACTCTGTGCCTAGATTTAGTTGCACCATTTATTTGCACACAGGTGGTGGTGGTATTAGTCAGATGGGACAGCAGGGCTGGAGTGGTGCTGGTCAAAGAGACTACCATTACAGTTTGTACAATAAAAGGAAGTTTGAAGAGGTATGAAAGGCCTATAACACATCTACAGCATTGTATGTTTATTGAGTTTTATACTAAAGAAAGAACAAAGATTATCTCAAGAGATAAAAAATTCATTAACTACTGCAAACTTTGATAATTGTGAAGAACAACTCCCAATAACCAACATGCCAGTCAGCCAACAATTAACCAACACTTGATCAACAGTTGGCAGACAGTCAAGTGGAAGTGTACCAAGCTCACTCACTACAAACTTCACCATCTGTCAGCCAAATACTGATGGACAGTCAGCCAACAGATGAACCCTCTGACAATTTGTGGCTTCCATGATTTATTTTACTATTTTGTACAATTAATCTTGGTCAAACTACATAAAAATTATATTATTATGTACGTTTATCAATCATTGTTAAAATGTGCCATGAATATGATGTGGTGACTTTTTCTTTGACAAAAGTTACTATTAAAGAATTATATTTCACAGAAAACAAAAATTTAAAGTCTTGATTTTAGGGCAGTTTCGGTACTCACATTCACATCACACTCTTTTTTCCTTAGAACCTTCTACATCGTCTTTGTGTTGGTTCTTTACTACACGTTTGTTTTCAGGGATTTTCAGTGCTTTTAATTCTGTTCTATCTCTGGTATTAGGCTGAGGATGTTGACCTGAATGCTCATCTCCATGGTAACTGGACATTAGCAAATGCCAAGTCTCGTCTCCATCAATATCTACAGCAAAACAGACTTCCTGCTGATTTCAAATACTCTGCTGGTGGTCCAGATCACAACAGGTATTGAACTACTGGCTTGGAACAGTTAACACATGGGTTTCTTGAGATGGGAATGAATATTATATTTAAAAATAATGAATGTTCTGTGTAAAAATGTGCTTACTTATTTTTATAGGCTATTTGCACGATAGCGTCATTTTACTACTACCAGAATCCTTCAAGGTTTTGCTTTCTTGTGCAATAAGAGCTTTTGTTATTGAAACCTCGCTGGACCAAATTTATGAGCGGGTGTCTGTAAATATCAACCAGGGCCACTTTCTTCTTTCCTCAAGGTGGCCATTGTTGTGAGGTTTGACTGTGTGAAAGAAAAAAACAAAATGAAATTCTGGTCTTAATAGCCAATAGATGTCGTAGTGCGAGTGACCTGTTGATGTCGTTATAAAAGTAATAAATTAAATTTTACATACATTTACACATTCTAAAGATAACTTTCCAATTTTCTCTATTCACTATAATCCTGGAGGTGGTGTGGCCGAGCAGTTAGAGCGTTAGAGCACTGAACTTGTAATTGGGGGTCCCAATTTCAAGTCCCGCTCTGAACGCTAGCTGGATTTGTTCTTGGTAGTCCCGAGTTCAAATCCTTGGCAGCACTTGTAAAATAGCCAACTGGTTCGCCTTCTACCAGTTGGGATTCTTAACTTTGTTATGTTCCATTTGAATAATGTGTTTTATTATTTCTGAAAAGCCCCATGAAGAGAGAGTATAATATAGTATTATTGAGGTAGGCAGAGGGAAACAAAAGTAATTTACTCATACAGAGCTCAGATGAACATGTCTGCACAGTACCAGAACATTTTCAAATAAGTTTATACTTATTCATCAGGTGTAGTACACTTGTGAAAATTGAGTAATATATGCACAGTCGACATGATCTTGTGTTCACAAAGCATGATCAATCATTTTACATGTCAAAAACATTAAAAACAATTCTGGTAGTTAACCTCCACTGTGAATCCCAGAATTAAAATAATCTCTCAAACAGTTTTGCTTGCAGCATACAAATATTCATTCCTCTGCAAATGTATTTTAGTCATAGTTGAAGTTCATACATTTTTTATTTGGAAAACCATGAGGTTTTTTTAGTCATCTAACGTTCCTTCTGTGGTTCTTTGGTAGGCACTTTGTTGCAGAGTTGTCAATATTTGTGAAATCTCACAGACGAAGTAAGTACATGTTTACTCTTCGTACAATGTAAGTTAACAATGGACATCGCAAGAATTAGGTCAAGTAGTATTTTTTCCCCAATAACAACAATTAAAAATCTTGATAAATAGTCATTCATTGTATCATATGCAAAAATCACATGATCTTAAGCTGGTGCACAGTATAGTATGAGTTTTAAATTGAATAGACCATACAGCACTCAAAATAAACTTGAAGAATAATATTTAGTCAAAACACCAGAAATAAGGCTTTATCTATATTTTTACATTTCTTTACATATTTTTCATGACTCCTGCAGTTAGTAAGTGGTACATGTAGCTCATCACCACATTCTTCGTCTAACCATTCCAGATTAAAATAAAATTTAGAAATGTTGGTCTTTAACAAGAGAAGAAAACCAGCGAAAAACTTCTCGGGGCAAGAGTGTGAACCAACAGCAAACTCAAACTACGTACAGTGTCGTCTCTGGGATTTATTAACCCAGCCTCACTGATGGTAGGCTAGTGTTTTGTCCACTGTGCCTCCATTGCTCTCCCCTCCTTGCTGTTATAAGCCAGACACTATTTTACATTGAACTGAATAATAATATTAAACCAAGCTTATATAGCAGTTTGGCTCATCTAAGTGTCATATTATTTTCATTCGCTCTTTCTGATGAAGTCAACGCATTTTGTAGGAACTAGCCATGAACATGATTGCACACAAACATGCCAAAAAAACGTCTCTTTTTATGGTGAACTTTCCAAAGACTTCTGAATTGAACCCTCCTGTAACCTTTTATCCTGCAAGATCAATGCACAATGTATTCTCCACACTGTAGTCCGTGTATTTTTAAATTTGTCATGGTATTGTGATGAGAAAAAACTGCTCTGTTCTATTCCTAAAACCTTTATATTGATTTAATTATCATGAAGGGATAAGAGAAGAAGATAGATTTGTCATTGCTTATGTCTTCAAGGGTCAATAGAATAATTTCTTCTAACAGTACTCATTTTGTTTATTTTTTTTCTTAGCCATTAGTGCTCGTGAACATGCTTCCACTAAAAAACAAGCTGCACAGAATACTTCTCTCAGTCTTGTTAGACAGTTATTTCACATGGGAGCCTTGGAGGCTGCTGAACCAGGACAGGTTCAACCAAAGAAAAAGAAGGTTGATGAGGTAAAAGTCAGTTTTTTTTTGCTTTTAGTGACGCAGTTTTGGCGACTGATCAGTTGCAGGTTAATTTGTTCCCCGGGCAGTTAGAGAATTTTGTCCTTTTTGAATTTGCTACTTCCTCATTATGGTGATGGAATGTATGTTACTTCTGCAGCTGACTAAACTGTTGCAGTAATCTAATTAAAGGGTGGAAAGCAATCCCTGCTTCTTAGCAGAATAAGTGCGTAAAACAAGCTGATTTATAATGGTGGTATTTATGGCAGTGATAATGATGATGACCTCTGTATAACTGACTGGCTGTGAGAAAAGTGCTGTCAGATGCTGTAGCTCTGTTCTTATGTCTAATATGAGAAGTGATCCATCAGGCTGGGTGATTTTTTCATTGCAAGTTGCCAGAATGGCAAACCATGTTTGGTACCCTTTTATTAGAAATGAATTATTTATTAAATTCAGGATTATTACAGTGTAGCTTGTTAGAGCTCCAGTAGCCTTTAAATTGAACCAACACTTTGCTTCTCTGTTAAGCTTATTTTTATTATCACCCCACCCTGACAGATGTACACATGTAATAATCAGTTTTGTTTTTTAGATTGAACCCTATGATGTTGGAATCAGCCCGGAAATGGAGCAGCAACTTGGTGACCTCCTTCAAGCTCTTCAAATCCAGCCTGTCCCTCAGGTATGGAAAATAAGCAAAAATTTTATGTAGGTCTTCTTACAGCGTACATTGCATTTGACCAAGTTTTTGCTTCCAGATGAGTGTCCACCTACTGATTTGTAAAATCCATTCTCATGATCATCCACTGACTTTGATTCAGAATTTCTTTTGTTTCCTTGCCCAAATTATTCATAGGAGACAGGCGATATTCTGGTTTTACCTTAGAACAGAATTTACGTACCACATGTACTCATTGGTAAAATTCTTTCTTGGCATTAAATAGTTTGATATTTCACCAGCAGGGGGCATTGAGGAGTGTGAACTCTCTAGTTTTCTTTCTAGAGAGCTTTCATTCCAACAGTTTGATGACAAGCTTGCAGTGCTCTCAGTCAAACCAACAACCCTGAGACATCTGTAAGGATTTCAGCTGTCTCTGGCTTGGCTCTGTTTTATCAATACAAATTTATGGTCAGACCTTTTGGTCATGCACCAGGGACATTTTTGTACCAGAGAGGCTTGAGCTTGTCTCACTGTTTACTGAAAAGCTTAAGTGAAGTTTCTTTATTTTCTTCATTCATGAGCCATGAAGAGAGGCAAGGCTGCATCCTGGAAGTGACTAAAGAATAATTTTATTTCTGTAATGGCAGTACCATCAAGGGCAAAATAAAAACACTTATAATAGCTGATCTTTTTGTAAATTGATCAGACTTAGATTGGATTTGATCATGGATCAGATTCTACATAATGAATTAAACTTTCAAAAACGTGATTTTTTTTAAAGTTTTGTAGTTTATTACGAGACCAAAGGAAAAAAAAGAGGTCCACACATAATTATTATCAATTTGAGAACTGTTTGCTTTAATGATGTTGTCCAGCTTAGCTGGAAGTGTTACATAAAAATTACATAAAATTGCCGGTAAAAGGAATAGTGACCTTTTTATCCATGGTTGTACTGTCTGGTTGAGAACAGTGTCAGACATAAATGACTAAATAAGTTCTTTTACAGAAGATGGGCACTGAAATGTTATGCATCAATTGCACAGTGAAAAATCTCCTTATGATCACCTAAGGAAGTACTGGTAACACCTCTTTTCTAGGGACAGTGCTTTTACACTCCAAGCATCATACAATCCCTACATTTACTACACAGACACTTGTTTCCTGCAGTTTCTGAGGTGTGTGCCTTCTGTATCCTGTTGGGAGGTTTGACTGTGCTATTTACCTTGGCAAGGCCATATGACCATCAACTGCAAAAAGGCCAATTGAAATTTCAAATCTCCATTCTTTGGAATCTGCATTATCAGGAGTAATAAAAACGTTGAAATTTAATCAGAAATCTAGCTCCACGGAAATAGTCAAAAAACATGGAAATAGTCAAAAAATGACCAGGCCACAAACTCAGCCAGAATAAAGCTCCACAGGCTCTACTTACAAAATAGTTTATTTAAGTCTGCTTGGTTGAATAGTAATCTTTTACCAAATTTTTTCTTCCCTATGCCAAAAATGGGCAAAAATCAGCCAAAATTAAAGCCATATTCAGTGGCTCATATATTAAAACTGGCAAAGGTCTGTAAACCTGTTAAAAATTTTGTGAAGTAAAAAGGACAATTCAACGAGTTTACATCTTGAAAAACTTCAACTTAGCTACATTTTGATCACTTGTTATCGCCGAGATAGACATACTGGTAGTGGCAGGTTGAAGGGAAAGAGCAGATCTTGTGTTTAAACTTCAGAACAAAAGTTAAAACCAAAAACTGACCCCACTCACAGAACAAGAAATGACTCGGCCATTTACTTCTGTAATCAGTATGCACCTTTTCAATTTAAGTATTCATTCAGTCACCTGACTGTACTTGTTGCCTAATGACATTATGACTGCATGTGTCTGCATAATGCACATTTCAAACCTTGTAGGGTCAGCTTGCATAATGTGCATTTGAGGGTTTTTACCTTTTTGATAGGCTAGTAGCCTTTGAATGCACATTTTGCAGATCAAATGGTAACAACAAAATGTGTCTGACACTGTTCTTGTTTTAGACAGGATTTGTTACAAATGTCTGCTTCGAGGATGTAGTCTTGTCTCTTTGTTATAGCTCATATCTGAAGGGAATGAACCAAGTCCATTGTATGGTGGAACAGACTATTCTTGGTTATCAAGGTACTAGTAATGGGTAATCCATTAACACTGAACCTGTGCCTGTACTGAACCTTTCCCTTCTTCAAATGGTCCTGCCAATAAGGTCCCCAGACCTTTCCACAGAGAAGTCCTGTATACTCTAACTTGTTTAGTCTTAGGGCGAGAGGTGTGCATCATGGGTGGAAGATTTACAAAAACCACACTCAAACTCCAATGTAAAATAAGTGGTTTCAACCACTGCTAAATCTTTTTTTTCTTATTATCGTTCATTAATTTATTTGTGGGGTAGTTCTTACAGAGGTTTCATAGAGTTATCACGAGGATGAGTAGATGAGGTGGTCCATGGACTGGTCTGTGGACTTGTCCATTGGAGGGAGGGATTGTAGGCTGAGAGTTTGTTTTTCAAGGTTTTCCTTTTATTTCTTTATCATAATACTTAAAAGAACATTACTGGGAAGAAGAGAAATAATGTTTATTTTTGCAAGTCATTGTAATGTGTTTGTGGTAGCCTTAAGGCAACCTCATTCTAAGGGTTCTCTCATACTTGTCCTCCTGATAGTTTGAAGTGTCAGCCATCCCTTGGCCCCCCACCCCACCCACCCCAAATGGCTTATTGCAGGGTGGGGTTAAGAGACAGCTGGCACTTCAGGCTAGTCCTCCATAATGAGTGAGAGAGAGAGTTTCAGAGAAGCCTGGGAATGAGGTTAGTCTCAGGGTTGCAAAAGTGAACGTTAGATAGTATTCACACTGTGAATCGATTGGAAGGGATTGGATGCCTTACATTTCTCTTCCTCCCAGTAATGTTCTTTTTAGTGTTAATAGAAATGTGATTGTTTTTTCACCATACTTTTAATATGGTAATGTCAAAGGGGAATGATAAAATCTGACACAGTTTGTTTTCTTTCCTACGTCTTGGTTGTTTGGTCTTAATATTACATTTGTAGCCATTTTGTTCTTTATTTGCTATGAATGAATTACACATAGGTATCTAAAAAAAGTTTAATTAGTATAAACACGTCAGTGATGCTGAGGAGTAATCATCACTGAGGTAATGAAGGTGAGTTGTGATAGCTAGGTTCTTTTAATGCATATAAAACATTGCAGGTAAGTTCTGAGTCTAATAAGCATTTGTTATAATGCTGTTAATAGATGTGCTATCATCAGTACTAAAATTATGCAGCAAGGTATCTACTGTTTCTTTTTAGTAATTTCAAAAAATAACTATGCAAACAGGAAAAGTTCTTTAAGTATTATTAAATACATTAATATAATTATAACACAATGAATTTTTTGACTGTTGCCATTTAAATGATTGCCACTATAGTTGGTTGTAAAGTTGTCCTCAGAAAATGATGCCCTTTTATAAATGCATTGAATGTAATATAAAACTGACAGCTTAAACTATGAAATGATGATAGAGAAAGACTTGCTTTGTTGACTGTTATTGTTTTAGTCCCAAAATCCAAATGAGGCTGTGTCTCTTGTCCTTCCTCCTGGAATGGTTAAATTTGATGAACAACATCACGAGGAAGGCTCCGGAATAGTAGAATGGAGTTCACCAAACATGAACTGGAATCCTTGGATAAATCAGCCTGTGATTATTGAAGGTGCTGAGGAATACCAGGTGATTAGTTCAGTTGAAACTTTAACTTTGTCTATCTTATGAAAGTGTCTAGCAATGTGTGGGTCTCTTAATATTTAAAAATATTATTGCATTGATTACTAACTGAATTCAACTCTGTAATGGTTCAGTAATTTAACTTTCCAATATGTGCATTTTTTATGATGTACTAAAATTTGTTAACAGTGATCTAGCAGTTAAGGATTCCTGAAAAAAATGTGCAAGGACATTGTTTTGCCTGTCACTTCTCTTTTGATTTGTGCCATTGCCTCTGTGGTTGAATAAACTTCCCAATATTAACATGAAGTTTTTTGTACTTTGAATAGGTCATCTGTTATAACTAAGCTATATAATCTATGTTACATGTTTCATGTAATCCAGGAACCTCTTTTAACAAGTCAGGATTACCTAAATGAGTACAGGGAAAAGCATCAAAATGATGCATACAACCACATGTTGGAACAGCGTAGCCAGCTGCCAGTTTTTCAATACAAGACAGCCCTGATTGAGGCTGTCAAGAGAAGCAGAGTTATCGTTGTCAAAGGTGCAACTGGATGTGGAAAAACTACCCAGGTTTGTAGGATAGTATTAATTGCTCATCTTGATCTCATTTTGGTATACTTTTTTTGTAATATTCCTTTCACCTACACTCACTCTTACTTTGGTAATGCTCCTTTTTGTCTCTATCTAACTTGTAGCACATTTTCAGCAGACCTGTATCATTTGTTTGTGCTACCATTTGGTTTCTGATGTGTCCCAAGCACCCTTCAGAACTCTTACCTGGATAACGCTAAATCTGTAAATCTGTAATGTGTAGCAGCCTTTCAGCATACTTGTTTAAGTTTTGTGTGTTACCTTTTGGTTGCTGAATTGCCCCAAGCACCCTTCTGCATTCCTTCTTAGGGGGATGCTGTCCTGCCACATACTTATTTAAGTTTGTTGGAGTATGTTTTGTTCTCTGAACTGCTCCATGTACTCTTACTAAATTAATGCCCTTTTGTGTCTATAATTGAGCGTACAGAACCTTTTTAATATGCTTATATGTGATGCCATTTGGTTTCTGTAATTTCCCTGGCACTTTTCAGCGAGTACAGAGGACCATTATGACAGCATGTTGGTAACTGTTATTGCAGGTTCCTCAGTACATATTGGATGATTATATTGAGACATGTCATGGTGCAGAATGTTGTATCACAGTCACACAGGTCAGTCATAATGCTGATTAAATGCACAAAACTTCTTACGCTGAGCAGGGAGTGCATGTTACATTATTCTATTTGTTATGCTGCCAAATAGTTCAGCAATACTTAATGTTCCATTATTTATTATGTAACAGCCCAGGCGTATCAGTGCAGTGAGTGTAGCAGAAAGAGTAGCAAGTGAAAGAGCTGAAATACTTGGTAGCAGTGTGGGGTACTCTGTGAGATTCGATACTGTTCTTCCCAGAAGCCATGCCTCCATGCTGTTCTGTACAGTTGGTAAGTTCACTCACTCTCTAGTATTATTAGAATATCACTTTTTTCATGGTGGAACCATGTTTTTATTTTTACCTCTATTTTAATGGTCAACATAGTTAGTAGACTGTAGCCTACGGTGTATTTACTACCATTGTTTCATTGTCCCTCAGGTGTGCTCCTTAGGAAACTTGAAAATGGCCTTCATGGTATTTCTCATGTCATTGTGGACGAGATTCATGAACGAGACATAAATGTAAGTGGCATTTGAGTCAGAGAAACTTGGTCTGCTGCAATAGGTTTGGGTATTGCACTGGGGTTTTGATAACTTTTAAAGGAAGTTCTAGACCAAGTTCAAGTATGTTGTGAGTTAAGCCATTCTAGTATGCATTCAATCAATAATAAGTTTAAAGTGAAAAATTATTTACAAGAGTCCAGGCAGAATACAGGTAAGGGAAAGTTGATGGTCAGTGTCATGTTGTGAAGATGTTTTATATTACCAAAATAATCAATGTTAACAACAAACAATATTTCTTTGTTGCATTAGTCAAAACTTTGTAAAAAATTCCCTTTCACACTAAATAATATATACATCATATCAGGGTTGTCACAAAGTTTTGAAGTAGACAGCTGAGTTGTCAAAGTAAGTGGCTAGTCCAGGGATATTTTAGTTAAAAAAAGCCATCCGTAAAGAAATGCCCAGCAGAGTAGCCGGCAGATGTTAACCAAGTAGGAGGGGATTTTCACCGGCAGCTGGCTACTTTTGACAACCCTGATCATATACAAAAACCATCTAATCAGATTACGGGGGGTGACAGCTCTAACAAGGGCTGTTTCGGGAGAAAAACAAATTTATTCCGGGAATCTGGAGATTTTACGGGGAATCGGGAAACCTGGGAATTTTTTCGGGAAATTTGAGATATTTTCGGGATATTGAGCAAAGATTTGATATTACATGTTATCAAACAATATATATACAGTGATATGCAGCCAGTGTATTCGCTGTATTCTACGTATTTTGACACTTGAAAACGGCTGAACTCCCCATGATATGAAAAGACCATTCAGCAACGATTCCAACTGAAATAGCATGAAGTTCGAGTGCGATTGACCACGTGCAATCCCCAGCGGATTGACACAAGAACCGTACCGGTGCAAGGCACATACTATCAGTTCACACCAGATCCCATCATTCATTAGTTCAGGGGTATTTTTACGCTGCACGTTAACGAGTTTTAAGAGCACATTCCACTGATTGCATACTGGAAAACTTGAAAGAAGTACGTAAGAAGTATGTAAGAAAAAAACGAAACTCATTTAACCTTGTTAAACACAAATGAGGCCATAAAAAGTAGTATAAAAAGTAGTATGTCTGTGAAGACTCTTTAATCATCCTGATCTCGTCGGGGTCCTTCCGACTTTGCTCGAAAATCCCGAATCCCGATCAATATGCGTTCGGGATAGGAAAATTTCAGATTTCGACAGTTGTTCTGAAATTTTCCAATGAATTCATACAATGACACCACACAGAGTACACTTAGTTGAAAGTGATATCCAGAGCAATTTCAAAAACCGCACAACTTGTATAAAATATAATTGACTACTTCTACGCGAAGTCACGCCAATAAAAATAAGCATAAAAAGGACAATTGATTTAGAGAACATTTTGGACAGAATTTGTCCTCTCAGAACGCTAGAAATGGCGTTTCAGAGCACCAAGATTTCATAATTTTCTGGGGGAGCATGCCCCCAGACCCCCCTAGTGGTTTGCCCCTTCACTGCTCGCCTGATTCATCGGTGATTAAAAAAACAAAAAAACAACGATTTTATATACTTAAAAAGTTTGACCTTCTTTCTGTGTTAACATGATACCCCTCCAAACGAAAAAATAACTAAGGTTAGATAATTAACAAGAAGCTGCAAAAAATCTCTAATCAAAATTTTAATGTTAATTGTTAAAACAATTTTGGGAAGTTAAACATTTATGGGGAATGCCACCGAAAAATTCGGGAGGGTCGACGAAATTTCCGGGAGGACGTAAAGTTATTAATAGGACTGCCCAAACAGCCTTTGTTAGAGTTGTCACCCCCCGTCAGATTGCAACATTAAGCAATACAAATTTTTCAAAAACCAAAACATTCGGTCACAGAGCCAGTAAGATTAAGGTGGGCCGTAAGGTTTTGAGCTTTTTTTGAACTATAAATATGTCATGCAGATGAAAGAGTGTGTTCTCCTTAGTGCTAATAACAAAACAATCCTTATTGTATCACTACAGACTGATTTTGTTTTGGTCATCTTGCGAGACATGATTCAAGCTTACCCCAACTTGCGAGTCATTCTTATGTCAGCTACAATTGACACTCAGATGTTTACAGAGTACTTTGGAAACTGCCCCATTGTAGAAATAGAAGGAAGATCATTTCCAGTGCAAGGTAACACAACCTTTTTGTTTGTTTGTGTAGCAACTAATCCTTCTACCAGATCTCTGTAGCCAGAATGTGGATGCAAGAGGGCCTTTTGAGACTTTGTGTCAGACCTAATATTAGCATAACCCCATGCAAAAGAATATGAGAGCACCACAGTTCACTGATTTGTATTCATTCTAATCTTAAGTTACAGTTTTTGTGAGCAGAAGACCTTGACAGTATAATCCGTATAATTTTTTCTGTTTGTTTTATAGAATATTATCTTGAAGATGTAATTCAAATGTTGAGCTTTGTTCCACCTCTCCCTGAGAAAAAGAAAAAGAAAGATGAAACAGAAGACGATGAGGAGGTGAGATAAGAAGACAGAAAACCTAACATGGTCCAGATGATTCACACATTCATATAGGAGTTGATAGTGTTATCCACTGGATAAATCTCTCCAGTGAATAACGCAATTTGTATGTCTACTCAGTAATAAACGCCCGGGAGACCAAGCGGGATAGGAGGTGTCTAAAAGAGAGAGACATTGATTCTCGCAACTGTAACAAACTCCACAAAATTTACATGCCTTTAGCGAACATATGACCACAGTGTACAAATAGCGGAATTTCTGGTCCATCCATTGATGCGCCTAGGCCATTTAGAGATCCATATCCATTTTTTTGTTAAATCTCAACTTCGTTTTCAGAATCCTTACTTTGAACTTGACACTGAACAAGACGCAATGCGCAAACTCTTTTTAATCAAGAGAGGGGGCTTCCATTGTATCATTTTCGGTACCTGTCAACTGGATAGCTATTTATCCTTCAGGCCTCAGTTGTTCAAAAGTTCGATAGCGCTATCCACCGGATAAATCACTATCCAGCGGATAAGTAAATGTAAGTGGATAGTAACTTATCGAGTGGATGGCGCTATCCACTTTTCACACAACTGGGGCCAGATGGCGTATCCAAAGTTTGGGATCAATTTAAGTTTCTGGGAAACTGTCCACCTACCCCTCCCCCAACTCAACGTTAACATTTCCGTCTCACTTTGGGCAAAACGTTAGGTTAGGGGAGGGGTATAGGTGGGCAGTGTACAGAAGAAACTCGATTTTTTTTCTCATCTTTTACCTTAGGAAAACTGTAACATGATGTGCAGTGATGATTATTCATTTCAAACCAAGAATGCACTGGCACAACTCAGTGAAAAGGAAATGTCTTTTGAGCTTGTTGAGGTAAAGATTTTTCACTGCTGACCTAATTTTTTAAAGGAAGATTTATGATTCTTTTAGTTGTACATGAAATACGTATGAATTTGGTTAATTTAAGTAACATAACATCAAGTAGATCTTCATCTTTTCTTAGTATTAATTTTAAGCTTCCAATAAAGTTGTTTTAGTAAGAGAAGACTCGACATCTCATTGGAAATCCTCTCTGTAACAGGATTGAATTGCATAGTGTGGAGATGGGATATTTTCATTTACAGTTGATCTTAACTTGGTGGCTGTTTTCAGCGTGTTAAGCAAGCGGAAAACAGTTATTGTTAGTTACATGCAATGATACAGATTTTGGCAAACGTTAAGCTTTTGCAATTTTTAGTATATATTCTTGATTGTTATAGGCACTATTGAACTACGTCTCTGGCCTCAACATCCCTGGAGCTGTGCTTATCTTTCTACCGGGGTGGAACTTAATATTTGCTTTGCACAAACACCTTAAGATGCATCCACAGTTTGGTAAGAATACATTTAGTGTGATCAACTAATTAAAAGCTGCTGTCAACCATAGATTGACCAGTGAGGAATTTAATGTGGATAGAATACGTGCTTTTTGAGGCGTAAGCAAGGAAAAGAAGGGAAAACTGAAGCAATCAGTGTATTATTGTACCATGCTTAAACAGCTCTATGTGGCCTTATTATTCACCATAGCATGTCGTACAAGCAAATTACTGTTTGTAACACCAAAAATACAGCTAGTCATCAACGGTACGAATTTTAAACCATCAATTTAATCCACGCCCTTTGATAAAAGAATGCAAAACTGCCTTGATAGGCCTGTCAGCACTGCAGTTTGTTTTAAGAAATAGAACCTCTGGTATTACCTTTCAGGTTTATTTTTAGATTCATTTTGTTTGTGCAGTTATTCCAACTCCCTTGATAGGCCTGTCACGAAGTTTTCACAGACGGGTTTATTTTTAGATTCATTTTAGTGCAGTTATTCCCGGGAAACTCAGAGATTCGCTTCGTTCGCAGCGCATTCGAAGTATAAGATATGAAAGAAACTCAACGTCATTTTCAAAACCTCAAAAAATACCATTTTCAGGTCTGTAGACTTTACCGACTAAATTTGCGCCAAAATCGTTCTAAAAATAAACTGGTTGGTGAAAACTCCGTGACACGAGCACAAGGAAGTTACCGGCTCCGTGTTATGGACTCCTGTCTGAAGTGATTTAATTTTGTGATATTTCAGGGGTAAGTAGCAGGTATCGTCTGCTACCCCTTCATTCTCAGATCCCCAGGGAAGATCAACGCAGAGTGTTTGAGCCTGTACCACAGGGAGTCACAAAGGTGCGTCTTCAGAAGATGGTTTAGTTTATTAGCAAACAGTAAAATGTGCTAAAGAAGAAGGCAGCTTGGATCTTGGCTGGTCTGTACTGTAGCGGCAAGGCGGCCGAACGATATATTCAATGAATGATACAGTTGATCTTCCATTAAGCGGCCACCCTCAGGGTACTGGCAAGTGGCAGCTTAATGCAGGTTGGCCGCTTAATAGAGGTTCGTCATAAATTAGCATAATCTTTAGGAGAAACATCACTTAGTTTGAAACAAATCTGCCACGGGAGAAGCATCACTGGTCCACAATCGGTCGTCACCACCTATCTCGCGCTGTATTTTCCTTCATTATAATCTCAAAATGAAACCAAACTTAGTGAATCAGGCGCTTGATGGCCTTCATGACAACAGTGGGAGAACTCTCTTTGGAGCGTTCAAAAGGTGGCCGCGGTTTAATTCCCCATTCTTTTGTGTAATTATTTCGGGATTTTGATCACTCGCCGCTTAATGGAGGTTTAACTGTAGTTCAATCACGTTTTGTCTTTGTAAATTTTGATTGAGGTTTGTTTGGTGTCTTGCAGATCATTCTCTCTACCAACATCGCTGAAACAAGCATCACTATTGACGATGTTGTTTTCGTCATTGACTCTTGCAAGTACGTTACAAAGAACTGTTGCGTTAAATCAAATATCTAGAGAGATGCCTTACGTTCTATAAAAACCAGAGAAAAATACGTTAAACCCATGGTACATAAACGTTTCTATTCAGTGCAATGTTCTGTGGAATGCTTGTGAAGTTATTGAATTGCCAAGGGTATAAATGCACGTTCTTACTTACAACTGGGAGCCATGCCAATCCAAACATACAGCCTGCGAACTTTAATATCAATACCATAAATCGCTAAGGTCACAGTACAAAAGAGCCAAAAAACGGCTAACCTCGATAATTAAGACTAGATCGAACATCAAACTGTAACTTTGGCACTTCTGCAGATGCTAATACAGCCCTCAAAACACATGAAGGATGGGTGGGCGTGGCAGGTCAACCAATTGTAAATGGCAGCAAAACAAACTGAACTTTGAACCGCCGTCTGACCTTGAACTCCTCCCCCCTCCCCTACTCCCTGCCAATGGAACCCATGTTCCTTGCCTTCTGTGATAAAAATATCTTCTGTCAAACTGGTTCCCCAATCAGAGCAAAACCACATTTTCTCGTTCGGGTCTGTTGAAAAATGTTTTTCGTGTTATCTTACGAGAGATAGGGTTCCGTTATGATGCATGCACACCATGTATTTATCTGGTGTAAAAACGGATTGCAAATAGCAGTTTTTACATCGTTCTTTTAGAGGATTTCCGCGTGAGAGAAAATGTCCTGAGAATGTCCGCTTTATATCTGAAACTTGGCGTTTAGTTAGCTATCACCTTGAGTCGTTAAGTGGAAGAATGGTTATACCTTCCCGAAGCTGTTAAACAACATAATATATTGCGGTACCTGGTAGATTTAATTACGAGGACCACGTCAATAACTTACATAGACATCAAATAGGTTCAGTTGGGCTCCGCCGCATTGCCCGTATTATTAAAATGCTACCAAATTTGTTGGCAACGCTGTGGGAAGGTTACAAAAACAGCCTGTTGTTAGCTTTATTCATATAGGCTACCCTGAAAACAACAAAATGTATTTTTTTTCCGTCAGGGCTAAGGTGAAGTTATTCACGTCTCATAACAACATGACAAATTACGCAACGGTGTGGGCATCAAGGACTAACATGGAACAAAGACGTGGCCGAGCGGGCAGAGTGAGGCCTGGGTTTGCTTTTCATTTGTGCAGTAGAACACGAGCTTCAAGGTAAGTGTGAAAAATCTTACGAAATGAATATACCAATGATACTTGCTGCGTTTAGGAGGCTAGCTTTCATTGCAGAAAGTGTCCACGTTTGTCTAATTCATACGGCAGACGTTTTCTACATCATTGCATATGAATACAAGCGAATTCTTCAAAGTTTGTTAGTAATGGTGATAGGACTGAGTAGTGTCCAACTCGGTCTGTAATCATGCAATTGATTAACAAAATCGGACGACCGCGTAGCGGGAGTCCAGTTTGTTTTATCAATTACCGTGACGGCTGGTACTGTCCAATTACTTAGGAATGCTGCATAGTTCTATTACACTGTCCTATTAATGCTGAAATGAGGACAGTTGATAGCCAATTATATTTGAGAATTCTATTATAGTTATGATTAGTATTGTAAAAGCCCAATTTCGAGTTAATTAAATTCGTCATTGGCCCCAAGGCTGAAGGATAAAAACAAAAGTGGTCGCATTAAGATTGAGGGACGAGTTATTCATTTCTTTTCTTTTATACCCCTCAGCCTTGAAGTAAAGTATGAATTTTAATAATTCAATACTGGTCTAAAGATAAAGAAGTTGACCCTTCTTGATATTGAACATTATTTGCCTTAGTTACCTGATGTATGCTCTCCACAGAGAAAATTTGGGAGTGAAGGTAATAATCAACTTATGTAGTAGTATTCATCGAAAGCTGTGGCTATAATTTACAGACTTGCTGAACATGCCACACCCGAGATACTCCGCACCCCTCTTCATGAACTGGCTCTCACCATCAAGCTTCTCAAACTTGGAGATATTGGGGAGTTTTTGAACAAAGCCATTGAGCCTCCACCGCTGGATGCTGTAGCAGAATCTGTTGCACTACTCAAAGGTAAGGCGACTTCACACAGTGAAAACCTAGAAGCTCTCCTTGTAGCGCTCGGCTCGTTGAACATTTCTTCCATTTTGGCTTTGTCTGAGTCACCAATGCTCTTCTTCATCTCGGATTCTTGTTTTTCTTTCTTGAAACAGGCCTCATCATTTTCAAGGACTTCTTTTCCTTAATCTGGAATAACTCCTTCAAACTTGTTATTACGAAGGAAACATTTTCTCAGTGATGTCATTCGTTTTTCGTTACCCTGCCATTCTCTACGCGCGTAGTTTAAGTACACTTTGTAAACTAGAAGTAATTACAGATTAATAAATTGCGGGTCGAGACTCCAGTTTATGTGTGAGATATCACAGTTTTAACGTGTAAATATTTTAATAAAGCAAGTAGCTTGCGTGAAAACGAGATAAATTTGAACCAAGAGAGAATCGCCGCCATTCTCGAATTTTTGTAGGCCACAATAAAATTATGAAGCCGTGGCCCATGTATTAACTTGTGTTCATTGTATTTTGTTTAGATATGGAAGCTTTGGATAAAAACATGAACCTTACCCCACTCGGCTACCTTCTGGCCAAGCTGCCTATTGAACCACGCCTAGGAAAGATGATTATACTGGGTTGCATCTTTCAGTAAGTTTGCTTTTTTTTTCTTTGTTGTTGTTGTTGTTGTTGTTTTTTTGGTCCCACTCATCTCTTTGGCCCCTTGCTTCATCACTAGCGTTCTCTCTGTTTGTCTCACCCATTCACGCTGAAAGCAAATTAATCTTCAAAATTGCCCTCTGCGCAAAACCTCCCCATGTACGAAGGAATGTTCGGCATGAAGGAAAAACCTTCCTTTTTAGTAGTCGTTGTTTCCTTATTGTGTTGCTTAATTAGTTTTTCTCTACAAAATTCCGTTCGTCTGAAATCAGTGAATTTATATGATTTAACAGACATTTAATAATCAACAGTGTTGGCGGTTTTGTTTTGATTTTATATTTAGCAAGGTCAGTGTTTGAATTGCGTCACGTTTTACTAATGATTCGCTTCGAGTTAAAGGTTTTCTAGTCGGTGTCGGTTAAAAAACAGTTAAATCTACCTAATATGTACACCAAAGAGACAGACTGGAGTACGTACTTTGTTGGAACCGTGGTATCTCTTATTCGGAAGCTTATATATGCCGTGTTTCTTCCGACATCTGAGATCTGAGATTCGACATCCGACATTTTATATGCGACATCCAAGATCCGACATCCGACCTCCTTAGGTCCAAAGTGATACAGAGGGAAGTGTGACCTATCAATAGCAAAAGTTTCGACAATAATCCAGCTATTATATTTGGGTTCCAGTTTAGTATGCTTTTTATTTTATATTGTCTTTCAGCTGTGGAGATGCTATGTGTACTATAGCAGCCAGTACCAGCTTCCCTGAGCCATTCGAGACACCATCTGACCGCAAGAGACTGGGCTGGGTACATAGGCAGTTTTCAGGGACACGCCACAGTGACCATATCGCACTTCTTAGCGCATACCAGGCTTGGGAAGATGCTAGGTAAATCACCTTTTCGACATCTGTGTTGTTGCGGTCGTTTATGTTTGGCTTATTGCAATCTTGGCTCCTTCATTGTGCATTTTTAAGTCGATGCTTTAGCTCTTCGATTCGTTGTCGATGCATTCCATCTGACACTGGAGAATCCAGACACCGAGAAGTGGGTGTAAAAGACATCAAGGCTCACCGAAGTTCTTTTACACCGACTTCGAGGTGTTTGGACCTCGGCTGAAGAAACACCGTGTCGAGTATTTGATATGCCTCTCATCAATCAGACCCTGGATACAGTGTACCAGAGGTTTGTTTCCCCCGTGCGGCGAGATGCTTCATTAGAGAGATTAGAGAGTTTTAGCTTCACGTATACGTCAAACGGCAAACGCGAATTTGTACCACGTGACCAAGTTTTCCCCTTTAAAATTGTCGCTTATTGTTTATTACTTCTACACAAAAATAACTAGTTTCACGCAAGCCTTATCCAAAGAAATTGTTCTTAGCAGTTTTTATCTACTTATTTTCTATTTTGATAAATTCTCAACTTGAATCTGACGTTTGCCCTTTGCCCTTTGCCCTAAACTCTGAACGGGACTCGAGGGCCGAAATCACGAGCAGTGACTAAAATCGGAAACTGCGCATGTAAAGTCTCTGTCACCCAGGGTAAATGATCAATGATATTTGACGAAATTCACCTTGATATTTCTTCCGAATTCTTGTGGGAAGCTTTTAATTTGTTGTTGGTGTTTTCAGGTCGGTGGAGGATGAATCTGCAGAGTACCAGTTTTGTGAGAGTCGTCAGTTGAACATGTCCACTTTGCGCATGACAGCGGAAGCTAAGGTAAGATCAAATCCAATGTGCATTATTACATGGCTGGTACCGCGAGCGGGCAAGATGAAGAGAATCCTGTGTTCTGATTGGCTACCCGAACGGGGAAGGTGGGTCTATCGTGCCTGCTCGGGATTTCCCGCGTTAGTCCCGCAAGAAAAAAGTTCTCTTGGTCATATAATAAATCGATCTATTATTGACCAAAACGACCGTGGCCGGCAATATCCAACACATATGTCATTCCTTGCGCGCGCTCCACAAGTCTCTCCGCTGGATACAATGCCACCATGCGTTTGAGAAGTCATTGCTTTGAATCTTGCACGGGACGCGCATATGGGAGCTGACGAAACCTTGGCGACGTCAGAGAAAATAAATACACATGCACTCGCATTACCGGCGAAATTCGTTAAGCTGGAGTTAAGTTGTTAGGAGCCGCATCCATGTTCAGAAAGACAGCGAAAATTCGTCGTCGCTATGAAACGTCGTAAAGGGAACGTAAAGATGAGATTCGATGTGTACAGCGTTTAAATTGTTTATTAAACCTTCGTGAAACCTTCTCGCGTGATTTGACGTAGGTGTCGTTGTTAGTAAACTCTGTATTGTTTCTTTTTCTCTCCTGATTCCATTTTTCTTAGCCATACCACATGAATTCATTGACCTGCCTTATTCCGCAGTCCCACTTGTCTGTTTATGCTTATTTCTTATTTTTGATGATTGTTAAATACGAGATGTGTATATCCTGACTTGAATCCGGTACTGGAATTGTTTTGTTTTCTTTTACAGCTGCAACTTAAAGACTTACTTTGCAACGCTGGATTTCCTGATGGTATGTTTTTACTCTTTTTTGTTCTTTTTTCCTTTCTTTCTCTTTTCTATTGTTTTCTGAATTGTCTTGTATTTATCACGCGAAAAGAAAAGAGGAAACATCGTTCTTCGTCTGCCACGTTCCGGAAGTAACACAAGTCTGGAATTGTTTTTGAGGAGAGGAGAAGACTGGGGTACCTGGAGAAAAACTCTCGGAACATCTGCTTTCGTGCTGGCCAACACGAAAGCAGGATGTCGCCTCACACGTCCACTGTAGTATCATCTGTGTTTTATTGTATAGACACGAGTGTTTTACTGGAAAATATACCACTCGTAAAATTCATAAAAACTACATCCGGGACCCGAGTGGTTTATTTTCCGTAATCTCACACGTGAGTTTATCGATGACGTAATTTTGGTAATTTCCCTCTATTATTTTATCGATGTCATTTCGTCTATATAATAAAAAGAACATCACAGGGCGGCTTGAAGATATGAATTTTATTTTCTCGTGGCAAAAAAATATTTTACGAACGAGCTGCGCTCGTTCGTAAAATATTGTTTTGCCACTCGAAAATATTTTTTTTGCCCCCTTCGCGCCACCGTGTAATATCTTCTATTTATTTTATTTTTTTCAGTTGTTAAGAAATCTGTATTTGTGGACTTTCATTTTTCAATTGTTGTATAAATAGTGTGAAATATACCTGAACCACAGCTAGAACCAATAACACACTCGAGACACATGGCGTCATCTCTGAGATTCGAACCGGACCAATCCTTTTTATGAATGCTTTTGATAAGAGGAAACTATTCGTAATCTCGTCGTTGTCAGACTGAAAGAAGGGAGGGACTATAAGCCACCTAACCTTCTTGATTGAAGTTGTCCAGGTCAGAAGTGGGTTAGAAATGCCCAAGCACGCGTAAACTGTTCTATTTCCTCAATCCCACGTGCCATCCCAGATTGGAGCCATCTATTCCCAGGCCTCATACGTTCGAGTCCTCCCTTATTCAGGACCCAGGGCCTACTATAGACATCATCGAAAAAGCTGCCACTATGACTTAATAACTGCCTACAGCGTGCCTCTACTTCCCACTATGGCAGGTTTTAGCAGTTTCGATCTTGATTTATATTTAAAACAGCCTAGAAAGGAAATATTGTTATCAAAGATGGTATGTGTTGTTACTAACCTAACATCGCGTCAATCTTCAATCAGAATGTATGCACCCTCAGCCATTCAACTACAGTGGACCAGATTCCAAGCTCGATATGGTAAGAATAATTTACAAATAACAGAACACACAGTACTGAAATATCACAGTGTCTCGTTAACCATCTCTAAAGTTCTGTGCAAAGGCCTTAAGAAATCAGTTTTTTCAGTGCCAGAAATAGTGATGGAATAGTGGCTCTATAAAGTTTGAGTCTGTCGGTGAAATCATGTAGCTTCATGTGGTGTGATCGTACAAAAGAAACGCCTTTAACGGTGTTTTCACTTGCAGACTGTTCACGTTCTCCCATGTTTCGTTAGATCTTCAGGATCGAGCGCTTACCGATATAGACGGGCTTCGGGTAAAAGAAGGGGGGTGTGAAAAGTCACCTGGTACTATTTATTTAGTATGTAGTTCTAACTTTTAAGTCTGTGGATGAAATCCTATGATGTAATAGTACATAGTTCTAACTTTTTAGTTTGTTGTTGAAGTTCTGTGGTGTGACCATGCAAATGAAACCTCTTCAGTAGCATGGTACTATTAAAATAGTATATAGTTCTAACGTTTGAGTTTGTTGGTGAATTCCTGTGGTGTGACCATTCAAATGAAACCCCTTTGAACGCAGCACTTTTACTGGCTGCTATTTGTTGTTAATGACTTTATCCACCGAAATTGAGATTTTTGTTAAAAAAAAAAAGGTCCAAAGGTTTATTTATAGTGGAAAGTGCACTTAGCTTATCCAGCTAGTTTACAGGCACTCCACTCAAAAACTTAGAAACAAATAATTCAAATACAATATAACAGAATAAAAAAACCCAATTGTCAGGAGGCAACCAGTTGGCTATTTACAAGGGTGGCTGAGGATGTGAACTCGGGTGACCAAGAACAAATCCAGCAAGTCACCAGAGCGGGACTCTAACCCGGGGACGCCGGATTGTGAGTCCGACGCTCTGACCACTTGGCCACGCTGCCTCCACCACGTTTTAAGTTTTTAAGTTTAGACACTTGTGGGGCGTAAAAGGGTTCACAGAAAAGCATTGCGTTCTCTAACCTGGGCGCCAGAGATTTTGTCTTCTTTCTTTACTCCGGATGAATTCCCGGTAAAGCGGCGACAGTGAGGCGCGAAACCCCCAAAAAACAATCTCAGGAGGTTTATCGAACTGCGAACATGAGAACGACCCTCCAGAGCCAGGGTGTGCGTTCTCATCCATGGGTTTGTCTTTAGTTTAGATGGGGTACTGCTTGACTTGGTGGAACTTTGTTTCAGGTTGTTGCACTGCTTTGCCTGGGTTTATACCCTAATGTTTGTGTTCACCGGGAGAAGCGCAAAGTTCTAACAACAGAAGGAAAAGCTGCTCTCATTCACAAATCTTCAGTTAACTGCTCCAACAGGGAACAGACGTTTCCTTCTCCTTTCTTTGTATTTGGAGAAAAGGTCAGTGTGGGTTAATTTGCTAGGTAAATACGTTTCTGCCGTTAACCAGTTAAATAAGTGTAGACCACGATGGTGCAGTTAAGAGACACTCCATGTTTCGTCAGGGAGACCTGCCATAGAAATTTATTTCCCCTCTCTCGTTTAGAGATCATTTTGCTACGTCAGATCTATATACACCTAATAATTGCAATAACGTTGTCTTAAGAGGAAAAATGACAAAATGGGAAAACGCCAAATAGGAATTAGTTAAGCTTAATAAAAAACCACTATGCTATTCGTCAATTTGCAGCATAGATGTTTTTAAGGCGTAATAACCAATGCAAATCCAACGGCTGTACGCATATGTTGCAAATGAATGCAACGTATAGTGGGTTATTATTAAGTCTTATTTATTCCTATTTAGCTTTTTACATTTTTCTATGACAACGTTGTTGCAATTATGTGTATATGATTCTTTGAGACTCCATTTCATCATTTGATTATCTTCAGTTGTGTAGCGAGTGATCCGCGTATTCATTAATGTGTAGTAGTCTCGTCAGTTATGTTTATAAAGAGGAAGCATTGTGTTTATAATGGCATGCCTACTAGTGAAAGGGGACCGCTATTTCTGAATGCTAACAAATCATGAATTTTCTCACGGTCAAACTCGTTATATTGTCATAATCGGTCATTGAATGATGATGATGCTCAGTTCGTGCATTGTTTATCTGTTGTAGATTCGTACCCGAGCTGTGTCGTGTAAGCAGATGACAATGGTGAATCCGCTTCAGTTGCTCATGTTTAGCCAAAGTAAAGTAGAATCTGAAAATGGTATCGTCAGAATGGACGACTGGTAAGCCACCACAGCGACGGCCTTGTACGTAAACACACAGGGTACCCGCTTGACGGCCTTGTACGTAAACACACAGGGTACCCGCTTGACCTAGATAATGTGGCATGAGGTACCTAGCAGCATTGCGGCCGACCTTACGAAACCACGGCTTTGTTCACAAGGCACTGGACAAATTTTCGACCGACTGAAACATTTTAGCAGACACTCCTTTCACCCTGGACCGTTCAATATTTTCACTCGGTTCACATGGAACTTTGAACTGCTAGGCGTCTTAATTTCCGTACGGTTAAGGTGGCTCTGTGTGAACACAACACCTAAACACACGAATCGGTCGAAAAGGCTTACGGTGCCGTCTGATTGTAGCCTGCGACAGCGACGGGAACGGGAACGCGAACGGGAACGGGAACGACAACGGGAACGGGAACGGGAACGGGAACGGGAACGGGAACGGGAACGTTCAAAAAACAATTGGTTTAGGAAGTAAAATAACAACTCTGCACGAGTGTTACGCTTTGTTGTATGTAAATTTCGTTGCCGTCCCTGCACAACTACGTTCTCAACTGACTAAATTTTAAGTTAACGTAAGAACGGGAACGGCATGGGGACAAATTTTATTATCTCTATCTGAGTTAGGACGTAGCCCCCTCCCTTTAGCTCCAAACAAATTTCCGTTGTTTTAATTAACTTGCAGCTTGGAATAGTCGCGAAAAAGTTTAAAAGGATGCGAGGGAGTTTTTTGTTTTGGTTGGTTTTTCTTGGGGGTGGGGGTGGGGCGGGGCGGGGCGACGTTTTCATTGTCGAATCGTAAGGACCCCACCGGTTTCGGTGATATACAGCATAAAAGCTACCAATGAAACCGGAACATGCTCCGGCCGAATCCTCGGCATCAGCTCGTGTGTGCCTTGTCCTTTACCGTCATTTTTTATCCTTCCAGGTTACAGTTCCGTTTTGTCCATCATCAAGCCGCTATGATTGTAGCTCTACGCCACGCGGTGGATTTCCTTTTAGTTCGTGCTGCCACAACTCCCTCCATTATCGCCGAACCAAGTCACATGGACGAGAAAATCCTTCATGTCATGAAGTCCCTGTCTAGAGCCAATGCCGGATGGTTTGGAGTAAACCGCGGCGGGGGAAACCAGTTTCAGCATCGAGGACATCCCCCAGGGTAAGCTATGTCACGAAAAGCAAAGCATCTGCGTGCGAGAACATTTGCGAGCTGGTGTTTTTGTTTGTGGTTTTGCCAGGGACATTTTCAGATGGAAATATGGCAAGTTGTAATTTATTGTCCTTTTATGTTTATGAAGTCAAGGTGGCTAAATAATGGTCTTTTTGTGAATACAAAAAATTGCAAGTTGGGAACTTTTGAGGCGGCTAATAACTTGGGGGCCAGCTTCAGCAAATTTTAAAAACTGGGGTAAACATTTTTAACTCCTTTTACTGACTCAACTACAGTAGTACTCGTAAGCTTTTCGTGTAAGAAAAAAGGGGCTGAGTCATGATTTTTAAAAAGCTTACTGTCAAATATTTCTGTGATAGTGAACCCCTAAATATCCACATGTCACTAGATATATCGACAAACATCATGGAGATGGGTCAGAAGCAGTTTTCGAACAGCGCTAAAAGCTGGCGGTTTGTCTTCGTGGAGTTTTTGAAGTTGACTATTTGCCCTTCCCACGCCTTTAACAATAATTTTAAAAACAAATTTAAAAAATAGAAGAAACTGCAAACTGATGAGTCGTAGACAATTGTTTAATCGTTAGTATTCGCTCTGTGAGAATTACATTTTAAACACGGTTAGAAGCATATGTCCTCCGGTACTCCTGAATTTCAGTCGAGTTAAAAGTGGAGCCAAACAGAGAGCAAGTACATTTCTTTGAAAAGGGACATTCACATTACACTACCTTGTTTAACCTTTTTCTTTGTCCATTCGTTTCTCTCAATTATTGTGTTTTTGTTTTATCTTGTTTCACTTTTCACTATTCGGACGCTCGCATATAAAAATCTTAAAAAGTCGAAAGTGCAATTTTTTAAAATGATGTTTCTTTTAGATAGCCAGCTCAAATTTGATGTAGGGTTTTAGTTATCAGCAGTTTAACCGGAACGCTCTACATCCTTTTTCGTGAGACAGCCCCCTAACCTTAAGCGTTATTCCTTAGTCCATTCCTTTCTTTCGGTTATTTGTTTATTTATTTAATTGACGTGTACATTTAGTTCGTTTATTAATTAATTTTACTTTGCGTTATTTTCCTCACTTATACATTGTCCGTGACTGTGCTCACATGGTGGGTGGCTCCTCCTAAAATGTTCTGCGATTGGTATAGGATTTAATGGGGCCGAAACCAATTGTGGAATTGCACGCATTTTAGGCATCCTACTGATGAACAGTTGCGACACGTAGATATATATTTTTTAGCAACTAAGATAATTTGCAGTCTGTCTACTTTGAATTGTATTTTTGTCTTACAATGTCTTACATTTGAATGGATTAGAAACAACATTTTAAAAGTCCTTTGGACGTATCTTCATGTCGGACCTCTTGAAAGAGTAGTAGCTTTTTTTCCATCCCCACCATGTCATTCCTTTGGTATTGATCTGACCTGGAAGGTACAGGCCATTCAGATTGGAGGAGTGACAATTTTTGTACCACCAGGCGCCTCTATAATTTATGGCACAGTTGGACGAATACTGGTCGTTATCACGATCCCTGGTACTGAATGCCATACCACGGTGAGGAGCTAGAGAATCTCCGGCGGTTCCTGTAAATTCAACCCCAATAAATCGTGGATTTGTTAAACTATCTAGGGGAGTCCACTTTTAGCGGCCAGTCAGTCTCTACCCCTAGATTGAATAACGCTCCCATATGGCTGGCGCAACAGCGCAACCCAGCCATGAGCCCCCTCACAAAAGGCAACAAAACAGGCACCCTTCACACTAAGAAATAGCAGTGCGAGAAGGAACAATAGGAAAGGGAAGGGGGAAGAAAAAGAGATTGGCAGGAACAAAGCAACGCATTTACTGCGTGAAAACTATTACTTTAGCTACTTTAGGTAAGGAAATAAATTGACAACGATATGATCTTACCTGAATAACTTCCCAAACTCAACACGTACTTGGCCTTCTCGCTTGTCACGCCAAATGAACTGTATTCTGCGTACGCCTTGTTTCCTTCGAAGTCTTCCAAGTCTACACGAAGCTTGTAATCACCATGAACAGTCAGACGATGGATCTTGTCTAGACCAAGCCAAAACTCACCGTTTAGATTGCCAAAGCCATTCTTGTACTCATTCCAAGCTCGGTAGAAATCTACAGACCCATCTCGTCTTCGCTGAAACACTGTCCAACCTCCACGATCTGTTTTCTGATCACAGAAAACTTCAAATTCACCCAAAGCATCAGGTTTGATTTTGTACACACCGCTTATTTTGATGCCAGACTTGTAAAGGTCAGCGCAGTTCTTGTTAACTGAAATTTGGCAAAAATGATCAACTAGTGATGAGTGTTGTTTACCGATTATAATGATAACAGTAAAGACTGTTCACAGTTGTTTCGCTATAAATTACATTTGACCAAATTACTCTTTTTAGATCCATCAAAATTTCAATAATTTCGCTTATGTAATTGGTCAAACACATAATCCAAATCATGTGGAGAAAAACAAGACCAACTATTTAAGTTTGTTTTCACCTTTCTCTAATAAAATTTGTTACTTTCGTCAATTTTACACAGAGTAGCTAGTAAAGACTGGATATACAAACCCTTCGGCGGACCGGTAACGCCAGTTTCGTTTTTGTTCTGTGGCGGCGAGGATCTGATTTCTTCCAGCATTTCTATAATTTTGGCGAGTTGTTGCTCGGTTTTGTTGCAGTTTTGTCCGCCTGCGTAGTAATAGTTATTCATATCAGACCGTTTCTCCTTCAAACCATCGTTACTTTTCGCAGGTTTTCTCAGAGTGTGAGCTAGAGCTGTTACTAAACAAGAAAGCATAAGAAATTCTATGAAGCTCTTCATTTTTTCCAGTTGTGTGCGCAAAGGTTGTTGAAAATACATAAATGATAACCTGCTAAAGGCTTTTAAGCCTGGAGTATTTTACGCCCATAGAAATGAGATTTTTATCTAGGTTATTTTAGGACCGCTTAATCAAGGCTTATCAGTCAGTAGATTACAACCTCTCACTGTGAAGTGTGGAATGTGAAGAAAGGTGATGACTGGGCATGAAAAATTTAAGGAGTCCTGGAAAAGTTGAATTTTACTTCCATCATTCTCAAAGGGAGAAGACATAGTTATTAGAGGAGACTGGTTATGAAAAGCGGCAAACATCAATGATAAGAACAACAGTGCTGCAGTTTATGTTGGAAGTACCGTGAAAGTGCACAATCCTTTGTTTTCTGTTGGCAAATTGTTTCGGAATAAATTAATGCAACGTTTTTATTGGTCAATACAATCAAAATGATAGGAATTCTTTTGAACGTTGTGCACTTTCAGGTCCACAAAAACATATAACAAAGGAGTCTGACGGGTTTCATAACCATTCTACTCAATTAACTATGGAGAAGATGAGGAACGGGAACGACATACTGAATACCGCGTCCAAACCACTATAGATGCTTCTATAGGAACATATTTTAATGAGGAATTAATCAGTGAATCGTTACCTTTCAATGACGTATATTTCACTTCAGATAACGAGTGGCACGCAATGGACGTAAAATTTTAAAAATCGGCGTTTTTATGACGCCCCAATTTTAACAGTGTAATGAGAAAGTTGGTTTAGTTTATCAAGTCTCGATGCATCCAGTTTTCCTCGTTCTATTGAACGGATGTATTTCTAGCTTAACCAGTATATACTTGAGGGGCATATAAGTAGACGAACATAGGCAAAGTAATTTTTATTGTTTCTGAATAGTACTTGACTATTTTTTTTCTGTTAATCAGCATTTGATCAGAAAATCTTTACTTCTCGAGAGCCTAGAACTACTTAAAACTCCAATATCATTGTTAATGTTTTTGGAAATCCGCCCAGAATGGATTGGTCTTACTATAAACGTTACTATAGTATTGTACTCAGGCTAAAACTGTTAAAAACAGTCTTCGACAAATTGTATTTGTATAGGTAATAGCATGATTTGTAGTGATATTTGATATTTGGCATGAATACCAGGAGTGATATTAAAAAAAATTCTTATACGTAATTTAACGAGCCGTTAGGCGAGTGAAATTTGAGACAATTTTAAAATATCACGAGTGGTATTTACGCCAAATATCACGTACAAATCATGCTATTATTTGTTTACTGCCCGCAAAAGGTTTGTATTTTCGCATGTAGCGTGATTTCAAATTAAGCAGAAATACCACTGCTCTAGTGGTATAAAGGAAGGAAGTACTCTGAAACGTACGCGAAAAGTTCGAGCCTACCTTTCAAGTTTTAAAAAAGAGGAAAAAGCCGAATAGGGATTAATTAGGCTCGCTAATAAACCACTCTGGGATGCAGTCATTTGCAACATAAAGGTTTTCAAGCGTATATGCAAATGCAATGGCTGTACGCGTATATCAGTGTTGCAAATTAGAGTGGTTTATTAGTAAGCCTAATTTATTCCTATTCGGCTTATGACATTTTTCTTTTCTCCTTTGTGTATATTTCTATGACAACATTATTGTAATTAGGTGTAAGCAGGAGGCATGGCTCTTGGTGTGAGTGTATTTTTATCAATCTTGTCAACCACAGACAAATGTGTAAAGTTTGTGTTGAGAGCTCTTTTTTTTATTATCAATAATCTTCACAGTACAACCGTTTTATCACTCCTCCTGCTCTGTGTCAATATCTTAAAGAGGCTGTCTAACCGAAGACGTTCCTGCTGTTTTCCACTTTTCTGCATTAAGAGTGCTTGAGTATCTGATAACATACCAAATCCGGTAGTCAAATGGCTATTCCAACAATACTTGTTCAGTTAGCTGAGAAGCTAGGGTTTTCTTTTATTGAAACCTAGATTACTGAAACGATTCATTCCCAACTTCTAGACAAGAACTGGCTAGTTCCATCTAAAACATTACTCTAACAAAAAACCTTGTTCCTCTTTCGTGATGAGCCTGCGTGGCAGGCGTTCGAAAGGGAAGGGGAAGGGAAGTAGGGCGCGAGACCACACGCACCCAAATTCCCCCTTCCCCTTCCCCTTCCCCTTTTAACACCTGCCACGCAAGCTGCTCCTTAGGGGGTTTGTCAGGCAGAAGCATCATGTTTCTGAATTCTCACGATTTGCCTTGAAACAGGTCTGCAGTCATTCTCTTGCGCAGAGTCGTTAGAGACCAATATTACCTTCTACCTTTGGTCATCTCTTTTACTAACCTCGATGTGTCCTTTCTTAGGTTGATGCATAGGGGAGGGCGTGGAGGCCCCCCGCCCAGGCGCGGCTACCAAGGCCCCAGACATTACCGTGGCAACAATCAAGGAGGTGGATTCCGAGGGGGACGGGGTGGTGGATTCCGAGGAGGACCCCCTCGGGGAGGGTTCCGTGGATTTCGTGGTGGACAGTTTTAGATACAGAAACGGCTTCTTAAAATAAGTTAGTCTGGCTGTTTTGCGTCATGGTGCAGAATTAACTTTACAGTAAGAGCCAATTAAAAACGTATGTTTCCTCGGGCGGAGACGTAAAGAAACGTTCTATTCATCTTGGCTTTTCAGGAATTTAGTTTACATGAAAGAAAATTTCTTTTCAGAGAATATAGTTCACAAAGTACTATTATCCAATTTTTTTGACTTGTCTGGTGTACAAGTGACTTGGAAGGAAAGACTCGTTGAACAATATATTTGTAATTTATACTAGGGTCTTTTGTAGTTCATTGTATTGAGCACTGTACTTGCTATGAATATTTGTATTAATGTAACAACATAGTAAAAGAAGTTTTTAGATAGCAACACGGTTTTTCGGTTTTTAGGACGTTTTCTTTCCAGGCTACGCCTCTTAAGTACTAACTTTGACTTTTCTGGCGATTACAATGAAATGCTACAATTCCTATGTTTACTACTTGTCTTAATTTTTGTGTTCATGGATTAAATAGAAAAATGAAATAAAAATATTTATCGGACTTATTTCGAGTGGTAACTGTTAGTGTTAGTTTAATGTAATGTTTGAATCTTTTAAAGTATTCTTATGTGTGTCCTTCAGTTCTGCGTGTTCAGGGCCGTTTGCAAGGTGATATTTCCACAAATTCCATGGCTGTGCGCTAATAAAAATTCTAGGGAACCCAATGCTCTGAACCTGTGAATTCCAGGGTGCTTAACACACCTATGATTTCTATGGGCAAAACGATTTCCTAGTCGCCCAAGAGCAAACGTAAGGCGACAGACAAGACTTAATCCAAAAACCAAAATTAAACATTTTCAACGTTGCATGTTCAGTGATTTTTGCAAGTGAATCTTAAGGTTTTTGCAAAATGCGTGGCCGTTTCTTGTTGATCTGTAATCGAGCGCGCAAGTTAGATACAGCTCTTGACGTTTTGTCTAAAAACTCTAATGTCATTGAAAGAACTATACGAATTGTCTACGAAAAAATCTATGTTATTGCATTATGAGTAGATGTGCCACTTTTTTCAGTTTTCAAAAGGTAGAATTTTAAATGGAAAAATAACTGCACGTCTCAAAAATGTCAAAAAGACCTTAGATTTAATGTTAATACGGACCAAAGTACTGGATGACCGGGGCGTTCACTGCGTTTTAAACGTCATTTTTTCCGAAGCAAAGACCATTTCAAATCTACACACACATACAGAGAACATCACCCAAAAAAGCTTTATTTTTCTTTCTTCATTAAACCCCTTTTATCTTTTATCCATTATCTTAAAATTTAACTGAAATATTGTTAAGCATCCTTAAGACCTTTCAAATCTAACTACACTCGGATAAGAGAACTTTAAAAAATTTTTGGACGTGTTTTCATCTCAGATCTCTTGAAAGAAAAATAGTTATTTTTCCACTTCATCCAAGCCATCCCTTGGGCACTGGACTTGCTGTATAAGTACAGAGCATTCAGGTTCGAATTGTAGCAATCTTTGTACCACCACGCTCCCTTCCAAGACGATGCGCAGTTCTTGGACCACTTGTCATTATCGCTGTCCTTCGTGGTAAAGAACATTCCATTGTGAAAAGTAAGAGAATCTCCAGCATTGCCTGAAGAAAAAAAATAAATTTGTGACTTTTTTGTACCATGGGGAAAAAATAGGATTATCTATAAATATCGGCATAATCTAAGAGAAATTACGACTTATCACACTCAATCCATTCGCAGTCATTTTGGGAGAATTCTCACCTGAATACCCTCCCACAGTAAGCCGGTATTTCGCCTTCTCGTTTGCTACAGCAAATGAGCTGTACTCTGCAAGTAGTATGGTACCAGCGGTAGCTTCCAAGTCAACACGGAGCTTTTTATTTGTGCTTGCTGTCAGGCGGTGAATCTTGTCAAGACCCAGCCAAAACTCGCCATTCAGATTCCCGAAGCCCCGTTTATAATCATTCCACCCTCTGAAGAAATCTACAGAGCCGTCCTGTCTTCTTTGAAAAACTGTCCAACCACCTCCTGCTGTTTTCTGATCGCAGAAGACTTCAAATTCGCCCAGACCGTCCGGATCGATTTTGTACAATCCACTCATCTTGCCACCGGACTTTAAGACTTCTGCGCAGTTCTTGAGAACTGAAAATTGAACAAAGAATATTTGATAACCCCGTGCGCCAAAATAAAATAAAGCGGAGGGAGGTATAAAACAATTAAACTTTCGTTTGTGTCTTTAGTTCCAATTTTGATAACGAAATAAAATTTAAATGTACAATTCATGCAGATCGAACCTGACGCTTTCTCGATTTTGAAACTGAGGGCCATAACTGAACTTACCTTTTCCACGAAAGCCCCATGGCTTTTCTTTCATTGCCCGGATTTCTTGTTTTATTTCCAAGAGATGCTGTTCCATTTTTTTGCAATGTCCTTCGCTGTAGTAGTTGTTGATCATATCAGACTGAGCTTTTCCAGTGTTGACACCTGAATCAGCTGTGGCCAGTTTCGGTGACGGGTTTGTGAGAACAGCAACGAGAGAACACAACAGATTAGTTGCAATGAAATAATTCATAGTGATCTCGTTATTCGGAAACAGCATCAAAGCCAATAAGAGAATAATAGCTTCGTTGACCGTGCGAACCAAATATATTTCTCTCATTGAGGTCTCATTTTGGAACGAGATTTTTCGCGTCTCTGAAATCTTTTTTGGAGGCGCTTTCGACGCCAATCAAAAGATTGTTTACATAAATAGTCCTTGATATTTATTTATATATTATGAGGTTACCCTTGAGATCAAAGGGACATTCGCATGAATTAATTCGTTACTGTTTCAATCTGCAGAGCGAATCTTTCACAAAGTTAAACGCAATTATAGTCGCGCGTCGAATTTCCCTGGCTTCCCGCCTTCAAACCTGCCACCGGCGCCACATAGAGTGAAGGCGGTGATGCGATTCCGTTTCAGTTTATAGAGTTAGAATCAATATCTACTCCGACGTACAGAAGAAAAGAAACCTTTTATTGCCTCGACGCTGGCTTGCGGAAGACTTTTCTGTCCTTAATTAGAAAACGAAATTGCTTCCCAACACTGCTCTAACGAACGTCTCCAAGGTTGCAGTTGATTTCGTACGAGACTGAAACTTGTCTAACTTTCTCATAATATTTACACCTCGCCACAACCAAGATTTGGGGCGCGATCCATTCAACCAAAATTTCCGGAAATTTCGGTCCAAAACTCAATGGATCACGGTTCGGTCCAACCCGAAAAGTTTCGAAAAAACGGGTCCACCTTTTGAGGTGGACCACTTTTCCCGGTTGGACCGGTTGGAATTTTGGTTGAATGGATCGCGCCCTTGGAGTGTTCAAGGTTTTGATTGCGTGACAACAAGATTTGATATTTGCATCTGTAATCGCATTCTTACAAAAAAGTAAATTCGTGTGCGTATTTTAAGTTAAAAAATCCACCATATCTTGCAAATCCCTCGTTAGAGAGAGTCCGTTTCGATGAAGGACAAGCACTGGAGAGCCAATCTACATATCGACTCAGTTGTCGCTGAAGGTTTTTTTGGTGCAATTTATGTATCGGTCAAGTCGAAGCTTCAACATGCCCCCCCTCGGGCATACCCCGGGCATTTGACACTTTTGCCGTCCCGGGGAGGAGGGAATTTGATTATCAGAGTCTTCCAGGTGGTGGGGAGTTTGATCCCCATGCTTTTAGGGGTGGGGAATTTGAACTGCACCCTCGATTTCATGTAAAATCTTTGGCTTGGCGAGCTATCATGGGGGACGCGGTGTTAGAGGATTTTCGTGGAAAAAATTGTGCCTTTGTGGCCAATCGGTTACGAGGAAAGGGCTTAAACAAGTTTTGTGGCGTATTTGAAGTATTTAAATTTTAAAATTTTTAATATTGGATTCAGGCTTTGAATGTATGAATGCGTTTTATTGTTGTGTTTACAATGAAATATAATACCTATACCGGCGATTCAATACAACAACATAAAATAAAAAACTCAGGGCAACTACTTTGACCTACTGCAAGTATGTCAATTAATAAGGAGAGCGATGATGCATGTCAGTGACTATATATATGGTCATGATGTAGTAATCTCAATAGGTGGGATCTTTTTTTATAGAACGCTTTGTATGTTGCATGACGAAGAAAAGCTCAGCATTCCGTGACCTTTGTAGCAGCGATTTCCGCCGCTTTGCACAAGACTTTCGTTCGTACTAAATACGCTAACAGTGTTTCTCAGTTTTTGTTAAATTTATAAAGATTTTGTTCGACAACTGAAGGCGTTTCCGCCGTCCTCCTGTCACACAAATTGTGTGACTGTTTTTACCTAAAATGCTGTGCATTATGACTATTATCATTCTTGTAGCTGAAAACGATGAAGGGTAGTGATTTTGAAGTGTATTACAGTTGATCGGCACAGCACTGGACCGGTCCATCACTATAGGGGTCGCCGAGTTTTCCTCCCTCGTCTCTCTACTTTATACTCAGGAAATCTGTACAATTCGTCATTTTCAGCTGCAAGAATAGCAATGCTCAACATTTCAGGTAAAAAGACGTTTTTCTGATAGTATACACCGTATTCACAAATGGCGGACACGCGGGAAAAAACTGGTGCCTAGTCATGAAAGCGAGGCGTTGGAGGGTAAACAAAAATTGCAAATGAAGACTTTCAGTGAACTTGCAGAGTGTTTAGCACGGATTCCTCCTAAAATAACTTTGTATGGACGTCTTTTTAAATACTATGACGTGGGACGTCTTCTGCTTTTAATGTTTAGTACTGATTTGCTGCTTGCAATCAAAAGGGACGCGTATATCTTCAAGGAAACAGGATGATTTTGTAGGTTGCCAAAGCCTCAGAAGCTCGACAAGTGGGTGATGGCTAGAGAAAAGCGGCAAACATGTTGGCCCAAACTTCACTCTGAAGCCGAACACGAAAGCCAGCTCACTGCAATTCTGTAAAACAGAAGTAAAAACAGATATTGGTGGCAAGAAATAAGCGACGGATATATGGCCTAATTGTCAACGGAAGAGACCTCCGCCATTAATCAAAATAGGTCAAGTCGAGAGCGGGGGAAAGATTCATTCACGAGACTCATTCATTCATGTCAGTGTCATTTTACACATATCTATGTATGTCTGTATTTACAACTTCCTTTGGATGATATTAATTCCGTCGCTTTGGAGTGAATTGTTAGAGGTACGTTGGCAGAGCTTAGCAAATTCAGTGCAAATTTAAAATCTTTTGATTTCTTTGTCATTGCGAAATAAAATAATTTTATCAAAACTAGAAGCTCTAGTGTGTGAATCTTATGGCTTGCTATTTGCCTGGTCTCCTTTACGGCATTATCTCGGAGAGCTCTTGGTAAAAAGGTGGTATAAAGCTCACATTTTACTAGGTTAAACTTTTAAGGCAATGTTTGTGTCAGGACTGAACACGGCAAGCTTCTGTTTCGAATCATTAAATGCGAGTCTGGATCCGTTTAAGAAGACCATCATTTTATTTATTTATGTATTCTTCACTTTAAAATATTATGAAACATGAAGTTAAAACTCTTAACAGCCAAAGATAAGAAATAGGAAAATTACTCGCTGAAATGAAATGTGGCCGGCTTACCGAGTCTGCCGAGTAACAAGTTGAAATTTTGAGCGTACTCCACTCGATCGCTCCTGCATTTATACCAAAAAGATAGTTCTAATTGATGTCCTTCATCGATAAAGAACAGAGAATAACGTCCTGGCAAATAAACACCAAACATAACTTCCTCGAAACCTCAGTCACCGCTTCTTTCCTGTCTTCCTTTTTTCCATCTCGATTTGAACTGTTTTGTTCAATGGCACACGTCTCTTGCGTTAACAAGTAGGCCATATATCCATCGCTTATTTCTTTTTTTCTTGCCACCAAGATTTGCATTGTTTATATTTCTGTTTTACCGAATTGCAGTGAGCTGGCTTTCGAACTCGGTTTCAATGTGAAGTTTGGGCCAACATGTTTGCCGCTTTTCTCCAGTCATCGTCCACTTGTCGAGCTTCTGATGCTTCGGAAACCTACAAAATCATTCTGTTTCCTTGAAGATATACGCGTCCCTTTTGATTGCAAACAGCAAATCAATACTAAACATTAAAAGCAGAAGACATCCCACGTAATTGTATTTAAAAAGAAGTCCGTACAAAGTTATTTTAGGTGGAATCCGTGCTAAACACTCTGCAAGTTCTCTGAAAGTCTTCATTTGCAATTTTTGTTTACCCTCCAACGCCTCGCTTTCATGACTAGGCACCAGTTTTTTCCCTCGTGTCCGCCATTTGTGAATACGGTGTATATAGTATAAAAATTCCTCTCATTATATGATGATGATATGAACCTTCTCAATGTTCCCATGCATTTCTCCTAAATTCAAACATTAAAACAGTCCCACAGTTTGTGTGGACTGCCTGTTGTAGGGAATGTTCGTGAAGGACTTACAGTGCAACAAAGTTGACCAATCGGATTAAGGGAAAATAGCAATACACTCCGAGAAAGTTAGTTGTCAATCATAATCGAAATAAACAACATCAAAATCAACCAATTACAACCTACAGATGTGACCTTTTGAACCCGCTAAAGAAAGCCCCTGTTTCATGAGAGGTCCGTTAAAGTGAATTTTGTAGGCAAAAACGTTAAAATAAAGTTAGAAGTTGACTTTTTGACTTAAGGTCATGATTTTATGGTAGCTTCGGGGTTATATGCTTCTGCAGTACCAGACAAATCTTGCCCCCCAGAGCTTTTCCCCAGTACCCACCTCCATTTTCTAAGAGAAAAGCTCTGTGACGAGCTTCCCGCGGCTGCAACCCGTCTGATGGAAGGCGGGAAAGACAATAGAGATGATTCTCATTTGATGGAGACTAGACTGACTAGTTGCGAGATCTGCTGATCACACTTCAAAAAACTTGCGGATAAAGGGCAATCAGATACTTACTGTTTGCAGAGGCCCTTCGATCTTCCTCACTAGATAAACAAAGAGGAACTGGGACCCTTCCGTTCCTCTTCCCGAAACGTTTACGAATCCGTAAAAAACACTTCTAGTGTAAACTTAGGGCGCTTTCCATTTGTCAGAACTGGCCGGCCGGACCATTGCCGGACCGGTCACTTTAACAATCAAATCGGCTTTTTCCAAGGGTTTTTGGGCTGAAAAACCTTCTTGCACACTATTTAGGATTTGACTGACCTGGCTGGATAGTTTTCATTAATAGTGAAATTCTTATTACGACGGGAAGGGTCTGGCCGGTCAGTTCCTGAAAAATGGAAAGCGCCTTAACGCGGCAGGGTAATCCGCGCTCGAGAAGTTGAAGCGAAAGCAAGCAAAGGAGGCTTTCAATTCATACAAATAGATTTGACGCATAGAATTTGCGTAGCTTTACCAACACTATAACTAAGTAACAGTAGCGCGTTAAACTCACTAATTTGCCGAAGTACCCTTCAATCCCCACTAAAATGTTTTTTTAATATAGCAAAATTCATTCTTCTAAACGGCTTTGTACGTTGCATTTGAATCTTTTCTTTTATTTTAAGTCTTCATTTTTGGCTTTAGAAATTCATTTTCCGATAAGATGGACGTTGCCTTAGAGTGCACATCTACACGAATTCGGATATTTTTAAACTGGCATATTTTTTCACACGAATCAGTCTTTTGGCTGTTCACACGTACGACACCATACCGGCAGTGATGCCCACTCACCGAAACCGCTCGTTTTTAAAACCTTTCTCCAGCAGGGCCGCGTTTAACATGGTTTAAAGGCTTAGTCCACAAAAACCAGGGAAATAAAACGTGCTGTTTCATATGGGAATAAACGGACGGGTCCTAAAATGCTTGTAAAAAGGCTTGAACAACGAACAAAAGACTACGCATTGACGTTACGAACAAATATGTAAATCATTATATTTCACAGGTTTTTTCAATACATAAGATTCAAATTAATTTTTGCGAGTACCAAAATAGAATAATGAGTCAACTTTATTCATACATGCGCAAATAACCCCAAAATAATTTTTGAAATTTGTCAACGGCATCGCAGTTTCGAACTAGTCTCTCCTGAACGATCAAGGATCTCTTTTGTTTAACAATGCTTGATGAAAGTTACTGCTGCTAAAACTTTTCGTCCTATTGCATGGTAGGTGAAACATTAGAACTGCATATATACCAGAAACACAGTGAAGAAATTCAACTCGCGAATCAATCTGGCAATTTTGAAATTGTAAGTGGTGCAGCTATTGCTAATAACATCATCATCTTTAGCCTTTCTCTTGTCCAAGAGAATTGCCAAAGAGCTGTCAAGTGCACACTATTTAGACTGTGAACTTCGTTCTCTACTGAAACCTTCCATAGTGCGTTATTTTAATCGGCAGTGGTATGTTTTTCCTTTTTCTTTCTCCTCAGTTTTGAGCCATCCTACCGCAAGTAAAATTCAGTGGTTGAAGGACGAGGAACGGAACGAAGAGATGATCAGCTTATCATTGGTAGAAGGAAAACAACAAGAGATTTGTAAAGGTAACTAAGTGAAAAGTCACCTTCACAAGGACAATCATCTGACAGAGAAATAAAAAAAGGTTTTAATATGGTGATAAAAGACTTGTTAATTTGATAATTATTTGTGAATTTTTGGATGATTTTTCGATCGTTTTATCGAGTTTTAACGTGTAAAATTTAGCGGGGGATATGTTTAAAATTTTGGGAAAATGAGACAATATTGGATTTTGGGGGTTTTTGAAAATTAAAATATGAAGTGAATAATTAGTAGACAATTACCGCATAGTCCACCACCACAACAAGGTGCCTCTGATCCCATTAGCGGACTAACTGGTTCAGTTATGTGTAAACCTATTCTACCTTCATAAATTCCTTCCCAAATCAACATTACTGATTTCCCCCAAAGTTTAACCAGATTCCCCCCCTAAACGTAAAACACATATAACAGCAAAATAGGACATGGGTGTTAGAGAATAAAAAGTAGAAATTAAATTGTGACAAGTTCTCTTCTTAGCCTGCTACCATTCATGACATTCATACTAAAATGAAAATCATTTCCGTTTTCGCTTCCTGACGAGAGTCTTCTGAATGTCTTTTTAATTACTGGTCTCTGCACTGTTTGGTTATCAACCCTTCAAACCAATTCTTTCCTTTTCAGTGTCTCACGGCCAAATGAAGTATTTAGAGGGCACCCAGGCCCGCGGACAGAATTTCTAAGATATTTGGATTTTCTCCCAGGAGATATTTCCTTATATCAGCCATATAGGTATGTGCCACCCCAAAGAGTGTTTTTTTTTTTTTGCGCTTTTTCGGTCTATTAAAAACGGTTCACACTTTGCTCATTTTGGTTTGGAATCGGGTATGGTTTTCGAGGGAATTACCGGAGTGTAAGAACGTATTTGTTGTTTCAATTCCAAATGAAGAAGAAAGAAAAAGAAAAATGCGAATTCTTTGGCATAATTTCTGCCGAGAGGTATGAACTTTAGCGGCCACGTCTGAAAACAGGAGTGAAAATTGACAATTTTTTTTTGTCTAAAATAGGGTCAGGTTTCTTTTAATTCCGGTACGTTGTTTTGCTCAGTACATAATTTTTGTTTTGTTTACTCAATTTAGGTAACTCAATCTAAGACTGAAGTGCAGTCATAAGTTGTTCAAAACGAGCGGAACCAAAACGATGAAATGATTTTAAAACGTAAGTGCCTGTAACAACACATCCACTTCTTTTAGCTTACCTCCTTGTTTCTCTGTCTTTTTGTACAATTCTTACAACTTACTTTACTGAATTTACGACTATATATCTTTCTCAGTCCAACAGATAAGACAAAAACGGGAGTCTAATTTTCCTCGCTGTCTTGTTCACTAGTGTTTTAACAGAAGCGGACCCAACTAAACCAGGGGATTTTTAAAACGGTAAGTGCTTGTAACAGCTCTGATCACGATCTTTCCTAAGTGACTTAAATGAGTTACGAGTACGTACTCAGGATCTTGACTGTTCTCAAGTTACCACAAACTTGAAAAAGGCTCATTTGGTAACTCTTTTCTTTTTCACTTTTTACGCAGTTGTCCAGGCGAACTCAGAATCGTAAAAAATCGCTGAAATTACCTCTTTTGAAGCAAAAGGACACCAATATGACATTAGGTAAGTTAATAGAACGTTTTGAAAATACGTTACTCCCGAGAACCAACAAACAGATTGTGTGGGTTCCCTGTGATATAAACCGTCCCAGGGTCTAATGTTGTCCCAGCCAATATGGCGGAGGCGGGCCTAATTCAAGCTTTACCCACAACAGTGTCGAGAAAGGACTGTGCGTTATAAAAACCAAAATACTAAACAAGTTCAGTAGAATGGACCGACATAAAGGTATATACATAAGCTTAATAATATTATATATAGATTTAGCCAGGGCTAAAAGCGAAGCTTTCATTTATAAATTTATAATTTAAATTAAACAATAATTAATTTGCAAATTATCCACAAATCGGTTAACTTTAGGGCACATTCATGTGACTTTTGAGGGAAAGGCTAAGTGATTTTAGAGAAAAAGTAATTTGCAAACAGTGGCTCTTGATCACAGAAAATTAGGCCTGAAAAGGCTGGAAAACAAATTCTTTCCAAACAAAATAACCCTGTTGCCCACCTTTTCACCAATTTATTTTATAAAGTTAATTGGACAGCACCAAAATTTAATTTTATGCTGTAAAGGCTGGTTATAAGACATGATAGACGGTCGTCGGTTGTAGCCAATCAGTTACACGTGTTGTAATTTATAGTTTGTATTCCTTTGTCTAAAAGGGAGGCCAAAATAAAAAAAAAGATAGGACATTAAGTTTACTTTACAAAATCTTTCAACAAATCTGGTGGCGAGTAAACCAGCCTTTTATACATCACATCTGAGATACACAGTACTATGAGGCGCTGTTTTTTATCACACATTATAAAACGTTTTCATGAAGAGAATTCCATAATGTCGGGACTGTTGAATCAGAACAATCTGCTCCTATGTGGTATGCAGGGGCTTTTAATGTTTGATATGCACAGCATTTTAAGTACTCCTGCAAGCGATGTTCTTGAATGACTGAAAACAACAGGCACAGCAATTAAAATTGCAAGAGAGCCTACTAACAATAAAAAATATATATAATTCAGTGAAACATATTTTACAGAGACAACAATTTTCCTTCACAAAGACAAGTATTGAGATTAAAGTGTCTCTAAAAATCCTGAGTCATGTAATAAGCTTATAACTTAAAAGCTTGCATAGTTAAAATGTTTTAAGCTGGCTTCTTGGTGTTTGCTATTTTTCAACATGAACTCGAGGCAAGAAAATCGCTCAAAGCTTTCTTTTTACAGCCAAAATTATAGCTAAGAATTCTTCGGAACAGTTTCTTTCTATTTGAGGTCAGAAAATGTCTAAAGGCTTTGTAAAGTTCTGTAAGCTTATTTCAAACCTGATACTAGGTCAATTGTCTTTGTCATTAGAAACGTGCATGCAATAGCCTCATGAACTACGCTCATCTTCATGAAACCTCATAAAACCTTCATGAAAGAAAAAAAAACAAACATCAAATACAATGATTACTCAGGCTTATCCGTCAAGATGCAGCTCCTGGAAGCCATCAAGTAAGGCCGGAATCGCTTGTGACTTTTCAACCCTGTTATGTATCAAGCAAGGTGAAAAACGAAAACGGTGCCATTCAGGCTGATTTCTGATGACTTTGACAAGCAGCGGACTTCTCAACTAGAAACCCAATAAACAAACAAGCAATGAATAACAGAAGAATCTTGATGGAAGCTGTATTTCATTGTGTTCGTTGAGTGGAAAAGACAGTTGAAAACATCAGAAGATGACACAAAAATCTGTCAGCTTCAGCCATCAGTAAGCAAGTTTCCATATGCTGCATAAATTTTCCACATGAACTCACTTAAAAATTGCATAAAAATTGGACGTAGAGCATGACTAATGCATGACTTTGGTTAGAAAAGTCAAAAGCAACTGGACCAGCTGAATTTTTGCCTAAGAGGTCAGTTTTAAATCCAAATTTTAATAATGCAGCTCATAAACGCAACTTACTTCCTATGCATTTTAAAAAATTGAACTTGAGCCCGTGATCGTTTGAAAACTAATAACTTGTCAGTGAATAACTTCAAAGAAATACTTGACCTCAGTGGGTCGGGCTCAAAGTTAACGACTAACTGGTCGCATATGAGACTGGATTTTTGATTGTGCGCCCAAAAAATCATGTGTAATCGCACCTGTGTGCCTTAAAACCCAAAGCACGGTGCGACTGACTTGCTTCCCTGCTTCCCAGCATGACCATACTTACGTAGTCGAACTAGTAAGACGTTAAACAGTAGCTTCAAGCAATCAAAGAACAATCAGATTTCAAATTTAGTTCCTTGATTAATTTTCAGAACTTGAATCGTCACTGTTTTTTTTTTTTTTACTTTTTAAAATTTTTTTTATTCAAAATACACTGAGAATTAGCCTCCCCGCAGACGTCCTTTGGGGTTCATTTGACAAACAAATCCCAAAGGACGTCTGCGGGGAGGCTAACTGAAAATGTAACGAAAGAGAAAATGACAATTACAATTCATGCGCAATGAAACCATTTTCTAATTATTTTCACAATGGCCCCCTGACAAAAATAAATAAAGTTTAAAAAAGTAACAGAAATTAAAAAAGAAAAGCAAAGAAACCAAAAGAAGAAGACGCTAATCTAGAAAGTGAACCAGTACAATAAAGCTTAATTGGAATATATATCAAGGGTGGTACACTAGCATTCACCTAGTTAAAGAAGTTTGACCTGTGTTTTGCTCTAAGCGGTTCAATCTAAACACTATGTGGTGGAGAATATAAATTTTATTAAGGTGCAGTAGAAAAGTCAAAGCGAGTAGCCCCCCTTAATTGCAGTCTCCTCCTGGCAACATAACAATTGCTTCAGTCCTGCTTGTCCACATGGCCACTCCACTACATGATGAGGACAGCAGCAAGTACTGCTGTAGTGGGAATTTCATTATCACTCCGATTGCTGCAGTGGGAATTTCATGAACACTTCGATGATAAAATACATTGAATAAAAGCAATAAACAATCGATAAAGGGAAATATGTAGATTTAAGCGAAGGAATTGACAATTTCCTCACATCCCAAATATGACATCCAAAATGGTTCACAACAAGGTCATGCGCGTATTTCATGCTTTCCGCTCTTTGATTGGCGCATAAAACAATGCTGAAACTTGGCCGGAGGTTAAAAGAGGTAAAAAGTTGCTTTTGTCACGTTTCTCACTGTTCTTTTGGCAATTTTTGGATTTCAGCTATTCAAAACCTTAATTGAAATTAATGATTAAAAGTTAACACCTTCTAATCGATTTTGCAATCTGCCTGCCTAGTTTTAACACAGACCTTTACAAAACAACTCTATGAGCTTGTAAAATAATACTTAAGCTAAATGAAAGGCCCCCTTACGCACATGTCATTGGCTTTTCCCTGGGATACGACCCTGGGACATCTAAGGGGGATTGTAAAACTGGGCAGTGCCCAGTTGACAAATTTTTAAACAAGGGTGAGGGAAATTAAACAAGACAAAATTCCCTGGTTAAAGGCTTCTTAATGAAAAAAAAAGCCCTCATATCGAACTGTTATAACCAGAGGGAACTCTTAATGGTACACTAGAACCCTGTTAACTCAAACTCAGAATTCAGGGATATGAAAAGCAGTCCTTTTTAGTGAAGGTTTGAGTTATTGCTGTCCATGAAGACTCAATTTTCCTTGTTCATAACTGGTAGTTTACTAATTTTTTTTAGCAACCCAGTATACAGCACAGTACAGTACAAATAAAACTTATCTCATGAGAAATTGTAACACGATGATGCATTGTTATTCTGATGATCCATATGCATGACTCATTGTTTCCTCTGACACATTTTCCTGGTTGGTGCAGGGTTCTACCCCTGGAAGATGCCAATGGTGTGTATTAGTCCAGTGCCCACATATGTTTGATGTTTAGAAGGGCATGGCTCCCTGGTAATACCATCATATACCCCTTAACTCAATTGGCCACCTAATTAACCTTAAACCACACTTCCCCTGCAACAGTCAATTGTAACTCTTTAAATTGGAAACACAACCTGTGGGCTTTGGACTATTAGATTGTTAGTATCAGACCGTAAGTAAACTGAGTTCATTTCTTAATCATTTAGAGATATGCCAAGAGATCAGCGGCACAATTTAAAAGATTTGACCAACAAGAATCAAGAAAGGTACAATATTAAAATATGTTTATTTTGTTTATTAACATTATGCGTTCTAGCATAACACAGTGATCATGGTCAAACAACCTAAAATTAAAACCGTTTGGTAAATGGTATAAGACATAATGCTACCCCACTCAAACATGCAAAGGAATACCAGTGTCAAACCTCTGAGAACAACGATAAGAATGCATGGTCATTATGTTTGATGCCCTATGATATATTCTTTTACATAAAAACTTTAATTACACAATATATACTTACTGGGATTCCAACCTAGCAAGGAATTTTTGAGCTATTACAGGCAACTGCCAATTAGCCGCCCCAATAAATTTTATCAGGGAAGGAAACTGGGCTCCTCTCCACTTGATTTTGTTTTTGAAGAGACAAATGGGGATCTGTAATCAATGATTACCTCTAGTATTTATGTAAGGAAATATACACCAGGTCAACTGTTATCCATATGCAGCAAAGAATTGGGAGGAACTAACACCCTGTACCGTTACATGGGAAGTTTAACTATTTAAATAACATGTTATACAACTTGGTTACAATAATACAATGATACTGTCTATTGTGTCATATGCTAAGCTATAAAAATGTATCTCATTGCAGATGCCTTTCAAAAGCTGCAACTATAAAAAACCAACCACTTTACAGGTATTCCAGTTACAAAACAAATAAAATACAATAAAATAAGAAAAGTAATCATCAATAACCTGTAGTAGCAATAGAGGTTATACATTTTATATTTATATGTTTATAAAGCAAAACAAATTATGTCACTATAATCTTTAGATAAACTTAACAAGGTCAATGTCTTTAAAGTTGTTTTTAAAAACTAGATAAACTGAGATTCCAACCCAGCACACAGGGGAGACAGGAGCTCCCTGGACAGATACTTCAATCTACTACTTTTTTGGTAGTTAATACTTACTTTTAAAACTAGAAAAACTGGGATTCCAACCCAGCAAGCAAGGGAGAAAGGAGCCCCCTTGACTGATACTTCAGTCTATAATACCTGGAACTTTTAAACTAGATAAACTGGGATTCCAACCCACCAAGCAAGGGAGACAGGAGCTCCCTGGACTGATACTTCAGTCTGTGATAGTTAAAACTTACTATTAAAACTAGATAAACTGCAGGGATTCCAACCCAGCAAGCAAGGGAGAAAGGAGCTCCCTGGACTGACACTTCAGTCTACGATAGTTTAAGCTTATTATTAAAACTAGATAGACTGGGATTCCAACCCAGCAAGCAAGGGAGACAGGAGCTCCCTGGACTGATACTTCAGTCTGTGATAGTTAAAACTTACTATGAAATCTATGTCTGTGAAAAAACTTATTATTAAAATCTAGGGGATTCCAAAGCTCCAACCCAGCAAGCAAGGGAGACAGGAGCTCCCTGGACTGATACTTCAGTCTGTGATAGTTAAAACTTACTATGAAATCTAGGAAACTGGGATTCCAACCCAGCAAGCAAGGGAGACAGGAGCTCCCTGGACTGATACTTCAGTCTGTGATAGTTAAAACTTATTATGAAATCTAGGTAAACTGGGATTCCAACCCAGCAAGCAAGGGAGACAGGAGCTCCCTGGACTGATACTTCAGTCTGTGATAGTTAAAACTTACTATGAAATCTAGGTAAACTGGGATTCCAACCCAGCAAGCAAGGGAGACAGGAGCTCCCCGAACTGATACTTAAGTCTCTGATAGTTAAAAACTTATTATTAAAACTAGATAAACTGGGATTCCAACCCAGCAAGCAAGGGAGAAAGGAGCTCCCTGGACTGATACTCTAGTTAAAACTGGATTAAAACTAGATAAACTGGGATTCCAACCCAAAACTTACTAACCCAGAAATCTAAAACTGGGATTCCAACCCAGAAGCAAGATACTTCAGTCTGTGATAGTTAAAACTTACTATGAAAAACTAGATAAACTATTCCAACCCAGGGGGGACAGGAGCTAAACTGGGAAACTTCCAACCCACCAAGGGAGAGCACTGAGTCTGTGATAGTTAAAACAATGGGAACCCAGAAGCAAGGGAGGGAGCTTGAGACAACCCAGCAAGCAAGGGAGACAGGAGCTCCTGGACCTCTGTGACTGATAAACTTCAGTCTGTGATAGTTAAAACTTACTATGAAATCTAGGTAAACTGGGATTCCAACCCAACAAGCAAGGGAGACAGGAGCTTCCTGGACTGATACTTCAGTCTGTGATAGTTAAAACTTACTATGAAATCTAGGTAAACTGGGATTCCAACCCAGCAAGCAAGGGAGACAGGAGCTTCCTGGACTGATACTTCAGTCTATGATAGTTAAAAGTTATTATGTAGATTAAGATTTTTTATGCCCAAATTCTAGAAACAAAAAAAGTGCATTGTGTATTAACCTCTAATAATAATTTTCTACTGTTGGAGCAGCAGCAATTCTTTCAATGAATTAAAAAACAAGTTGCTTTAGTAGTGAAGGGGTATCCTAAATACAAAGGTGGCCCGTTGCCACCAATACAGTGGCCTCAAGCCAGGTGGAGGGTTTCGTGCGTTCCACAGGGTGCTTGTCTACTTATGCGGTGAGAGTGGTACTGAGCCGTCAGTTACACCGAGGTCTGGGTGGTCGCCTCTGACCGACAGGTGATGTATTGGGCGCCTGATAAGAAAACGGCCGTTGCACTCAAGTGCTTATCAACTCATTCTGCAGTGGTGCAGAGCTTTACGAGTGATACTGCACAGGCCGAAGCGGCGTACCGCTCATCGGGTCATGCCATATCTCAGCTTCTGTCACGAAACAAGTCTGTTGTAAGCGCTCATGCCCAGGTGTCCCGGTCTGGACGCAAGCGGAGGTCCCCCAATTTTGTGGCCGTTGCACTCACGTGCGTCTCGGATACTGCACAGGCCACACATCCTTTTCATTAGGTCATACCATATCTCAGTTTCTGTTGGGAAAATTTTTAATTTTTTTTTTTTAACAACAAAAAATTTTAGGTTATTTCTTTTTTTCTGGGAAAGAGTTGTTGCACTGAGATGGTTGTAACTGATTTTCACAGTAATATTCCCTTAGGGCAACTGGGATTCCAACCCAGCAAATATGGGAGACAGAAGTTTCCTGGACTGATACATCAGTCTATGATAGTTAAAACCTATTATTAAAACTAGACAAACTGGGATTCCAACCCAGCAAGCAAGGGCGAAAGGAGCTCCCCGAACTGATAATTCGGTCTATGATAGTTAAAACATAGTATTAAAACTAGATAAAGTGGGATTCCAACCCAGCAAGCAAGGGAGACAGGAGCTCCCTGGACTGATACTTCAGTCTGTAATAGTTAAAACTTACTATGAAATCTGGGTAAACTGGGATTCCAACCCAGCAAGGAAGGGAGACAGGAGCTCCCTGGACTGATACTTCATTTTGTAATAGTTAAAACGTACTATGAAATCTAGGTAAACTGGGATTCCAACCCAGCAAGCTAGGGAGACAGGAGTTAAGAGGGGACTATGAAATCTAGATAAACTGGGAGTCCAACCCAGCAAATATGGGAGACTGGCGCTCCCTGAACTATTGCAAGGATTCTCTAACTAAAATATAGTTAGGTCAACTGGCATTCCAGCCCAGCAAATATGGGAGACAGGTGCTCCCTGAATTATTTCAAGGATAGTCTAACTAATGCACTTAATAACATATAGTTAGTTTAACTGGGATTCAAACCCAGCAAAACTCTGATTTCTATATAAAAGTAACATACATCTAGGTGAACTGGGATTCCAACCCAGCAAATACGGGAGACAGGCGCTCCTGAACTATTGCAAGGAGACTCTAAGTAAAATATAGTAAGGTCAATATAATTATTGGGATTCCAACCGGGAAACAAGGGAAGACAGGTTTTCTCGGAACTATTACATAGAAACTGATATTTATATAAAGTAACAGTCATTAGGTCAACTAGGATTCCAATCCAGAAAAAATGGGAGGCAGATGCTCCCTGAGCTGTTACATAGAAACTCTGATATTTATACAAAGCGATATGCAATAAGGTTAACTTGGATTCGAAACATTGGGAGACAGATTCTCCCTGAACTATTACTTAGAAATTCTCATAGTTATATAAAGTAATATACACTTAGGCCAACTGGGATTCCAACCCAGAAGCAATGGGAGAGAGATGCTCCCTGTACTATTACATAGAACCTTAAACAATGCTAATAACGTAATACATCACGTGGCTGCCCAAGATTTAAACCCAGACACCATGGGAGACAGACAGGTTCTTCAGGACTGTTACATGAAACTCACATTTTTTTTGATATTTATAACAAGCTAGATACACTTGGGTCAACTGAGATTCCAACCCAGCAACGGTTGAAGAAAGGTTCTCCCTGAACTATGACATAGAGGGTCTGATATTTATATAAAACAATACACACTAAAAGTTAGGTTTAGTTAGATTCATTTCATTTTAACTTATTTCACACTTCGAAATACCCTTAAAAAGAGGACCATTGGGATTTTTTCCTTAGGAAACTCTCCGTAGGAGGTGAGCGCTCCGTTATCCCTCAACCCAAAATTTGCACTTACTTAGCATTATCATCCCAATACAATGCACCATAAAACTACAAATTTCAACGTGGAACCACCGAGGTATACACCCAGAAAGTGTCCACGAGAGAAAAGAACTCCCTAATGCCTTTACCCGAAATCTGCTGTTAACTAGGACCAATGGGATTTACACCCAGAAAGTGTCCACGGGAGAAAAGAACTCCCTAATGCCTTTACCCGAAATCTGCTGTTAACTAGGACCAATGGGATTTACACCCAGAAAGTGTCCACGGAAGAAGAGAACTCCCTAATGCCTTTACCCGAAATCTCCTTTTAACTACGACCAATGGGATTTACACCCAGAAAGTGTCCACGGGAGAAGAGAACTCCCTAATGCCTTTACCCGAAATCTGCTTTTAACTAGGACCAATGGGATTTACACCCAGAAAGTGTCCACGGGAGAAGAGAACTGCCTCATGCCTTTACCCGAAATCTGCTTTTAACTAGGACCAATGGGATTTACACCCAGAAAGTGTCCACGGGAGAAGAGAACTCCCTAATTCCTTTACCCGAAATCTGCTTTTAACTAGGACCAATGGGATTTACAGCCAGAAAGTGTCCACGGGAGAAGAGAACTCCCTAATGCCTTTACCCGAAATCTGCTTTTAACTAGGACCAATGGGATTTACACCCAGAAAGTGTCCACGGGAGAAGAGAACTCCCTAATGCCTTTACCCGAAATCTGCTTTTAACTAGGACCAATGGGATTTACACCCAGAAAGTGTCCACGGGAGAAGAGAACTCCCTAATGCCTTTACCCGAAATCTGCTGTTAACTAGGACCAATGAGATTTACACCCAGAAAGTGTCCACGGGAGAAGAGAACTCCCTAATGCCTTTACCCGAAATCTGCTTTTAACTAGGACCAATGGGATTTACACCCAGAAAGTGTCCACGGGAGAAGAGAACTCCCTATTGCATTTACCCGAAATCTGCTTTTAACTAGGACCAATGGGATTTACACCCAGAAAGTGTCCACGGGAGAAGAGAACTCCCTAATGCCTTTACCCGAAATCTACTGTTAACTAGGACCAATGGGATTTACAGCCAGAAAGTGTCCACGGGAGAAGAGAACTCCCTAATGCCTTTACCCGAAATCTGCTTTTAACTAGGACCAATGGGATTTACAGCCAGAAAGTGTCCACGGGAGAAGAGAACTCCCTAATTCCTTTACCCGAAATCTGCTTTTAACTAGGACCAATGGGATTTACAGCCAGAAAGTGTCCACGGGAGAAGAGAACTCCCTAATGCCTTTACCCGAAATCTGCTGTTAACTAGGACCAATGGGATTTACACCCAGAAAGTGTCCACGGGAGAAGAGAACTCCCTAATGCCTTTACCCGAAATCTGCTTTTAACTACGACCTATGGGATTTACACCCAGAAAGTGTCCACGGGAGAAGAGAACTCCCTAATGCCTTTACCCGAAATCTGCTGTTAACTAGGACCAATGGGATTTACAGCCAGAAAGTGTCCACGGGAGAAGAGAACTCCCTAATGCCTTTACCCGAAATCTGCTGTTAACTAGGACCAATGGGATTTACACCCAGAAAGTGTCCACGGGAGAAGAGAACTCCCTAATGCCTTTACCCGAAATCTGCTTTTAACTACGACCTATGGGATTAACACCCAGAAAGTGTCCACGGGAGAAGAGAACTGCCTAATGCCTTTACCCGAAATCTGCTGTTAACTAGGACCAATGAGATTTACACCCAGAGAGTGTCCACGGGAGAAGAGAACTCCCTAATGCCTTTACCCGAAATCTGCTATTACCTAGGACGAATGGGATTTACACCCAGAAAGTAACCACGGGAGAAGAGAACTCCCTAATGCCTTTACCCGAAATCTGCTTTTAACTAGGACCAATGGGATTTACACCCAGAAAGTGTCCACGGGAGAAGAGAACTCCCTAATGCCTTTACCCGAAATCTGCTTTTAACTAGGACCAATGGGATTTACAGCCAGAAAGTGTCCACGGGAGAAGAGAACTCCCTAATGCCTTTACCCGAAATCTGCTTTTAACTAGGACCAATGGGATTTACAGCCAGAAAGTGTCCACGGGAGAAGAGAATTCCCTAATGCCTTTACCCGAAATCTACTGTTAACTAGGACCAATGGGATTTACAGCCAGAAAGTGTCCACGGGAGAAGAGAACTGCCTAATGCCTTTACCCGGAATCTGCTTTAAACTAAGACCAATGGGATTTACACCCACAAAGTGTCCACGAGAAAAGAGAACTCCCAATGCATTTACCCGAAATCTACTGTTAACTAGGACCAATGGGATTTACACCCAGAAAGTGCCCACGGGAGAAGAGAACTCCCTAATGCCTTTACCCGAAATCTGCTGTTAACTAGGACCAATGAGATTTACACCCAGAAAGTGTCCACGGGAGAAGAGAACTCCCTAATGCCTTTACCCGAAATCTGCTTTTAACTAGGACCAATGGGATTTACACCCAGAAAGTGTCCACGGGAGAAGAGAACTCCCTAATGCCTTTACCCGAAATCTGCTTTTAACTAGGACCAATGGGATTTACAGCCAGAAAGTGTCCACGGGAGAAGAGAACTCCCTAATGCCTTTACCCGAAATCTCCTTTTAACTACGACCAATGGGATTTACA